TGTATGTATGTATGTGTGTATGTATGTATGTGTGTATGTATGTATGTGTGTATGTATGTATGTGTGTATGTGATTTACTACTTTTCTGTTCTTGTCGTGGTCTCCCGTTTCTCAAATCATGTACCGTCTATGTATCATATGTATTCAGATCGGCCGAATCGATCTAGTCTCTCAGGCGCTCACTATCACTTCCCTTCCTCTTTGCCAGATCGATCTCTTAAGACTCTCGCCGTCACGCCTTCCCTCTCTGCATTCAAGTACTCACAGACACCGAGATCCACATTCTCTTGATACTTGACTTATCAATGGTTCACCTTGGCTCATACTCACCTCATGAGCCGCTTCGGACCGCCCTAGTGTAGACCCATGGCTATCGTGCTCGTGCACCCCGTTTGTCTACGCAAACAATATATACAAACAATCCTCTGGTATAAGCAAGGTCTCATTGAGGCAGTAATGAACAATGTTATTGCAACTTCGCCAACTTCACTCATGAATCCCATCGAGCGAGGTATAAAAATATCGCTTTCTCCCCTTCTTCCCAGTCTTCTTCTTGCGTGCTCTTATCACTCACACAAACAAGGTCTGGATTCCATTCTTGCTTGAACTGTTCCCATATTCTCTCTACCGTCTGTCCCTCAGAGACTCTTCCAGTGTGCACGAGTCATACAAGCTCAAGCCGACCGATCTTGCAACTCCCTTGTTTGTAATAGCGGCATCTCGTTCAACGGCTTCATCATTCCTTGGGCTTTGACCTTGACAAGCAGACCGTCCAAGCCTCAACATGTCTCGACCCATCACGGCACTGTCTCCTACCAAACTCAAAGAGTAAGTTTGAAGAATTTCCCCTCTTGACCGACCATGTTACAGTACACTGATAGAGTTCCCGTACACAGGCTCAAGTATGGCGAAACAATCACCATCCTGTACAAGGAAACCGCCACGGCCGAAGCTCGACTCTTGAGAGACGCATTCCCAAAGAAGCTCGCAGTCAGCTTCTCGAAGAAGTGGAGGGATGAAATCCCGCCGGTCAACAAAGTCAAGACCCAAGACCTCAAGCAGTTCCCGACCAAAAAGACGGTCATCATCGTTGGAGGGAACATGGTGATCCACAAGCACATGCTCAACTGGATGGTGTCCTGCTGCGACGGCAAGGGTCTCAAGGCCTTCTCCAACCCGCGCTTCAAAGCGTTTGCGTTCCTGTACTACGCTCAGTCCTGCGCCGCGATTATCGGCTGCGAGTACCTCGAGAGCAACATCAGCAAGCGCATGGAGACACTTGCGGCGAACCAGATCCACTCCGAGGACGTCCGTATGCTTTGGCTCGCGAGTCCACCGGACGCTGAGATGCAGAGATTCCTGGCTGAGCACGTCGCTCTTCGCTTCTGGGCCGGCACGCTGAAAGCCAAAGGCTCGTACCGCACGCTGCGCGAGGAAGTGCCAAGTTTCAACAAGGCAATCGACGACATCTTGAACGCGAAGAAGGCGAGAGGCGAGATCAGTCCTGTGGTCCAGGCACGAAAGAACAGCCACAAGAAGCGTGTCAAGCCTGTCAAGGGGCCAAAGGGGGGTGGCAAGGCGTAAGAGGGCGCCGAAAAAGGTGCGGTGAAGGCAAAGGTGGTGAGGCACGGGGCTAACGGTCAACCAATCTATGCCAAGTTGGATCTGGAGTCTTTCGGGGTCAAAAACAAGCAGTAAAGCAAGAAGGGCCGAAAGAATCTGTTCAACGGGGGTCCGGTTGCAAAGGCTGTGGCGTTTGAATAGCAATTGTGTTTATCCACGGAGCATCCCCCGGATCCCAACGACAGCTGAAGAAGCAAGCGGTACACAGAGGAGGTGCGGACATAGTGCCTTATCCTAGAGCAGGTAAATAGGTAGCTGAGCCAGTCGCCTCTCTCAAATCTACTTCTGGCCATTGTTATGCTCGAGGAGTTCTCCGGGCGCAAACGGGTGACTCGAGTGCTCGTTCCTTACAACTCATTCCTGAGGGCCAAAGGCTACCCACGCAAAGCAAGCCAGGGCGGGCAAGTCTGTGAGCAGTGTTCTCTGCAGATGAACGCGGAGCCATGTCTTAACATGGTCCATGGTGCGGCCCGTTTTCTCTTCTTCCTCGTCGCACACCGATTTGATCACCTGCGAAATATGGTAGCCGTAGGCGAAATGCCCGGCGGAAAAAGCGGCGCCTGCGAAGCAGAGCTTCCGCGAGAGGCTGTAGTGTGGGAAGTGTGTGGCTGCATTGATGCCTCCTACCACACCCGTCAGGCCAATGCTGAAGATTGTAACGAGGCCCGCAGGCAGGTAGTCGTTCCACCAGAGACGGATGGTCTTGTTGGCAGCTGGAGCGTCTATTTTGGCGGCATTGATGAACGGTAGGAAGATGGTCGGCTCGATGATGGCGTAGAAGACGGTCAGGGAGGAGGAGATCAAGGGAATGGTAAGGGCTGGGCTAGGACGAAGCCCTACACTCGCGGCTGTCGACATGATGGCGAGATTTCTGCGGGGTGCTCGGTAGAGAAGTGGCCTGGATCAGCATCAACGGAGGACTTGATTGAGCCTCCCCTCATATATATGAAGGAGGATGCGAACAGAATAACCTCGACATCTGGGCGCTTGTGCCAAAGGTTGCCCAGATCATGCCACTTGAGGTTGTCGATCGCGGTGAGATCGAAAGCCTCGTTTGAGTGGATACGAGTTGAGGTCCCCGCATGGCTGTTTTGTGAGTGCGCGAATACAATACGTACATATCAATCCTCAACTGAACTCTGTTCTCCATAAAGTACCAACAAGACTATTGGTCTCAGTAGAAATCAGGCCAGCGCCAAATGGACAGAGTGGTGGTGTGACGGGGGCTGAAGTACTGCAGCCAAAAGTGAATGCAGATCAACCCTCCTATTCAGGGTCCGGTAGAGTAACAGGTTCACGTTACACAAGGAGAACCTTCTATCTGCATGTCAGGAGCAGTGCATGAGGGATTGAAAGATGACATGGATTCTTCTGCATGATCCTTGGAGGTTTCGCTGCATATGTCGGAGGATTTATGACAGCCGGACACGACAACGACATAACCATGCGTCCTTAACACATGTTGACCCTCTCATCAGCATCATATTAGGTACTCGGGGTATCTGGTGTTTTCTCGAACTGAGAGACAGAGTTATAGGCTAAAGGCACAATGAAACATACCAGGGGCGAGTACGGGGTATTTTTCTATCTTTAACTACTTGTAGGCCAAATCGTCCCGTGCCCTTTAGCGCTGAGGTTTAAAGCTGTCGACTACTTGTCGCTTGGATTCAGAAACGAGGTCGTGGCTTGGACGCGCAATCGTAATGAACAAGGATCCACTGATTCAATGTCCTCTTTGACCTTGAAGATCCAGCAATGCCAACCATGATGCCAAAAGTCCTGCTAACTGCGTTCCAACTGCATAGACAGGTCAAGGGTGACATGACAGAAGACGACAGGCAGGACTAAGGACTACGGGTCCATGCGAATCGAGGGAGAGGAGGAGTGTAGAGGTTGATGATACTGCTGAGGTGCCATGCACTGACTTCTACTGATTTGGCCCTGTTTATAGGTAGGCAGGTATCTGTAGTTAGTCTTGTCGATACTTTTGTCCTGTACAACTCTCAAAACAGAACTTTCAGGGGCCCCAAAGACGCCCTAACAGCGCCCTAACAGCACCCTAAGAAGGCCCTAAGAGCGCCCCAACCGTGCCTAGAACCTCCCTAGCCTAGACAAACCTACAGTACCTGTACTAGTTAGGTACCGTACTCTACCTAGAGGTCAGTCAAAAGTCACTTTTAGTCGCAATTCATCTCTCGATCATCGTTGGCCTCACAGTTTCAACTCAGCCATTCCAGCATTATCCCGACGCGGCTTTTACCCCTCGCTTCTTGGATCCTGAATCATGCATGATTGAGCAAAATGATTGCATTCTTGAGAATTCTGATTTTATCCTGTGTGGAGATTCTGAACCCTGTTGACTTCACATCCCGTCCAGCTAGTTTGTCCTGCTTTGTCCTTCACTGGCGCTAGCCCTCCGGACGATCTTCCCTCTTCACTTGCAGTACCCTACGCCCCCTGGCCACTTCAATACCCGCCAGTTGCACCTTGTTAGTCTCCATTTTCCATTCCTCGCGCGATCGTTGTTCCCACGTCCAAGAGAGCTTCCCTGCGGAGGCCACAAGCGCGTACTCTGTCCTTTCGAAGCAGTGTTTCTCTCTCTCTGCAGCAGGCGAGTCGTTGTCGGTTGGATCAAAGTTCCAGAGTCCACCACCTACCGACACTGGGATTATTTCGAAGGCCAGTGTTTCTCGCTGTGTGTTAGCGAGGAACACTTTTAGTGAAGTTCTCCTCGGCATGATAAGCGAGCCATAGATATCCTGGCTCTCGACGCAACCCTGGAACACCACACCACCGCCGTTTCTTGTCATCCACAGAATTTCCGCACGTCGAAAGGCAACATCTTTCCTCCGAGAACGATGCAGTGAATACCATCCCATTATTGTCAAGTCGACATGTCGCGGATGACCATGGCTCCAACCGAATCAGAGGATGCTTCCCGGCCGCTTGCTGACTACTTCTGGATTGCAGGTCTGGACAGCCAACAAATGGTGGATGCTTTTTCCCAACCTAGATTCTCTTACGACTTCAACGATACCAATGGTATTGATATGCCGATAAAGGAGGAACCAACGACGAACGATGGCCAAGCTTCAATTCTTCAATCCCCCAAAGCTTCACCTCACCACTCGCGGCATGATTCCTATCAAAGACTGTCTCAACTCTCGGACGAGGCTAGGGACGCTATCCAGAGTTTGAACGATGTGGCGCAATCGCCGAGAAGCAATCGGAGCAGTATGACCATTCGACCATCGCCTACAATTACTGGTCCTCGTATGTCATCTGCCTTGAGCGAAGCAGACTTCGAAAAGGCCATGAAAAGGTTCGCGACGGATCGAGACACCTTTTTCCTCGACCTCAGCTTCAGTCCTTCGGAAACAGCCAAGCAAGATCGTTCCAAGTTACGGCCTCAGACGCAGAAGATTGTGCTTGAGGACGAAGTGTCTTCCCTGCCAAATCGTAATTTTGGCAGCATCCGCAGACATATGTCCTTCAAGGATATGAGCAGCACAAAGCGGCAACCGTCGATGGCCAGGCGTACCTCGACGCGAACATCGCGCAGACTGAGCAGCTACAACTCGGTAATACCGAGCCCTGAAACTTTGCGTGTTCCTCCCGACGAACATCCATTGAGTCGTAAATTTGAGCCCGTACTGTTGGAGAGATATCCCCGAACGTCAACATTCGATTATATGAGAGGGAGAGGGTCATTTCCGGAATATGTGCCTATGTTTGCGTTCCCCAACGATATCAAGGTCGTTTGCGCCGATGCTAGGCCTAGATCAACATGGCATGAGTTTTCTATGACTGTCTCCGATGGTTCCAGGGTAATCGCTGTCCAGGTCACCTTGTGGATTCCGGTTGCTCGTCAATTGGCATCCGACCTTGAGAAGAAATGCGTCGAGTGGAGAAATTCACACATGTCTGATGCAGAACGAGAATTGGCCGCTTCCCTTGAGGAAAGATTGACAACTGAGAGTGCCAAGTTGTCGAGATTGTTGGCACAGCTTCCAGAAGTATCCCCAGACTCCCAAGAAAGAGAGCAGCTAGAGGATGACATCAGTGCCGTGGAAGAGAAGATCACCATGATGGCCGATATGCTGCGACCGCTGCGGCACGGGTCTGTAAATGATATCCAAGGTCTGGGTATTGGTGAAACACGCTATTGGGTTCCTAGAGCCTATGGGATCCTCGGAACAGAATCTTCTTCGATCAATTTCTGGCGACAGTGGTTGCGCGCTGTTGTGGTCCCCATGACAGATGGTGGAATTCTCAGAGTCCCCCCAAGCTCACCCAAAGTCGGTATGTGGCAGCCCTTGGAACGCTACGTGTATAGCCTGTGTATGGAGGCGCCCAGTCCACTCTCGTCACAGACTCAAGTCCAGATATCGATACGCGAACTCAAACTTTACGCGAAGAAAGAAGCTGCAAACGAACTTCCTGGCAGTCGAACAACTGACCTCTATCCCTTGTTCAGAACACTTACTATTCCCAACATTGTATTATTATTCGAGTATGTCTTGGCCGAGTCCAGGATCATTTTACTCTCTTCACACACATCCATGCTTCAACTAGTCAGCAAAGCCATTTTGGAATTGATCTGGCCACTTGAATGGGCGGGTGTGTACATTCCTGTACTACCATCACGATTGGTCCAGGCTCTCGATGCGCCTTGCCCATACATTTGCGGTATCAATCGCAATTACGAAAAGTATGACCTACCAGAGGACGACTTCGTCCTAGTCGATCTAGACAAGAATGAACTGCATAGTGTTGAGCCGCCACCGAACTTACCGAAGCAGCAACGAAGGAAACTGATGTCTCTTTTACATCAGGCAGCGCCGCTGCACCACGCTTTTGGAGTGAAACCCGGGAGTGCACCTTACGCGGCAGAGACCTTCCCCCATGATGCCTTCTCGGCGGAGGTCGAGACCCCTTTCACCGCCATCACCAAATCAACAAATTTAGACAAGTTGTCCAGTTTAAGCTCAACGTCGTTCGGCCCGCAGGCCGCTTCAGATATGATTCGGCGTGCACCAATGTTGAATGTCTTCTTGAGCAGTGGACCAACTCGAGGAAAGAGTATCGACCGACCAAGAACATCCTCAACTGTCACCGCTCGGCAGTCTTTCCACACCGACTCGGATGGAATGTCTCCTCCCAAAGGAGGCTTGTCCTACAGGCTTGGTAATGGGTCGCCTCGCCACGACTCTGGCTATGGTTTACAGACGACTTTGCGGGAGAAGAGATCGGGACATTTCGATTCTCTGTCAAAACGAAGTTTTTCTGGGTCTACGCATATGATGAGAAAGGCCAGTCTACCATTTGTACGACACAATGCAAGCCCTTCGACCTTATCATCCCCCGACATGCGCGGCACATCGAATTATGCACCTTCTACCTACGCCCAGTCTACTTTGGCCGCATCGACAATAATGCCGCATATGCACGCCCATAATACAGCAACAAACACGGACACGACATTTTGGGTCGAAGGACATTGTCTCCAATGGCGAGGCACCGACGGACCCTCAACCTGTGTTCTCTGCGACGAAAAGGCCCAGGACGGATATTATCGGTGCTCTGGGTGTGGATTCGTTATCCATGATAGATGTGCTCACCAGATCACCATCGTCTGCTCGTCAGCCTTCTATCCCGATCAAGTTCGAGCAGCATTTGTGAGATGCCTTGCAAGCCTTTTCTACACATATAGGAGATTCATGTATCCTGCACCACTTCAGAAGAGAAAGCTCGGAGCTGTGAATCAATTCGATAGCGAGACATTCATTCGATCTCTACCCACTGACCATGCAGCTTACATGGAAATGCTCCAACAAACACAAGCATGGAATGAATTCATCATGGATCGCGAGGACAACTCCACGAAGCCTTCGGTAGCTCTGTTTGATGCAATCATTGCCGCCAAACGAGGACGGGCAGGGTTCAGATCATCTCTCTCGGGACTGGGGCGAAAGAGTCTGGCGGCGAGATCAGTATCTGGGGCCACGAAGACAGACTTACTCTCTGACACCTCGCAACATCAATGGCGCATCATCGCTGTACCAGGAGGCACTGAGAGATCAGAAATTGGCTCCGCGGCAAAGGGACGGGACTACCACAGCATCATCACACGAACCCCGGCCAAATTGGAAGACGGCTTGTTCAAGCAGGAAGAGACAGTACCTGATCTACCCAAAATTGTGCCGAGGAAGTTGAGGGGCGTCAGCGCCTTGGCCGGGAAAATGAACGGACTCAGTATGCACGCACCATGATTTCAATACTTGCGACATACAGCTTCGTCGTTGACAGATGTATAATTACGACACCTTCCTCCTCGTCAAAAGATTTCCGGTGCTCAAAGCACCTCGTTCGCCCATGGATGTCCGCCATTGGATAGCTAGTTGACCTAGCACTGCCCTGCCATCTCTTCTCATACTGGACCGTAACTCCTCAAGCCCTTCAGATACGTCTTGTTCTTGCTCCACAAGGAAAGCTACCTGGATAATGTCTCGCATATTCACAAAGGGACGTTCGAGATCGACTCCAGCATCTCTTTCCGCATCCCAGTTGAGGGACGTGGCTTTGAAGGGTGCCTTGGTCTGAAGCCGTGCCTCTTCAAGCACAATCGAACTGTCAGACACATTTTCGAGTTGTGCTTCCAGCACATACCGAGCTAAAACTGTTCTTCCATAGGGACGGTGACTTTTATCAGCAACTTCGATTGATGGCAGCTCCGTCGCTTTTGTCCGCACGCTCAGACATGGCTGAGCAACGAACTGATACAGCTTTCGAAATGACCGTACCTTTCCGCTGGTCGCCTGGCCATCGCCAGACGTTGTTTCTGTGTACGAAACGTTGATAGCAAGGACATGATTGCCCTCTTCCTTCAGGTCGAACTGGATGATTCTCTGCAGTGATCGGTCAGGGTCTATGCGGTCCTCCTCGACATCAGCAGCATGAAGTTCCAATGGGAGAGATTGAGATGGAGTCTGCATTTCCGCGATGATCCGGATGCCGGACACCGATTTGAAAGTCCTTCCTGGGGGGAGTTCATTGTTTGCACAGAGTGCGCACGAGAAAGTCTCGCCTACATGTGCAGAGCCAAATGAAGGCGGAAGCCCTAGATTGGTTGAAAGGATGAACTCTTGGTCAGTGCCATCGCTTGGATATGCCGAAGAGGCTGTATGCGGTATCTTGGTCTCGCTCTCGCGCGGTAACGGGTGCTGTTGGGCTAGTGATGGTCGCGAGAGCCTAAGATCGAATGAGTATGGTTCATTAAAAGGCCATAAATGACCTTTGGAGCACTACCTTAGAACTAAATGTATTAGCACAATAAGGAATTCTAATGGCGACGATGGCAAACTTACCTTTGAGGGACACAGAGTGAGGCTCTTTGGGAAAGTTCCCTGTTCCAGCCCTGGACCTCGCCATGAGCTGGACATCAACAGACGGCAATCTCGCCTAGAAGTCAGCTAAGAGTCTGGACTGTTCGCGTGAGGGTTCCTGAAGCCGAGTTTCACCCCAGATGGAGTCAGCGTAAGACTGATGAGCTGGTGACTCTCGTCACCGACGGTTCGTCATAGTTTGTTTTATTGGGGAGAAACTCGACGTGCTTTTTTCCAGATCAATGCATTCGCCGAAGTCAACTCGTGAGTGCGACAAGATATGGATGGAGGACCAACGCTCAGATCGAGGGCTGATGGACGGATCGATGGCTTGGCAGCTGTCTGGGTGTGTCTGGGCCCATTGGTGCTGCTGCTGCTCCTGGGGCTGCTGCCGTTGCCCGGTCACTTCTGACCCCAAACAAAACGCGTTACATCTTCAAACACCAACCTCTGTCTACTTCTATTTCCATCCACCAGCCATACCTCTTACCTACGCCCTTTTAATTCCACGTGTTTCAAACGCCGAACGCCATGCGCATCACAAGAGCTGCTCTCCGGGCTCAGGCTCACGACGAATTCCAATCCATACACGAAGATCCGGACGCGGGCACCTCCAGGAACCAAGACGAGTCGAGCGAGGTTCACGAGACCGACCGACCAGCTCTCAAAGATATCACTGCAGAAAACTACCCTACCGCCGAAGACGCTCCTGGAGTTGAAGAGTCTGCGCCTCTGAAACGATCAAAGAGCAAGAAAAAGGGTAAGCAGAACAAGAAGGACAAGAACGAGGAGGAGGCCACTGTAGCAGACAATCTTGAGGCACAACATATAGAGTTAGTATCCGCAGAGGTCGTCGACGAGAGTCAGGAACAGTCCCCAGAAACACAAGAAGAAGAGGAAGAATCTCCGGACACGGCCTCGCTGGAGCCACAAAGCGCGCAACAGCCCAGCTCCGAAAAAGTAGTAGACGTGGCAGTCCAGCCCCTTGCACACAGTTCAACTCCCAGCCCAATTCGCAACGAAGCTCCAAAGACGCCCAGATTCAATCCAGATATCCATGTGCCTGAACACGCCCCAACAACACCAGCCGTAAGCAACGTCGAAGATTCCTTCGTGGAGCAAATCAAATCCAGATCCCCCAGCAAGATGCACTACACAGCAGACGTGGCACGTTCTCCCTCATATGACCCCAGCAACCAGCTACCGAGGATCGAAGATTCTGTGGACGCTATTGACGCCTTGGAAGACGCAATCGAGGAGTTTTCTGAGAGACTCCCGGCTTTGGACGATCTCAAGATCGAGTCACCGGTCAAGTCTAGCAAGAACACGCCAGCAAAGCTGAATCTTCATCCAAATTCAAAAGCACCGGGTAGTTCACAAAAGTCCGAACCAGTTGCTGCAAAAAGCCCTCGCAAGTCGCCATCAAAGTCTCCGTCAAAACCTGCTCCTGCCGACAGACGACCAAGTGTTCAGCCGAGATCTACAGCAACCAGCCGTGCATCGAGTGCGAAAGCGGCCATAAAACCACTTAAAGTCGCAAAGCAAGCCAAGAAGCCCATAATCGACGGTTTGAAGCCTCGAGAGTCTTCGTCTGCTTCCGCCATGCCACTCCTGACATTCTCCAATTCTCCATCCAAGTCTCTTCCCAATACGACAAAGAAGCGTGTGCCCAGTACTACTCTGTCGACCAACAAACCTGCATTCGTTCCAGCCAAGTCTGCCAAACCACCGACGAGACCAACGTTCAGTCTTCCAGGTGAAGCGATCTCCGCGAAATTAAAGGCTCAACGAGAGGAACGCCTCAAACGTGAAGAAGAAGCCGAAAAGGAGCGCAAGATCTTCAAAGCTCGCCCGGCGCCAGCCAAGACGTCCCGACCCAGCGTGCTTCCACGCGACACCAAAGCCAGTCAAGCACGCCTGAGCATCTATTCGACCGGAACGAACAAGGAGAACGTGGCCCCTAAGCGCGAACCCGCCAAGATGCGACCGTCGTCATTCCACTCGGGACTGTCCAGGGACGTCACGAAAGCCAACTCGAGCGTCCGCCGGACTAACAGTGTCGTGGGAGCCAAGTCGAGTCCCGCGAAACCAAGAGTCTCTTCGGTCCAGCTGGCCGCGGGGCAGAAGCTGTCCGTGACCAAACAGGACCAGGCGCAGCAAAAGGCACGCGGCAAGGAGGTGTTTGCACGGTCCAAGATCGAAATGGAACGGCTAGAGAAGGACAGGAAGGAAAAGGAAGAGGCGACGCGCAAAGCCAGAGCTGAGGCTGCTGAACGTGGACGACAAGCAAGTCGCGAATGGGCGGAGAAGCAGAAGAGGAAGTTGGCAATGCAGGCTGCTGAGAAGATGGCGCGTGGGGATGGCGTCGCGAGTGCTGGCGCAGGTGCGAGTGCTGTGGCTACTTCGTGAGAGAAAATGACCAACTGAGAGTCCTCACCATGAACATGGTCGTCAAGATGAGGTATGGAGTTGACAACTTGAAGAGCTCCCTAGACATTGACTTTGATTGGACTTGAAACTCCGATTTTCGACTTGTCTCGACTCGACTTGACATGCCAACGACAGAGCCAAGGACAGGGACAGAGGAAGGAATTGACTGGGCCGGCCAGTATTGGACGATAAACGAATTTTGTATTTCTGGGGATTCAAAGATTTGAATCCCATCTGCCCACAGCGATGGTGTTTGGGTTTTGTGTTTTTGGTGTCATTGGTATCACTTGGTGTGGCATGAGTCGACGCAGTTGGGAAAAGGAGAGAATCAATTCGGATGACGGATCAGACGAATCTCTCTCTCTCTCTCTCTCTCTCTCTCTCTCTCTCTACGCACCGATCACGCATCACTCATCCGTTAGTGTGATTCGAGGATGCCAAAGGTGTAACAAAGCATAGCACCGAGTTCTTAACTACGTATGTATCTACGTACAATTGCAATAGATGGGAGCCTCTTTGCACTACGCCAAACGACACTGCACCCTAGGTACTATACGAGGTATCCTTCTGGCGCTTTTTCCTCGCTAGGGCCCTTTTTCTTTCGAAAACCACTTCCTTCCTCTGCTTGGCCAAGCCATATATGAGATGCGGTTTGTTGGTTGATCTGCTTTGCCGCGGCACCCACTCTTCTTCATCCGCTTATCTACCTATGTTCTTGAGTACTAGTCCCAAGGAGACTCCGAGCGGCCTACGCAACACCATCCTGTATGTGTTGGGCACGGCGCTGCCGCGTCGAATGATAACCCTCGAGTACATTGCGGTCGGAAGGTTGGTTTGCCCTGGCATTGAAGGCCTCTCGCGCATGATGCAAGCGACGCATAAAGAACCGGAGAGACCGGCGACAATGGCGATTCAGTCAGGTTTTCTTGATTTCCGCGTCTCGTACGGGAGTCCTGATATCGTGCGCCAGATTTCGATCCACAGGGAAATGGGTGGTTTGTGTGTTTTTTGCTCCAAAGAAGGCAGGAAGCAAGGCATGGGGCGCAATCAGTCCTTCCCCGTCCCTTAAAAATGCAGAGACGCGATTCCGGGCGTTATCTGGTTGTCCAGATCAAGCAGATATATCAACCACCGTTTTCTTTCCGCTGCACTGGTATCCTGACGAGGGGTACAGGCAATTCCTGCCCTGCTTTCTTTTTCTTTTCCGAATCGCCGTTCCCGTCGAGATCTTTCTCTTCGGCGTCGTTGTCGTCCTTTGGAACAGGAACTTTCACTAAATAATATTATCAGCATTTGTCCTACACAACGATTGTCGATGTATGCGGGCGGAAGGTCTCTTGTCTCCTTCGAGTCAGGTACAATGCCACACGGTATCGAAGGATAGGCGGACCTGGACCTTCCTCCACATAGCCAGAGAATGAAACTAGACCGAAGAATACTGGGAACATACTAGCTGCCATATTGATAGCGCGGAGCACATTCTCCCAGTTTGCCAGGACAAGTGCGACACTTTGCGCGCCGTCCTTTAGAGTGCTCAATTTCCCTTCAAGTGCCGATAGTTGGTCTGCAAGATTTCCACTGAGGTCACGTAGCTGGCGGAGATTCTCGAGCTCGGCGCGTTTCGCATTGATTCTTGTCTGAAGCGCAGACTGGGTCTGGTTGCTCTGTCGCAGCAAGGACGTATTGGAGCCATGCAGACCACCGAGGGTAGTGGTTGAACCAGAAGGAAACACGTTCGTTTGCCGCGGACCGTATGACATTTTGATTGAGTATGCTCGGTCGAGTATTTCGTCGTAATGTAGTCGAGGCAGAGCCGAGACTCTTGTGGAATTCGCAAATGACTGCGGTGTCGGGAGGTGTTTGCGGGTACGGTAGAGCGCAGTGCACATGCCACTCAATGAACTGCGTCGTAGCATAACGCGACCGCGCGATTGGCCCCTTTACGCGGAGTGTATAAACGGCGCCATGCCTATCTTGAACATGTCAACACAAAATCCCCAAGCACCAGCACAATTCAACTTGACCATAACCGACGGCGGATGTCTACCCAGGTGAAGGTCAACGAAACTCGATCTACTGCCACTCATCTTCTCTCTAATTGAGAATAGTACATCTCTCACTTCTGGGCTTCTGTTATGAGCCCGACGTCGAATCCTCGCTCGTGCTCTGGTGCATTGAAACCATGGCGAGACTAAACGATCCTCCAGCTCCTCCCACGGAGAGCATCGATGCTTGTGCGTCTCTTATATTGATCAGAGACGGAATACTGTGCTGACGCTCTGTAGTAAAAAGACGCTTTATCCGTCAAAATCGCGAAATAGCCCGAGTTAATTCGACCCAGTCGCAGCGAATTCGCAATATGGAAACTGAAATATCACGACTCGTAGCTGAAAATGTGTCTCTCCGAGAGCAAGCGATCGCAGCAAAAGCAGAAGCAGACAGATGGCGCAAAGTCAATTTTGTCAGTCAAGATGTCATGGACATGAAGGACCGACTTCAGAACAAAGTTAACGAAATGGCAATGCTGCTGATCGAGATGGGTGATCTGCCCGAGAAAGCAGCTAGAAAAACGAGGCGCAAGAGTCGCACACCGACAGAAAGTCTGGCAGAACAGGAATGGAAATACCGCCAATCAATCAGGGAAGCCACAGCCCTGGAAAAAGACGCGCAGGAAGGTCGCTTGCCGGTAATAATGGAAGACAAACAATACCCAAGACGGACTCTAGAAAACGCCGAGATTCTGTATGTCAGAAATGCAGGGTCAGCGCTGGAAATCTCCGAATCGCCAGAGATAGGGCCGCCGCCAGTTGCACACTTTGACGTTAACGAAGAAGTTTCCTACGACAACCCCCGACAGTCGCTCGAAGGAACAATAGAGGACCAGATGCAGATTTCTGCCACGGTGGAAAAGCGGAGGAAACGACGGACTAGTGCTCTCTTGCAAGACATGCAGACCGAGGAAGCTGCCGAACCTACGAAATCGACTCCAATGTTATTAAAGACTGGAGCCAAACGAAAACTGGATGTCTCTGAGCTGGAAGAACCTGCATTACGCCCGAACGAGGACGATGAGTTTGTATTTCGTCGCACACAAGACGCAGTCGCTGGCGTAGGAGCGGGAAAGAAGCCGTCGAGGTTCACACGAGCCCCTGGCCGGGAGAATCAGATGCTAGCAGAGACGAAGATCCCATCGCCACAGAAATCAATGGGCGATAGGAAAATCCTAGCTCCAAAGACGACCAACTCACCATCCAAGAGGAAGATTGTTGTCTCCCAGAAACTAGATCCTGACCCACGATCCAACGGTGAGAACCAAAGACCCACGAATGGCAAGCCCTCACGAAGAACGACCCTACCACCGCCGCTTCCCGTTAAGGACATAATTAAGGACACGGAAAAAGCAGACGAGGCGAACAACCTGCCACCAAAGACTCCAGCAGCACAGGACGAAGACATTCTTTCCCCGATCTCGACTGAACCTTCAACCCGAACGACCCATCACGCCAAGGAGGCAGCCATCTCGAATTCTGTCGAGGATGTACTTAATGGGAGCATTGGTCGAGGTTCTCGACGGGCAAGGCCAGCAGTTAGCTATGCCTTGCCAAATCTACGTGATAAGATGCGAAGACCTACGAAAGAGCTTGTTGGGGCCGTTGAGGGGATCGAGAAGCAGCGAGACACGTCTGGCAGGACAAGCATCCGATTGTCTTCGGCGGACCGAGTGAACTCAGAAGAGCCCCAGTCGGCGGTCGGGCAAATCAAGCAGGAGGCGACTGGCGTCGATGAGAAGTGGAAAGAGTTTCCTATGAAGAAGGATGAACCGACAAGTCCTTTGCGAGACAAGGAACGGAAAGAGGTTGCTAGAGGCAGACCTACGAAAAGGGACGAGGCTCAAACGGAACCAAAACACGAGCGTCAACGCAGTATCGGTGAACAACTCAAGGACGCAGTCGATCGATTGAGTATCTATGATCCACCGATATCTTCGCCCATTGAAGAACCACAAAAGGCGTCGAAGGCACCAAGACCACGGAGAGTAAGTCCCTCAGGACTGGTCAGCAGACGACATTCCGTTCAAGCTACACCAAGTTCTTCAAGCTCGACCCAAGCGCCTACACCCTTATCACGGATGAGCTCAACGTCCAGAGCCCCTCCATCACGGCCCGGCTCTGCAGCAAGCTCAAGAGACGAGGCGTCGTCTTCATCTCGAACTTCAGGGGTGAAGCGCTCGAGCAGCGTTGCTTCGAATCTACATACGGCCGAGATAACCGCGAACAAAGGGGTCGGCCAAGACCCCGATCAGACGATTACTCGCCGAAGGAGTACGATGGTTTAGAAGACCTCGCAGCCTGAACGGAGAACTCGAGCATCGTTTTATGTGGAGTAACTGAGCGAGGTAATTATTGGTCGGATATCCGTCATTTTTGGATGGGGAACTGTCTCCAAGGACGTTATCTTTTGAATAATGTGGTGTGGCCCCTTTGGTTCTTGTCATCGTGGGCCAAGCCGTTGTTGACAATTTGAGCGAGCGTTTTGCTGTGGCCTTTTCTTTCTCTTCCTTAGTTGTAGAAGGTCCTTCCTTATAGTACTGAAGAGCCGTGTGTAGCGTTCTGGACGATAGTTCTTTTGAATGATGACCCCCTGATGACGTGCCCATGACATGGCTATTGAACATCAATGGACTACTGCAGGGCCCCAGTGCCATTTGCCTGGTCTGCTTTCTCCTTGATCGTAAAAGGATTTCGATGCCATGAGGGCGGGTGCGCGAACGTAGTCCATCATCCATCTTGGCCATTTGGAGTCGACCATCCGGAAGAACAATAGCTTTTGCTTTTCTTGCAGTTGTCGGAGACAATTGCCACGTCATTCCTGACCCGATCATCCCCCCGTCGCAGCCCTGTTCGGGTGACTCGCGTTCACGTCTTCCTCGTAGTCCACACTCTGCGCCATACCCAGCACCACGCTGTCCAGCCTTCTGACACACTCCCGCATCTCCTTCCTCTTCTCCTTGCGCCGTACTTCCATCTGCCGCACCTTCTCTACCAGTTGCTGGATCTCGCGCGCCTGCTCCTCTTCGCCCCGCCCGATCCCCGGCAGTCGTGATATCAGGAACTCGATCTGCTGCGCCTTGGTTACGAGATCCTCGGCCAACTCGCGCTGCGCAGACGCAAACACGTTCGGCGCCGCCGGGCGGAGAGGGTACACGCTGCGATCTGTGTCTTCGGGTCCAGGGAGCAGACCACCTCCGCTGCTGGACGTCTGTGCTGCGCCGCCGTCCGGATTGGGTGTTTGTTGGATCTGCGCCGGTGGGTTTGTGTAGGGATCCGAGGGGTCGGGCTCGGGCGCAACGAGTGGGTGGCGTTGAGAGAGGTACGAGACGGTCGAGAAGAACTGCGTCAGGAGCTGGTCGTAGGTGGTTTGGAGCTGTGTGAGGATGTCGGTGGACATGATGGTGCGAGAGTGCCTGTGCCCTACTTCAATGACGCGGGAAGGTGGTGTTGAGATGGTGGTATTTCGTGGTTCTTTGTCCTTGGAAATTCTTTGCTAGAGCGCGGTGCTTGCAAGACGGCGTATCCTGTTGAGGTCGCACAATATGAGTCCAGGTGTGTTAGAACATTGCAGGAGCGACTAGGACGGTGTCATGGCTATGCTTTGAATGCTCCGTACACAATCATGCGGAGTTCAATACTCGGTATGGTATCGAGACTGCGGCCAATCAAACCGACGAAGCTGCCCCAATTGATCGGTATCTGGCTGCGCGGCGGGATTAGGTCAGCCTCATACTAGGCAGGCGCAGCGTCATTCCATTCCATTCACTTCACTTCGCCGCCAGACAGAACAGACAATTGTCCAAGCCCTAGAGATCCATCTTTTCTCTGCAGAGGATCTATCATCCCGCTACTCAGCCTACATTCAACCGGCCGCGATGTTTCCTTGTATGCTAGACAAAAAGTCTCAAGGATAATACTTTCCGCTTGTCTCGCAGCGTCCAATCACTCACATAAGGCTGCATTTCCTGATCTCGCCTGGCTCGTCACAAGCCATGCACCAGTCGTTCACGGGCAATGCCCGTAAGGGTCGTCAAGTCAATCTATCCGGTCGACACACTTCAAATCCTTGGGCTGCATCGGCGAGATCGACCCAACCCAACGCTTCACCCACGGTTGCCCAAGCCCACGCCGATCGGGCGAAGAGACAGCAAGAACGGGAGAGACTAGCTGCGGCGAGAAGAATACAAAAGCTATGGCGGGGGCATTTCACTCGGCGGAAGGCGAAGGCGAATTGGAGGCACATATGGGACGAGAATGAGGCTCGAAGATGCGGATCGCCGAACAGGCTTGATTATGAAAACCTCATCGATACGAACGAGCCCATAGCTGCATATCAGGATCCGGCAGAGTTTCTCTATCAAGCCAGGTTACTCCTCCATTTCCAAGAATTCCGGAGGCGCAGGGTAAGAGACGAACAAGATACCTGGAGATTGATCTTCTTCGCCGAAGCCTTAAGCCGATCCGTCTCTTTACTGGCCACATCAAACCTGGACGATGTGTGGAGGTCGACGTTCTCCAGACTCGCAATAGTTGTAGCCCGGCATTTGAAGAGTGTATTGGAAAACCAGTCGGAAAAGGTCCAGGGCGTCCAAGGCCCGCGGTTGTTAAAGATCATCACACTACTCTGTCACGTTGTCCCGGAAGAGATGGTCCGGAAGGCCGATATCCTCTTTGACGCAATAGAGAACGCCGTGTTGTCGCAAACGGAAAGCATGAGGCCGTCCTGTGCAGAGGCGATCGTCTCATTACTTTCGTCTACCAGTCCGCACATACGTTCTGCGTATCTAGCATTTGCTAGGAAGATATTGAGCCAGAATTCATTCTCCAACAACAGAACCTTGTTGAATTTCCTCGCTGAGGCACTGGATTTGGATGAGTTAGCGGCAGCAATGACCGCCGAAGTTGACGATCTGACCACAGATGCTAGACGACCCGTCGACACGTCGCAATTGCTGTGGCAGCTAGCTCATCTAATCTATTTCCATGACTCACTCCACAAGGGGTATGCCAAGCAGACCAACTACATCGAAGCAGTCTCATCGCTCCTGGGTCATTCTGCGAACGAAGTCGCCCAAAGATTGGATCTTGCAGATCAACCTATGTTCGGGAATGGCAACACCACCCCCGAGCCACTTCCAGAATTTGTCAAGGAAATGATACAAAGAATACCCCAGCAGGATAGTGTACGCGACGTTCTACGAGAAATGGGAACAAGCAAGCAATCGCTGGCTAGTTCTGAATTCGATTCCGCCAAACGACTAGCAAACTATGCTGTTGCATTGTTACGCGCGTTCCCATCCAAGGCCCAGAACATCCGAATGTCTTTGTACCAAGGTTCTGTACGATCAATGGGAGACAATGACGTCTCAACTATCCAATACTTTTGGCAAACCACACGATCTACAACAGTATTCAAGAAAGTCGTTCAAAACCAGAGGAGCGTGCTATCAATACTTCGCGAGGCCGCTCCCGAGACAGATCAACTTGGTCAAGCTCCGCTATCAAAGGAAGAGATATCTATCTGGAGAGACGAATGGCGTATAATATTGCTGTTCCTCGAGCTCTACACATTTGTCCTCAAGTTCATGGACGATGATGATTTCTTCGCATTTGACAAATCTCGGAGCTTCAGCACTGCGAATACTCCAACCAGTATAGTATCGAGAAGGGGCGCGTTGCCATTGGGAGACGTTGCGCTGATGACCACATTCTTGAAGAACCTGGCATTCACACTGTATTGGAACGCAGCAGATCTGGTAGAAAGTGATGATTCTGTCGAGGAGGCCAATCTAGCGGCGCTCTTTGGCGGCGCTCCTGTGGCGTCCACAAGATCCACAGACCAAAAAGAGCAGACGTTGACTGGCAATGGTGTTTCTCAAGGCTATCTCAAAGGTCTTGTTACTGGGTTGTTACGGATGCTTCATGAAAGGGATTCTAGACATTCATTCGTACCTGCTGGTCACTGGTTGATGAGCGATCATATTAACATGTCTGGCTTCATTCCGGCGGTGGTAGCGGAAGAGGAAAAGCGGCATCAACTTGGCGATGAAGAGGACTCTGACGAAAAAGACGATAGCCTCAATGACGCGATGGATATGGATTTGTCTACGGAGTCAGGTTCATCCGAGACCCTGTTGAGCACCATATTCGGGATTCGCCCATCGCACATGCCACGATCTGCGGCGTCCCGACAAGCCGACCGCTATGAACAGCGGCGACAACAGGCTCGGAAAAAGAGACAGCTCGAATCTTTAGCACCTCGACTTGAAATTCTTCGCAACCTACCATTCTTCATCCCTTTCGAAACCCGGGTACAAATATTCCGTGAGTTTGTCTATCAGGATCAGCTCAGGAGAAGAGACGGAGCCGTTGACCCCGATCAATGGAGAATGTCAATAGCTGCAACAACACAAGGACGGGGCCCAGACGGCCGCCCAAGAGCACTCGATATCATCAGTCGACATCATGCTGAAATCCACCGTGACAGCGTGGTTCAAGATGCTTTTGATGCATTTTTCCCGCTTGGTGAAGGACTCAAAGAGCCAATCCAGATCACCTTCATTGACAAGTTTGGTGCACCAGAGGCAGGCATCGATGGCGGCGGTGTCACCAAAGAGTTCCTCATGAGTGTAACAAGTGAGGCTTTGCAGCCTGAAGATGATTTCAGCATGTTCGCCGAGAGCCCACAACATGCAATCTACCCAAACCCTAAATTGATACCAACATTGACGAATTACATGAGGAAACACGGTATCCTGCCTGGGACGGACGGGGTGTATGAAAGCAAAGTCAAAAGAATGCTTCATCAGATGCAATTTATCGGCCGAATAGTTGGCAAGTGCCTGTACGAAGGCATTCTGATTGACGTCAATTTTGCAGGATTCTTCCTCCTCAAATGGGCATTGACTGGTGGCACGACGGTGGGTTCCAATGAGTCTGCATATCGCGCAACGATCAATGACTTGCGTGACTACGATGAGGAGTTGTATCATGGGCTGCTGAAACTCAAGAACTATCCGGGTGATGTCGAGGCAGATTTCTCGCTTGATTTCACCGTGACGGATATGATGCACGACTGTGATGAAAACGGCGCAGATGTGTCACGTCCTCATACAATAGAACTGATTCCCAATGGAGCCAACACCCCCGTGACCAACACCAATCGACTTGTCTACATTGATCGAGTTGTCAGGTACAGACTGCAGCAACAACCAAAAGCAGTCACTGATGCCTTCTTGAAAGGCCTAGGCCAGATCATTCAACCTATGTGGCTGGCCATGTTCAATCAGAAAGAATTGCAGAAACTCGTGGGAGGCGACAACACAGAACTTGACATCGCCGATTTGAGGAGGAACACCATGTATGGAGGAGTCTATGCGATTGGTGACGATGGACAGGAACATCCCACGGTGCAGCTGTTCTGGAAAGCACTGCAGGAGATGGATGACGATGATCGCAGAAAAGTGCTCAAGTTTGTCACCAGTACGCCCCGTGCGCCTCTACTCGGCTTCAGCCATCTCAATCCGAAATTTAGCATTCGTGATTCGAGCGATGACCAAGAACGTCTTCCCAGCACCAGTACATGTGTCAACCTGCTGAAACTGCCACGGTATGAAGACATTCGGACCATGAGGGAAAAGTTGCTTTACGCCGTCAATTCAGGAGCCGGATTTGACCTTTCTTGAGGAGAAGAGCAATGGCTTACCACTTCTTCGTATCGAAAAGTGATGAGGTTTGTCGGGTACCTTTAGTATGATACATGAAATGTTCAAGATCCTTCAAGGCATTATATATTTGAGCGTTGACTTGCATGCTACGACGGCGTTAAATAGATTGACAAAAGGTCTACTATAGCAAGAGTTCAGAATAGGATAGTACTTCATGTCCTTTGTATGGAGCGGTCCAAGACCCTCGCCTAGTCCTAGATAGAGCTTTGGTCACCAGGCCTCCCAGGGCATTGTCGGATTATCCTCCAAACGGGCACGACCGACTGGTAAGTCCAAACTGGCCGTGGACACACCCTTTAGATTCCAACGTTTCCCTTACAACGGCTTTCTTGTCGGGCGTCCCGTGGGGGGTTCACTTTGACTGAGAGAGGAGGATGGCGGGCTATCTCACCTAGGTAGCTGCTACCCGAGGTAGTTGAAGGGCTAGCGAGGATTACTCTATCGCATTGACGCCTGACGTCCCAACCTCGGACAGCCACGACGAAAGTGTGCTGGCAAAAGTACAAGAAGGCAATGGCCTGGTACGTACTCCTCAAACCATCGTCTCACACGTCCAGTCTTCCCTTTACTACACTCTACTTGTACTCCACTTGTCTTATCGCAATCACCAACTCGAACATACGTGGGCGGACACGATGAAGAAACCACAGCTGGGCGCGACGGATTATCTGCAACTGCTCTATGCGGCGTCCAAGGGATGTATGTTTGTGTTCTGTACTCGACTGCGAATTCCGTAGTACAAGGCATTCTCTCTCTCTCTCTGTCTCTCTCTCGTCGAGGAGGGGGGGGATGGTGGATCCTCCCTTGGTGCGGAGACCGTTTTGTCGTGGGTTTTGTGAGCATTATCGCTGACTGCATCCCCAACCCGCGTGGTGGGATACTAGTGGCGACCATAGCATGGGCAGCAGCAACAGGATGGACGCGAGGCGACGACTGTCCGAAGGAATATAAGAAGCATGTCGTTTATAGCTTCACAAGGACCATCTTCAATGCAATCTCAGTCCGACAAGCCCAGTATGCGCACACCACACACCACCAATCCCTCCCCTGTCCACCTTCTTGGGAGAGCAGGAAACCGGCGATGGTTGAGTCCTCGACTAACAAACGATACGTGTAAAGAGGTGTAGGCGAGACCACCGGTGAGGCGTACGAGGCCTTTTGCAAGAAGCACAAGATCCAGCCTGAGATCACCGACCTCGAAGAAGGAGGGCGTGCACTGTCGCTCGGCTCAGCAACTGCTGGGAAAACTGTTCTTTGGTTTCACGGTACGTATTACCTTGAATACGATCCCAGCCGTGGACGGTTCCAGGCCGCACCAGTCTTCCTTTGGATAAAGGGTTAAGGGGGGGAGGGAGAATGGGAGTTTACCATTCATTACTTATGAGTCCTTGATGCTGATTCATCGTTCAATCGATCAAAATCACAGGTGGAGGATACAACTTGGCCGCGACGCCTGCTCACTTTGCATTCTTCTGGCAGGTCATTCAGCAGGCCCAGAAGGAGGGTCATGACTTGCGAGTGGTGTTTCTCGAATATGGTCAGTTTTGGGGAGAGGCCGACCCTTTTGGAAGAAATCCTCCGGCTCACTGACGCACTCCAGAACTGGCTCCCCATGGCGTATATCCCTTGCAGCTCAAGCAGGCTGTCGCTTCCTTGAAGTATCTTCTGAGTACCGGGACAAGGCCTTCGCTGGTGAGTTTATCCGTTGATGCATCCCATTCATCCCACCTACCTACCCGTCTACCTCAGCCGGACCGGATAAAGAGTTCTGAGTGGTTGTGTGTGTCTGTCAATAGATCATCATAGGCGGTGATTCAGCAGGAGGGAATCTGACTGCTGGTCTCCTTGGCCACATTTCGCACCCCAAATCCGGCGTTCCAGAGCTCGCCCTCTCGGGAAATTTGGGTGGCGTATTGTTCCTTTCGCCGTGGGTGACGTTCGAGCAGAATGCACCTGCGTTCAAGGAGAACTTTTACAAGGACGGTCTGGGACTCGAGGCTCTGAAGACGTGGAGTGACAACTTCATGGCCGGTGCTGCGCCAGACAACTACAATACACCGCTGGACGCCCCGGCAGAATGGTGGAAAGGCATCAAAGTAGACGGAGCCAATGTTGCCGTCGTCGCCGGAGCAAATGAGATTCTGGTCGATGACATTCGTGCGTTCAAGGATCATATCAAGGTCAACAATCCTAACCTGGAGTATTTGGAAGCTGCGGACGAGTGTCATGATGCTTTGGTCATGGATCGAGCGTTTGGTTTGTCTGCACCGTTGGCGAGTGAAGACTTTTGTAAGAAATGGATCCTGGCAAGGCTGTAGCTGTGCCGGAAGGGTGCCGTCCTCAGCTCAGCCTATATCTCCCTCTCTAAGGTACAAGGTGCAGTAAGGAGTTTGATGCCATGTTACATACCAAGGTAGTTAGGTACCATCGACATCAACGGTAGGCAGTGACCGTTCAGCACCGACTGGGGTTTACAGCCTCCATGGACCAGCCCAAGGCACTAGGGAAGGATAATATATCCGACTGGAGCAGCCGTAGCAACAGCACTCGACTCGCTTCAGGCCGGAAAGGGGTTCTTCTGCTGGTGGTGGTGGTGTTGTTGAGCGAGACCATCTCCCACGGGCTTGAAGCTTGTGACAATTGGCTGCGGGCGATTCCAGGCACCTTTTGGCTTCATCAAGATCAGGAGCGTGGAACGAATGAGTTCGAGAGTCTGCTGCACGCCCCTCAGCCGTACCATCGTTCGATTCAGCCTTGACTTTTGCCCCCAAACACCACAAGTCTCGGTCGCGTGTTTCGCTGGGCTAGTGAGGCCGACGCCCGCCATGGCCAACACTTGATCCCCCGTTGACAGCCCTTGCACCGACTTGGCTTGCAAAGTTGCAAGGCGCCTTTACCGTCTACGGAACCACAGATTCATCCCCCGTTTATCAAGCGATCCTGGCTGCTCTCTGCGTATCCGTACCACTGACGACACCTCGCAAGGTCCTCGTACGATATCCATTCCTCTGAACCCCCACCCTCAACCTACCTTTTTTATTTCAAGGGACGTAGAACCTTTCCCTCATGTCGAATGCACGGGACTCGGCCTCATACTCGTCTATCCTCTATTTCTCATAATCCCACTACTCCGGCTGGTCCGTCCATCGAACTCCTTCCTCTTGATTCCAGACAGAAATCCCCCGACCGTACTGCTCACCAGCTCACCAAACGTCTACGCAAGCTCGAGCAGCTCGCGGAGCGTGAAGAAATGAAGTTCTCGCACAGCATCCAGTTCAACGCTGTCCCGGACTGGAGCAGCAACTACATCTCGTACAGCAATCTCAAGAAGCTCATCTACACCCTCGAGAAGCAACTGAACAAGCAACCCGCCGAGCAGCCTCAAGATGAAGAGAACACAGCCTTGCTGGGTGCACAGCTCGATCCAGATAGCACGTTTAAGCGCATGCTCGACTCGGAACTGGACAAGGTTTGCTCGTTTTACCGGCTGAAAGAACTGGAAATCTTCGGCGACCTGGAACAATTGCTCAAAGATGCGGAGAAGTACAAGTCCGACACGAAAGATTTGGATATGGACGAGGTTGTCGACCTGGAGAACCGGCGGAAGGCGACTCGGTCGCAGAGTGTATTCAATTCGCCCTTCAAGCGCAGGAGGCGGGCCTCGACGCTGAGTGTGAGCATAGAGGAGCCCGAGATGGAGGAAGACAGTGACAGTGATGCTGAAGATCACTCTGCCATGCTCAGAAAGAAGCCCTCCAACCTGCGAAGGAGCAAGAGTGCGTGGAACGCCGAGTCTGATCGCACGGATCTGGGCGAGTCGAGAGAGAGTCTCGTACGTCCCGATTCACCGACCTACCTGAGACGAAGACCTAGTTTGGCTATGGAGCTGGAAGAATCTGATCCAGGACTCATGTCGGCATTGTACGACTCAGCCATCACTCTGAAGAAGAGGATCATCAGCGTCTACGTCTCGCTGTGTGAGCTGAAATCCTTTATCCAACTCAACCAGACGGGCTTCAAGAAGGCGGCAAAGAAATACGACAAGGTGTGCAACCGAGATATCCGAAAAGACTATCTCGAAAAGGTCGTCAACACGTCCTACCCCTTCCTCGAATCAACCATGGCACGTCTGGAAGAAAACATCCGCCAGGCGGAAAAGTGCTATGCCGAGATCGTCACCAAGGGAGACCAGAATCTAGCTCGACGAGAACTGCGCCTCCACCTACGGGAGCATGTCGTCTGGGAAAGGAACACGGTCTGGCGAGAGATGATTGGGATCGAGCGCAAAGCACAAGCCGCGAACTTCGGTATCAAGCAAACCTTGCTAGGTGGTGTACAAGATCCTTCTCAGGCTCGACTACAAGGAGACCGCGACGAGATTGCGACCAAGGAAATCGCCACTCCCGTCGGTCGTTACAGGTGTCCGAAATGGCTGTTTAGCTCGACTTTCTTCGCTCTGATAGCCATCTTGGCCATCTTCCTTGCACTTCTCTTCGTGCCTATCATGAAGAAGCCGGAACAGCAGAATTGTCTCGCAATGCTGGTATTCGTGTCCCTTCTGTGGGCGACCGAGGTCATCCCCCTCTTCGTCACCTCCCTTCTCGTGCCATTCCTGGTGGTTGTGCTGCGCATCATGCGGTCGGAGGACAAACCACACCATCGACTCGATTCGAAAGCCGCGACCAAAGCTGTCTTTGCCGCCATGTGGACTCCCGTCATTATGCTGTTGCTGGGCGGATTCACCATCGCTGCCGCGCTGTCCAAATATCATATTGCGAAGATGATGGCGACGTTCGTGCTCAGCAAAGCAGGCACAAAGGCCCGCACCGTACTGCTCACCAATATGTTTGTCGGCATGTTTTTGAGCATGTGGATCTCCAACGTTGCTGCTCCGGTCTTGTGCTTCAGTATAATTCAGCCCATCCTCCGCAATTTACCGGCCGATAGTAACATGTCAAAAGCGCTGATCTTGGGAATCGCCCTTGCTTCGAACATTGGCGGCATGGCCTCCCCAATCGCATCGCCACAGAACATCGTCGCGTTACAGAACATGAAGCCCGGCCCGAGTTGGGGCGTGTGGTTCTTCATCGCTATCCCAGTCTGCGTCATCAGCATCGTGCTGATTTGGCTGTTGCTGCTGGTCTCGTTCAAGCCAGGACGAGGAACGACGATCGTGCCGATTCGCCCGATGAAGGACAAACTCAACGGGATGCAATACTTTATTATCCTCGTCACGCTGGTTACAATCGTCCTGTGGTGCACGTCACATCAACTCGAGGGCATCTTTGGCGACATGGGTGTGATCGCAATCATTCCCCTCGTCTTATTTTTTGGCACAGGAATATTGACCAAGGAAGACTTCAACAATTTCCTGTGGACCATCATCATCCTCGCCGCCGGTGGATTGAGCCTAGGCAGGGCAGTCTCGTCATCAGGACTGCTGCACACGATAGCCAAGGGCATCACAGACGGTGTTGCGGACTTGTCCCTGTACGGCGTGCTCGTTGTCTTCGCGGCGCTGATCCTCGTCGTTGCCACCTTCATCTCACATACTGTTGCCGCGTTGATTATCTTACCCCTGGTCCAGCAGGTTGGCGCGGGCATGGATCAACCACATCCCAATCTGTTGGTCATGGGTTCCGCTCTGATGTGCTCGGCCGCCATGGGTTTGCCGACCAGTGGATTCCCGAATATGAGTATGTTTCTCCGCCCCCTCCCTCATCTCTATCTCTGCACTTTTTTCATATTCAGTTGGTAAGTTTTCTGTTTAACAAAGTGCTAACTGATTTTTCTCATAGCTGCAATCATGATGGAAGTTCCCGAGACCGGTGTACGATACTTGAGGGTCAAACACTTTTTGACGAGAGGCATTCCCTCGTCTATCATGTCTTTTGGAGTGATTGTGACTGTTGGCTATGGTCTCATGATGGCTGCGGGCCTGTAATCTACAGATTATTATACATGTTCTCTTTGAAATGAGACGCTACGTGGACCTTCGATCCGTATCTATCTCTTTATATACATACAAGACCTTCCCGTTTCCCTGAGCGATGTAGTACAAATCTCACAAGCAAGTCTTAGAACAGAAGATGTAATTCTGCCTTTAAGCTGATGGGACGGCCTCGAAGATTCCCTTGCCGGTGATTGCACCAAGCTGTTTTCGCAAAGACCTGACAATGGTGTTTGACCATTCAGGCAGCTTGGAAGCAGGAGTCACGTCACCCCTGTCTCCTTCGCATCTGATACACTGCCTATTCTTCGTAGCCTACGGTTATCGAGGTCTCAGATAGCCCAGTGTTCATCTCACTGTTTCAGGTGTGCTGTATGAGCACAGGATCTGTATAGGGCACACTAGATCCAGGTTGAACGGTGAATAGCAACTTCGGGTGCGACAGGGAATGGCATTCCATATCCGACAGTGTTCTCGTAGGTCTCCTTCAAATGTCGACATATGGCGTCGGGTCCAGGGTCGAGTGTGACGAACACGAAACATACCCAAAGTCGAGTCCGTTGTTCGGGACCAGTGCCTCTGCTTTGCTTTGCGACGAGGCTCGATGTACCCGTACAGTGCTTCTCTGGTCTAGCAAGGGTCCTGGCTGATCTTATTGCTGGCATGGAGTTGCCTCCACGCTGGACCATCATGGCGTTGACCGGGGCCTCTCTCACGGCTTGAGCTAGCTTCGTCGGGAGCTACAAGCTATGTCAACCAAGGCTTCGATACACTTGTTGTAAGCGGCATTGTTATAGCGGCACAGTAGTAGAACATGTTCTTCACCCTTCTTGTGCAGCGTCCTTGGTACTTCTTCGCACGACGAAATACTGTCCTCGCTTCTTGTCCGACTTGTGCGCGGCAGGGTCATTGCTGAGATTGAATGGATCCTCGAGCCGGTCGTCCGTGTGCTCCGCTTGGAACTGTCTTGGTTTCGTAAGGATGTTCCGACGAGGCTCTACCTCTTTGTTGCGTCGGATGGTTCCGTTCTTGCCCCGTTTCTCTTCGAGGTCGAGAAACTCTTTGAGCGAGGATCGGGTGAACTGTCGCTCGGACCGCGCCTCGGCCGTCTCGTCGCGCAGGGCCACCAGCGGCTGAACCCCCGTCGTGTCGACCTTTTGGATCTCCTTGACAAAGTGGACTTGTTGCCGGAGAGTGTTGAGCATGCTCGACTCTTCCTGCTTGCTGGCCGGGGGAGGGAGCGCGGAAAGACGGAGGAGATGGTGCAGCTTCTCGCGCGAGATTTCCGAGCTGTCTTCGGCTTTCTGGTCGGGCGAGGGCATCAGGGACGACACCGACCACGTTGGCGTCTGAAGCAGTTCGGAGATTCGAGGGTTGATCTCGATGTCCTTGACGACTTTCACGAATCGGTCTCGCTGCGGGCTTCGTTCTGGTCCTACAAGTTCCGGTCGGATGCGGAGAGGTACTCGTATGCGAGGCATGCTGGTGTCTTCTTGTATGGAGCAGTGAGATTGGAGCTTTGTAAGAGCACCTAGCTCTCACTCTGTATCGAATGCGCAGGTGTCCAAGAAAATAATATATCCAGGATAAACATCGTTTTGCGGGGGCGACGAGTTACGGTGACGAGTTACGATCACACGCAAGGCTCCGACCTACTTCCACCTACTCCGTACGAGGCAATGCCCAGGTAGTTTGCGTATCACTTGTCTCCCTCACATAGAACCATCCATCCATCCATCTCTCAACTGTCGAATCTTTCGCAACTCGTGACACCCTCGACGAAATCCGTCCGCATATCCAATCTCCCACGGATTATCCATTCCTCTCCTCTTTGCCGACCAACTTCCCCCTCCTTCGTTTGGACCCCCTCTTCAGCGAACCAAAACCACCACAATGGCCGGAGATCCTAGAGCACTGCTCCAGAAAGCCGACAAGGCGGCTTCAGGAGCGACGGGCGGCTTCAGTCTCTTTGGCGGACGGACAGAAAAATGGGAAAACGCCGCTGACCTCTACACACAAGCCGCCAATGCATTCCGGGTACAAAAGCAAAGTAAGCAAGCAACTCAGAACCCCCGAACGAGATGCCATTGAGACTGCATCCCTGTGCACAAAGCGCAAGTTACCGCTTCGGTGATGCCCTTTTTGGGGACCTACACTCATAGATGGAGCCAAAAACATTGCTAACCGCGACACCCGCGCACCCGCACACGCAGACTACGAAGCAGGTCAGGCATTTGAAAAGGCGGCGTCGATACAACAGAGCAAACTCAACGAGCCCGACGACATGGCCAACACGCTGACTGAGGCGTTCAAAGTGTACCGCAAGGAGTCGCCGACCGACGCAGCACGGGTGCTCCAGACGGCGATCCAGCACTACACGACCAAGGGCAACTTCCGGCGGGCGGCGACACACCAGCAGAACCTGGCGGAGGTGTTCGAGATGGAGATTGGCGACCAGAAGAAGGCGCTGGAGGCCTACGACACGGCGGCGCAGTGGTACGAGAGCGACAACGCCGAGGCGCTCGCCAACAAGCTGTACCTGAAAGTCGCCGACCTGGCGGCGCTCGAGGGCGACTACGCCAACGCCATCGCCAAGCTCGAGGCCGTGGCCCGCTCGTCACTCAACAACAACCTCATGCGCTGGAGCGTCAAGGACTACTTCCTCAAGGCGGGCATCTGCCACCTCGCCGCCGGCGACCTGGTCGCCACGAAGCGCGCCCTCGACCAGTATCGCGACCTCGACAACAGCTTCGCCGCAACCCGCGAGAACATGCTGCTCACCGACCTCGTCGCCGCCGTCGAGGAGGGCGACCAGGAAGCTTTCGCCGACAAGCTGTTCCAGTTCGACTCGCTGAGCAAACTGGACAAGTGGAAGACCACCATCCTGCTCAGAGTCAAGAATGCAATTGAGAAGGAGGAAGAGGACTTTTCGTAGAATTATTACTGTTACTACAGAATTGGCGTTACCGCACTACCTGATCGAGTGTGTTTGTGCCCAGCTTCAGGTTTACCCACGGCGTACGTTCTGTCCGTTGATGGCCTGGTAACAAGACGAGAGCGAACTCATGGCAAGTTGGGCTTGGAGATGGACACAAGGGGATGGGAATTGTGTGGATTGCCCCGTGTGATCGGGGAGGCAGCTTTTGTCAAAGGTGGGCATGGCATGGCGTGGTATCGCATTGCTTCATTAAACCAGAAACAAATCCAAATCCAAATCCAAGCCCGAGGCCGATGCTGGCCAGAGTCACGGTCGCGGTCACGGTCAGGGGCAGGACCAATGTTTTGTGGCCAAGGGTGCTTGATATCCATGACGACAAGGACTGAAATCTGCCTACAGTATGGGGTACCTAGATATTACTTACTGTACCAGAGGTGGAGGAGAAGGGTGACCCCCTTTGCTTGCTAGGTTTACCATATGATATACTCGATCGTACACGTACACGTACACGGGAGGACGGTGGTGGCGTTTCAGGGATACGACCCTTTTTTTTCCTTTTGATACGTTGTGCCTATTCTTTTATTGTGCAAGCCTGATCATGGCAATGACAATGAGAACGACAATGCCACTCACTACATGCGTCTATTCCGACCACCGAAAAGTTGTGTTCGTGACGATGCGAGTCCCCTAGGCTGATGGGGGACTGTGATTTTTCATGTCTTTGTCTACCAACTACCCTACCTAGGTATGTATGTATGTATATTGCATGCCATCCGACCCTCCAGACGTCAAGCTCGCGTTCACAAGTTCTATCAGAGCAAGTAGCTGTGCGTTACTTCCACACGTACACGGTGTATGTGCATCCCAATGCCAAATACGGAATGCAAAGTTCATTGCACACAATGCAAACAAATGATACATGTACGTAAAAACAAGAGAAAAAAGAAAAGATAGGCGATGCAAAGGCGAAATGAATAGACATACAACAGAACCCCCAGGCAAGGTAATTTTTGAAAAATGATTTTGGGCACCGCGACCACAAAACCCAACCCCGGCAGAAGTTGACGATGACTAGTACAGTACACACAGCGCGCCCGCCCCGTACTGTACACACCACGGTCTCAACACCAGGTAAAGACGGGCTGTTTGCCTTTGATGGTTTCCAGTCGTTCGACAATGACTTTGCGCTTGTTCTGTTCCATGTCGCTTGCGGCAGCATAGCCAAGGTCCCCTTCGAGGTCGTCCCCCTCGTACAAAATAATGGGGGCCCGCTTTCCGCTGCGAGTGGACATGGAGCGCTGCCTGCGCGCACTGGGTCTAGGCGCGGCTTCGCGGCGGGGGAAGTCGAAGCTGAATCTGTTCTGTTGTTTCTTCATGGTCGGACGAGGCGGCAGGCTCGCACTGTTGCCTAGGCTGTTCCTTGCTTCCTTGGCATAGTCGAATGAGTCGAACCCGCTAGTGTCGACTGGCGGGCTTGCTGGGCCTTCGTGGCCCGAGGCGAACGAGACATCACCAGCGCTATCGTCGCGCGTGAGGTCGAAGCGATTGGGGTTGGGGAGTTCCATCGTCGGCGAGCCAAGGAGGTCGTGCGTAGGTTGCTGCTGTCGTCCGGGAGGCGCCGAAGAGTATGATGCACCAATGTCCATTTCTTCTTGCTGGTCAAATCGCCGGTTTTTGCGGTGCATTTCTGTCGACGGGACACGCATGGGGATCGCCACCGGAACATCGACCAAGTCATCCCAGACGCAGACCCGTGTCCGTCGCGTCAGTTCCAACGGTCCATGGTCTTCTTGCTTGAGAGTCTCGACGACGTTCCATGCCTGGCCTTTCATGACAGCTATTTGGCGCGCAAACATGCTTTCTTTAAAATCATCATCAAGAGCAAACACTTTTCTGAGGGCCAGTTGGGTCTCGCTCCACCAAGCCGTCGAGGTCAAGAGGGGAAGGAAATGATCGCGAGTCTTCTTGGAGAAGGGTTGTCCGATGAGAGACACCGGCAGGAATAGCCAGCCGAATGGAAAACTCCGCCACTGCGATTGGTTAGTACACATATGCAGTGCTGTCAAGAAGAGGCTGTCCACTTACAGCATCAGGATGCTTCCACGGCCATGACAAACTGTTATCAATAGCTCCCAGAGTTATTGAGCAGTTGTTTTCTTGGCCAAGGGAAGGAGTAGCTGACCGGCTTTCCATAGCCTCGTACCTACGATAAGGCCTCGATGTATTGGATTCCGGGCGTGGGCTGACTGACATCTGTCGGGGTGTCGCGTCTCCATTCTGACCATCTCCCTGGGGCTTGGGAGGTTCAGCAATCAGCGAGACTTCTTCCAATTTCCAATCTATCTTAATCATCCAGTTGTCCAATCCTCGATCTGTATTCCGCATTATATAATCCAATATGACGAGTTTCTCAAGCTCTTCCCGAAATGCTTGTTTTATCGTGGGTGTCCAGTGGAATTTGGGTGCTTGTTCCATCTGGGGCTGAGGGGAAAGGAGACGAGGTGATTCTTCCTCGTCGTCGGAGTGTGCCGCACTAGGTATACAGTTCGACAGCGGTCTCCTTTTCCTTTTATGTTCAACATCTGCTCGGAACTCGGTGGCTTGGTCTGGCCAGGGATTCTCTCTCAAGAAGATGTTCGCGTCCTTGAAGCCCTTGAGGAAGACCTGGAAACTGCCCACTTTGGCCGGTAGGCTCTTCTTCCCTCTCCAGCTACTTCTTCGTTCCCAAAAGTCATAATAAAACGATTTGGAGGACAGCCAGACCACGTCGGTGTAAGGCACAATATATGTCCTCAGCTGTCGGTCCAGAACATATGCGGCGGCTTCGGAGACATATGACAAGTTGGGAATGAGACAGGCTCGGCCGAAGAAGAAAGGGAACAAGTTGCGGTGTATCCATTTTGTCCACTTCGGGTTTCTCGAAGCATATGGTTCTTCGTCCTTTGGTTTGAATACACCAACGACCTTGCCGTCGCTGTTTCGCGCAAAATAACTTCCCGAGCTTCCTTGGGATATCATTTTCGGGTGTACACCCATCTCAATGGCGACTCTGACGGTCTCGACAACATCATCAAACTGGTGCTTTGTCATGTGTTGTGTCTCGATTGCGGCATAGCTGGCCAGATCTTCTGCGGTATATGGCTGGATTCCAGGAGGGGCTTGGAATACGGTATGATGTATTTCAAGCTGTTCTTCCTCTTGCGTCTTGCCCTTGACCGAGTTTATCTTAAATTTCGTGACAATCTCTTCTGCCCACCTCTCCAACCGCGCATTGATGGCCTTGATGTCGACTCCTGAGGAATTACTTCGCATACGTCGTGTCGTTCTCCTTCCGGGGTTATATTGCGGGCCCGAGCGCATGCTCTCTCGCGGCCCAGGTTGTATTGAGGCATACCGGGTAGTCATTGGTGTTGTGTGATGGTTCTCGTGGTCTGAATCTTCGTCCCCTAATGGCTCCTCTTCATCTGCCTGCGCCAAGCGGGCGTATCCGGAAGTTGGTCTTTGGTGAGGCATGGCGTTCGGGTACAGCCATACGTGGTCGGTATAAGGGGAATTAATGAGGCCAGCCGGCAGAGTGTGCTGGCAAAAAATATGTTTTAGGAGGAAGAATATGACATCGTCAACGAAGGTCTGGCATCTCCAGATGCTGCTCTAGCCACGTTCTGTAGATGTTTAGGTAATAGGACAAGGGTGCAATCGATTTAGGGGTGCAGGTTGCGCGTAAGGTCTCCTTGGTGCAACGAAGAACAACAGCGAAGCATTTGGACCAGACGTTCTGGTTTGATGCTTAACGTGAAATCTGCAGCTTAGACTGAGTCTATCGGGCAGCTATGAACATGCTGTATCTTGGATACTGCTAGACGCATTGAGAACTATCGAGGGCAGTGCTCCAGGAATAGCAAAAGCACCACTGGGTCATTATGCGTGGAGAAAAAGCGGAAGGTATATTACGGAGTTTTACTGTAATCTTGCACTTGTATCGACTGCAACAAACTCCGAGACTCTTTCGACGATTTTCGACAGAGACGTATCCTCACATCACATATATAGAGCTTGAGGACGTATTGTATGGTTTCCCTGTTCATGTAAGGCCCACGTGAAGTTTCAACTAGCTATATCCACCGAGCTCTTCCTGTCGACGTAGGTAGAATGTATGTGCTGAGTTCTCGGCCAGGTGAGAAGCTCTGTAAACGCATGAGATGTGCTGCAAAAGGTTCTGATCTTGGGGATCGCGAAGAAGTTCCTATGGAACGAGATCCTACACACTTGATCAGCTTTACAGACTGTGACGCTTAATGGCTCCTCTTCATAGCATGAAGAACGGCGGGGAGAAACCCCCCCGGCCACGGTTGATTTGCATGCGTGGCGACTGACTCCAGCCCCAGCACCAGGATCAGATTCTCCATCACTTTTGTTCGCAGTTGTGTTTCCACATGGCTGTCTGGGTCAGGACGGTATGGTGTTTCAGCAGGAGCATGGTCGACAGGAAGGACCTCAGCATTGCGGATCTAAGTTGCTTTTCACGATGTATGTACCACCGCTCAGAAGCTCTGCAGAAGGAAAGCAAACCCCTACCGCCTAACACAGGGTAAGAAAAGAGCAAAAGCAACGAGATCGCAATCATGTCGGCGCATAGGAAGCTGCGTTATGAGAAAGCAAGGCCAGTAACGTTCGAGGCAATGACGGAGGGACTCTCCCGCAGTCCTGCAACGGATGGTGTGTACCACATTGGTGGCGTTGTTAGTCAAAGGCTCGTGTGAAATGGGCGCAATTGCTTATCGTGCACTGCCGATTGGTGCACCGCAGGGAATCAATAACATAAACGCAGTTGCCAACAACTTCGGCAACAGTTAAGGCTGCAAGGTACCGCATATTGGCATGGCAGTTATTGGCAGAAATATACGGAGCAATGAACGGAGTATCTCTTGTCTAGAACACTGTTGGAGGTGGTATTGCTTCTTTGCTCTTACACAACTCGTCAAAGTTCTTTTGTTTGACCGTCATGCCACCCGGCGCCTGCGGTGTCCAGAGGCGCACATCCGCAAGCGCGGCACTTTCCAATGACTTACTCGGGTTGATGATAGAGCGACCATAAGCAAATCCTTCAGCGTGCTATACGCATCCCGCGGTGGAGTTGTGCTCCGTTTACGTGGTCGGCTCGACAGCCGTTCGACCATTCGTGTAGTGCGTGCCCCCGTGCTCACTGCAAGCCTGCCTCATGCCGACTTGGAGGGTAAATCTGTGTAGCCAGCTTCTTTGTCTGACGTCTGCTCCATGCTCCTCTAAGGCAGTCATTACCTCAGACTTTGCTGGGTGGGAGGCCGATTGCGGCAGGAGAATCGATCGACGACCTTATCTTGTAAGCTTTGGTATTGCAGCAATGGTGAATGGTGAAGGGTGAAGCACAGTGGGGTAGCAGGCGAGAGGCGAAGAGGCGATAATCGAGACGTCGTCGGCGGCCACGAGTCGGGCAGTGCGTTAACTGTGGCCCAGGGGGCCCTGTTTGTTGAGGATCGGGGTCAAATATTGCGCAGTGGTGGCCGCCGGGGAGATGGTGTTCTAGGCGTCGGCTGCGTTACGGGTAGCAGCGTGGTTTGTGCTAGAGGCTAGAGGCTAATTAGAGGCAGGGAGGGGCTCAATGCCTGGCGGGGCAATCGAGGGCGGGCAACAGCGACCGCCGACTGCAAGCATCTGCTCGCTGCCAGTGCGAGTAGGAGGGGGGCAAGCTCCATCCATAGATTTATTTATTGCTTGCTCTGCCCGTTTCTCTTCGTTATCTATCTTCATTCCCACTTCCTCTCTTTATCCCACTGCCTCAGATTCAGTTGATCTGTTCAGCCGGGGTTAAAACAGTCGTCTATATCACATTCCGCACACTACTCATTTTTGTGTACATTCCTGATCACTAGTGCCCATCATGGTATGTTTTCTTGCGCACAGTCTTGTTGTGCGCTCTATACGACCAAGTCACTGACTTCTCATTCAGGCTGGCGTCGGTGAATCAACCATTGTTTCGAATGCCGCCAACGTGAGTGTTACCCCTGCTGACGACGCAAACCCGCTGGGATTCCTCGCCTGGGCAATGCTGACCATCTTTGCAGTTGGCAAAGTACATGAAGTTGGACCAAAAAGGCAAGGTCCTCGCCGAGTACATCTGGATTGATGGTACGAACGGCCTCCGAAACAAGACAAAGGTAAGCATACTTCCCTCACTCTCATTGATTCCATCTCGGTGTCGCCACCAACTTCTGCTCAACCATCCAATTCGATCTGCAACGACCGTCAACAACTTTGTCGCAGCCACGGCAATCAACCGGCTCGCCATCCAAATGGTTGACCCCACGCTCGGTCATACTGGTCCATGCGGCGCTGCACTACGAAGTGTGGCTCAAAGTCTTGGGATTATCCCGACCTTGCTCCGCCCCTGACACCAACGCTTTTGCGCCAATCACGTTGTAGTTGGCCCGGTCTCGGCACAGCGGGAGGCGACGTCAATGTGCCCTTTCCGTCAGCGCCCATCACGGCGAACGCATTACGGCCTAACGGCGAAGTTGACACATGGAAATTGATCTGAATCCCAGAATCATCAGGCTAACCTACTTGGCGACTTCTAGACTCTGAGCAAGGCTCCCAAGTCCGTCGACGATCTCCCAGAATGGAACTTCGACGGTTCTTCGACTGGCCAAGCCCCAGGCGACAACTCCGATGTCTACATCCGACCTGTGGCCATGTTCCCCGATCCAATCCGTCTAGGCGATAACATCCTCGTCATGTGCGAGACCTGGGACCCAGATGGAACACCAAACAAGTTCAACTACCGACACGATGCGGCTCGTCTGATGGAAGCGAACGCCAAGCACAAGGTTTGGTTTGGTCTGGAACAAGAATACACTCTCCTAGGCCCTGATGGCTGGCCGTACGGTTGGCCCAAGGGTGGCTTCCCCGGCCCTCAGGGTCCTTACTACTGCGGTGTTGGCACCGGCCGTGTATACTGCCGTGACATCGTCGAAGCACACCACAAGGCTTGCATGTACGCTGGTATTGAGATCTCTGGCACCAACGCCGAGGTCATGCCTGCACAGTGGGAGTACCAAGTCGGACCTTGCGAGGGTATCAACTGTAAGTTTTATGCGCCAAGATGCGTGGAACACGGTACTGACGAGGCCAGTGGGTGATCAACTCTGGGTTTCTCGATGGCTCCTCCACCGTATCGCCGAGGAGTTCGGTGCTGTTGTCTCCTTCCAACCCAAGCCTATCCCCGGTGACTGGAACGGTGCTGGTCTGCACACCAACGTCTCATCCAAAGAGATGCGCGAAGAGGGTGGAATGAAATACATTGAAGAGGCCATGAAGAAGCTTGAGAAGCGCCACGTTGAGCACATCAAGGTGTACGGTGAAGGAAACGAGCTGCGCATGACCGGTGCCCACGAAACCTCATCTATCGACAAGTTCACCTGGGGTGTAGCCAACCGTGGCTCATCTGTCCGTATTCCCCGTGCCTGCGCCAAGGAAGGCAAGGGTTACTTCGAGGATCGACGACCTGCTTCCAATGCCGACCCCTATCGTAAGGAGCTTCCCTATCATGATCAAGCCTAATTTGATACTAACGAATTGCACAGAAATTACCGGCATCATCGTCGAGACCATGTATGGATCTCTTCCCGAGGAAAAGTTTTAAATCCAGATACCCTCTATCGCTGTTGTGGAAGACATTGAATGAGGAGCGAAGCTTGTTCTAGATCCAGGAGCTTAAGGGTTGCACAGGGCGTTCTTTGTTCCTGAGTGTGCTTGTTGCTGTTCATTAGCGGATCAAAAGACGCTACAGTATGCTGGAGAGAAATGAGAGGACTCTTGTTTAGAGCGCCGCTAGAGCCATAAGCGAATGAATGATTATGACCACCTATGCAATAGATGCGGTTTTGGTGGTTCATACTCTCTATTTCTAATCCTTGGTCGGTTAATGGCCAATCCCGGCAGTCGAGAGATTAAGCTGATGTTGCCATTGCCAGTCCGCATCAACCTCGATCTCTATTCTTACTTTGCCCGCCAGAATCCTTCATTCGTCGTGACCGAAATCAGGGTCAGCCTTCTTCCCGGCTATGAATCTTCTTGTGCTCGAGACCAGGGTCCTGTTGAGCGCCCTGTCATTGCTCCGCGTGGACGCTGTTGGAGAACCAGCTTTTCCAAGGATGTTTCCGTACACAAATGGAATATTGGTCAAGCAAGGATGCAGGTAGGTCTCACTACAAGTTCCGTTGACGTCGAGCACAGCCAATGACCGCCTTGGTCTCAACAGCCACCACAAGGTCCTGGACGGGTCAAGGCTAGATTAGGTCAGCAGTCAGTTACATCTCCTGTTTCCAAGGTAATAGGTGGAAATGACCGTCTACTGATAAGGCGTCAGTCAAACTCGCGGACCAAAAGTGCACGGGGATCTGGGACAAGGCTGCATCGTGCATGGGGAGTGTTCCATGCTGGCGGCTTCCTGGTCCTACCGTCGTCCTCGACAAGGGACGGGCCATGCTGGTAGTACCACATGCACGATTAGGTCACTCCTGCTGGGGTGATCTTCCTGTGGAATGTACGAGGTACCTCCCCTCGTCATAGATCAGACTGGAGACATTGTTTCCCGCATCAACCCAAGGTGCTGGTTCAGCACTTGGAGATGTGGTTGACCGACATCCCATCACTGCGTCGATCAGCTCAGTCGATCTCGATGGATTCGTTATCGGCGATCGGACCAGCAATCTCAATCAAATAGAATCGCATTCTTGCTCCCATCGATATTTATCGTGAAGAGAGAGAAAGAGAAGCTCGCATCGACATCTTTGGCGATCATCTCTCTCTCTGACATCACTTTGTTTTTTGCCAGTCTTCACCAGGATCTTGGTTGGGCGGGTTCAGAGCCGCCTCAAGACGAGAGCTGATAAGAACATGAGACTGACTGCAAAGCGCATGCTTTTGTCCCTCGCTTCCTACCAGGGACCCCCTTTGTCACTCCATATTGCTTTAGGCGACAAGCGTTCAGGTGATTGTCAGACATTTCTCTGCATGATTGCTTCTTTCTAGCCCCTTGGTCAACTTGAGCTCGCTGCAGCTGCAAATTTTCTTTTCATCTGCATGACATGAAAAGTCAGAACAGCCTATGTCAGAACTGGCATGGACTGATCTTCATTGCACACAGTCAGTCCATGGCGGCTCACACCATCTGGAAAGGGGATGGGGAACCCCAGAGTCGACGTCCGACTCCCCAGAACGACGCGTAGCAGCAGCCCATATCCCATAACCACTGAATCAGCACAGCCTCTGCAGCAAACAAAACAGCAGTGTGAGGGAAGCGAAACTCACGTGCTCTGCGTAACGTCGGATGTACTATTGGCTACAGATAAGGTAAATTTTGGCTTGCATTAGCCTGCATTTCGCCCAGCACAATCCCGGGCGACGGGAGACGCAGGTTGGCGGAGCCTGTCTTAATATGGTTAGCGTAGATGGCCAAGCTATGCCCCTGCTTGAGTCTAAATTCATTTAATCGTGATAAGGCAACACGCTGTGATTGGCTTGACAGTTGCAATGATTTATGGCATGAAGAATTGCACAGTCCTTTATTGAATCGCATGCAATAAGCAAGTTCAGCTGTGCTCTTGGCATTACGAGACAAATTCCCTATTTCCACGAGAATTCCCGACTTTTATTGTTTGTTCACAAAGTCCCAGTGAGGCCTGGGGCGAGCGCTGAGAGGTAAATTCTGGACTGCACAGACGGGCCTACTACGACCCCGGTCTATGTGTCAACAGTTACTGCCAAAGACAGCTGCTGTTAAACATCCCAGCCAAGCCAAGATTCAACAACATATCAGGCAACATGGCCCACGGGTGGCTCTTGGGACTCGAGCAAGGCGAGGCCAAGAAGGCCCAAAGGCTGGGCATGATGGGAAACAGTCTCGCTGCCATCGACATTTGAATTGCATCGATGTTCCAGAATTGCCGGGCCAGTTACAGCAGGGACAATGGGCAGTGCTGCGGTCGATCAAGTGGACGAGATGGAGACTAGCGCGACGAGCAATCCCTGGTAAGGAGAAGAACAGTGCGTAAAAGTGTGATGCAGTCTGGTCCCTGGGCCAGCAATTCGCGGGTAATATGCTCGATCCATTCTTATTCCATTGTATGTCTAACGACGCTTTGTCAATCGGATGACGTGGGCTCCACTGATCCACGCCACCGACGCAGCTCCACAAAACACTTTGAGATTCTAGCTTCACCACGCTCAACAGTCGAGTCGAAGCACGAGACAATAATGACGCCCTGCCCTCTTCCGACACGCCGATGTCGCCCAGAAATGGCCCAGACATGTCACATCTATTCTCACTCGCATCCTCGTGAGCTTGCATTGCTTTTTCCCTTGGACTGGATCGCTGGCTCGTCTTGATATACCGCCAACCTCCATCCCTCCTCGAGCTCCGTTTGCCCTCACCAACTCCGACGACTTTGGCGTCCTAGCCGATCACCCGCCTTGCTAATACTGTATTCTACCGACCTGAGGAGCTGCACCGCAAGCACGTCCACATCGAATTGAATTGGGCTGACGTCGAGTGCACGGCGAACATCCGGTGTGCGGCCGTCACCCTTTTTTAAAACAGCCATCCCGAAGGCAAGGTCGTCACGCGAGCACTGTGGCCTCGACCTCATCAAGTCACAACGAGCACAAGTAACCCACAGCCGCCAACATGTCGGATTCAGGCATCGCCGACTACCTCCCAACCTATGCCTCGTACAACTGGACAGGGTCTCCCGCAGATTACACCCTGGCCACAAATGCTCAAACCGGAGGAGATTCAAGTATGTCATCATTCATCTACGTCGGCCCGTCGTCTGCACAAATCACCGTTCTAACCGTGGCTAAGGGGTTGAAAATCTGAACAAATGGTACCAGTCTGGCGATACGGCCTACATCATCATATCCTCATGTCTCGTTCTTATAATGGTGCCCGGTCTCGGATTTCTATACTCTGGGCTGGCACGAAGAAAGTCGGCCCTCTCGATGATGTGGGCGTGTATGGCCGCCGGGAGTATAATCAACTTTCAGTGGTATTTCTGGGGTTACTCGTTGACCTTCTCCCCGACCGGGCAGAGTGGTTTCATCGGTGATCTTGTCCATTTTGGATTGAAGAGAGTGCTTGGAAACCCGAGTCCTGGATCACCTCTCGTCTCCAGTCTTTTATATTCCTTTTACCAGGTACGCACGCATCGTTCGAAGAAAGCAGGGCGGAGTTGCGAGGCTTTTTATTGGTCAAGAGACAACATGTGTCTAACAATGTGCCATAACAGATGCAATTCTGCTGTGTCACCGCTGCCATTGTGGCAGGAGCCGTCGCTGAACGCGGTAGACTTATGCCCTTCCTCGTCTGGACTTTCCTCTGGGCCACCCTGGTGTACAATCCCATTGCCTGTTGGGCGTGGAACGCCAACGGCTGGGCCTTCAAGTACGGTGTCATGGATTACGCGGGCGGAGGCCCCGTCGAAATTGGTTCGGGCATGTCTGCATTGGCGTATTCCATGGTGCTGGGAAAACGTCAGGAGAAGATGATGCTGAACTTCCGTCCGCACAACGTCTCCTTCATCCTCTTGGGGACTGTGTTGCTTTGGTTTGGATGGCTCGGTTTCAACGGCGGCTCGGCTTTCGGCGCCAACCTGCGCGCAGTTATGGCTTGCTGGAACTCCAACCTGACAGCCACCATGGCAGCCATCACTTGGACTCTTCTCGACTTTCGACTGGCCCGAAAGTGGACCATGGTCGGTTGGTGTTCCGGGACCATCTCTGGTCTTGTGGCTGCCACTCCGGCCTCTGGTTACGTCGACACTTGGGGCTCTATTGTTCTGGGTATCGTGACCGGCGTTGCTTGTAACTTTGGCACCAAGAGTAAGTTTGTGGATGATGATGATGACGGGCATTGGCCCTCTTGTTGTTTTTTTGGTCCAAGATTACTAACGTTCCGTGTCTGTGTTTCTAGTCAAGTACTGGATTCGAATCGACGACTCGATGGACGTGTTCGCCGAACACGGTCTCGCTGGCATGATCGGCCTCATGTTCAACGCTCTCTTTGGCGTCGACTACATCGTCGGTCTCGACGGCGTCAACACCGGCTCCAGCAATCCCACCACGGGAACCGGCATCGGCGGATGGCCCATCGGCAACTACCGCCAGTTCTACATCCAGCTCGCCTACATCCTCGCGTGCACAGGGTACGCCTTCGTCATGAGCGCCATCCTGGCGTACATTGTCAACTACATCCCCGGTCTCCACCTGAGGGCCTCGGAGGAAGCGGAGCTGCTCGGCATGGACGACGACCAGCTCGGCGAATTCGCCTACGACTACGTCGAGGTCCGCAGAGATTACCTCGCCTGGACCCCGCAGAGGACCGAGCAATACGGCGCCGACCCGGACCTCCCCCAGGAAGACCGCCACGGCATCGGCGAGCATTCCAAGATGATCAAGGAAGGATCGAACGACGCCGCGAGTTCCGGCTCGGGCTCTGGATCTGGAACACACAACGGTCGCTTCCCGGCCCAAGGTGATCGTCACGCTGTCGCCTTGGAAGACCAAGAGAAGACCAAGCATCTAGCCGACCGTGAGAGCCACGGGGAAACATTGACGACGCCAGCGGAGAAAAAATCTGCTTGAAAATGTGATCCATCCGTACCTGGGCAAAGATTGATCCGTCCGTCGTAACCCCACTTCCATTTTTGTATCTATAGACTTTGTGGCCTGGAGGTGGTGGTGGGGGTGGTGGTGGCGGCTGCGGCTCTGGCTGTTGTTGTTGTTCGTTGGGTCTTCGCTGCGGCTCGGATATGAATACGACTTTGACTACTTCTCCTTGTGGCCTGATTTTCTTTTCCTTTTGTTTTCGAGACCCGAATGAACTGAACTGAGCGAGTTGACAACGTGGAATTGGCGTTTCTTTTATCGTTTCCGCACGTCATGTGTCGTGGTGTTGACGTGCGCGAGACAGATGACTGTAGATCTACTGTAGATATCTAGCTTTTGAAGAGTGAACCCTCGATGGATCTTTGGTCCCCCGGACTCGGTCGACTCGACGGAGTTGTTTTGTTTTGTTTTTTGGAAAAAAACAAAAAAGGAGTGAAAATTCACCGGCTGGATGTATACATCTCTTGCGTACGATGAAAAATAGACGCTGCACGCCTGACTTGGTTGGGTAGTAAGATTGGTTTACCCGGGGTTGGATGTCCGTCCTCCAGAAACATTTCGATGAATGGTAGGTAGAGAACAACCTGGCCTTCAGAAAAATCACTTTGGTAATACTACATGCAGTTGCGATAAGATGTCGATCTCACTCCGCGCCATCATCTGTGTATACGCAATCAAGCACTGAACGTTCAAAAGCCATGCACTTCTCGACCAACATCGCACAAATACTCCCACAGTTGATCTATATTACTCGGTGATATCTAGATGTATCTATTCTACGTCTTTAATTAATAATCTTGAAACCTTTAAAAAGCTCAACGCAATCATGAAAGTCATGGTCATGTTGTTTTTGACCGGGGTATCTTGTTGCTGTCGTTGTTCGTCGTCGTCTTCTTCTTCTTCTTCACCACACCTTTACTTTGAGCACCTGAACTAGCCCGAAGACCCGTTCCCATCCCCACGTGTATACCCAACTTCACACCCCTTCGATTCTCCTTTTCCCTCCCTTCACTCACCTTGTCTTTCTCATATGTAGTCCATTTTCGCAAAGCTTGATCACGAAGCTCATCAATCTCAGCCTGTCGTGCTGAATACTCGTACGTTGGTCCAGTAGCATTCATAGTTTTCTGGTTTCTCAAAATGGCTGCATCTCTTTGTCCCTGTGCAATCCGTGCTCTACGGATCCATCGATCCGTTTTCTCAGTATCGAGTATGCGTTTCCTTGCTCCCTGACGAATCCCTTTGAACGTATACGCACCCAAGCCAAGGGACCCGGCAATCGGTTTTAAAACCAGGCCGCCAAAGCCTTTGGCCACGCCCTTGGGAAGCCCCTTCCAGCCTGTTTCGCGAACCTCCAACTGCGGCAGACGCACCAGTCCTGTGACACCATCATATGTCCCGAACCAGCATTCGGTGAGAGCAACCTTCATACCACTTCGCAAACCTGTGATCCTTTTGTTTGGCGCTGGTCGCACCGTCTTGTCTCCGTACAGTCTGGGTGCGTTGTGGAATCCAAGAGCCGTCGCATTCAACATTCTAAACGGTAATGCCAATATCGCATGGGTCGATTGCCCAATGCCTTCGCCGATGTGTTTGATCAGAACAACCGCATGCGACGAGCCTCCCATAGACGAGCGTGTTGTGGACCGGCTCAAACCATTAGACTCATCCGAGCCCCGCGACGAAAGGACAACTGGGAATCGGAGAGGCTCTGCATTTCCCCGAAGGTTCAGGTTTCGCTTTATCCTGGTATGCTCCTGTCTTTGTTCCTCCACACTGGTTCCTCTAGCTGCGTAGGCAATTTTCCCGGGCAGGATCAATCCATCAATGGCCGACTTTCCTTTGTGCTTTCGTATATGTCGTTCATATCTTTTGAGATCTTTCTTGGCCTCTTCGTGCATGTCGCTTAAGCCATGCAATGCTTCTTGAAATGCCTGCACAATTGCACCACCAGCACCAGTAATAGGTTCGCCAGGCCCTTGAAAATCATTCCATTCACGAATCTTCTGCAAATGCAGATCCGAATATAGAAGCTCCTGATTCTCCACCAACAAATCTGCCGCAAGAGGCGACAATCGGATCGATGTGTGCTTCGTCTTCCAGACAGCAACGCGGCCCGGCATTATGTCGCAACGCATCGAATGAGGACCATCCAGCGGCAATGCCCGATGGAAAGAGTCTACTGCATTCTCCGCTCCATCGCCTTCCTCCTGAATACCTTTAGCGATCTCTTCAGCCTTTGCTCGAGCTTCAGGCTCAAGACACTCTCGAATGCCTTGCGCAAACTTGTCACTATCGAGCCTTTTCAAGGGTAGGGCTTGTTTTGCACCAGCCCCGGCCCGAGCAATCATAGCACTCCAGAATGGCTGGTCACCAAAGAAAGGGACAATCATTGTCGGCTTCCCAAATCTCAAACCTGCCGCAGTGGTGCCTGCGCCACCATGATGAACCACTGCGTCGACTCTGGGAAAAAGCCAGTCGTGTGGTACGTTATCCAGTAGGAAGATTCCGTCTGGTTTTTCCAAACCATCACCCATACCACCCCAGCCACGACTAATGATTGCGCGAACGTTTGCTTTTGCTACCGCATCGAATATCATCTGACAGAAAGCTGTCGGGTCGTCGATTCCAGATATCGACCCAAAACCGATGTAGATTATGGGTCGCTTATCTTCTCCTGACCGATCGAGAAAGTGAGCCAAGTCACTAGGTGGCTTGTAGGACGAAGCAAGGTCCAGGAAAACATAACCAGCAATGTCGATTTCTGGTCCCCAATCTGCAGGTTTAGGGACGAGTTTGGGACTCCAAAGGTACGTCATCGGCACCTTGAGTCGAGATAACTGACCAGGCGCCCATAACGTGGAGACGGGGTCCAAGCCTAGAGTCTTCACTCGAAACCGATTGACAAGATCTCCCAAGCCCTGCCAGGTCATCAGATCGACCAGAGGATATGACATGTAATTGACATAGCGCTGGTCAACATTGGTAGATTTGATATTGGCCAGTGGATGCGGAAAAGCCTGAGTAGGAGAGTATGGAAACGTGAATACCAGATGTAGGGGGATACTGAGCCTCTCAGCACAGTGATAGTGAGCAAACGAGGGCGGGTTAGCAATGATTGCATCGGCCACAAATGGAGGCTTGCTTCCCATCATCTTCAAGTTGGCGGTGTCCGTCTCGTCGTCAGTGGCATTGATGCAAGCTCTCCAGAAGCCTTGGAACATCTGGTACATGGACTCTCTTCGCCGGCCGACTTCTCCAGTCTTGACTGTTTCGAATGACGGTATCAAACCAGGATTCTTGACCATGAAAGCCATCAACTCTGCAGGATCTCCGCCAACAGAAAAGAATTCTAGTCCAACTTCCTCTTCGACAAACTTCTTGAACGCCGGATGAGAGGCAATTCTGACTCTGTGGTTGTACTTGTCTTGCAGGATCTTGCCGATTCTAAGAAAGGGCTGTATGTCACCACGACTGCCAATAACCATGATTACAATGTTGAGCGGCGGTATCTGAGGCTTTGCGTGCAGGAAGTCCCATTTTGCCTGTTCCGCATTCTCGATATCTTGGGCATGGTGAGTACCCAGTTGGCGCTTGATTGTGGCTCCCAGGGCTTTGGCAAGGTACCCAGTCTCTGCCTTTTCACTTACGGAGATATTCAGTCTGCCATCTTTTGCAATTCGTCCTCTCGACTGGAAGAATTCATTGCCAACTTTAAGGTTTGAACGCCTTGGTGTTATACGGGAACGATTGAGATGAGACTTTGCGAGAGCACTGTCGCCTGGAGCAGTCCGTGAACGCTGTATTTCAGTGAGCACTTCATCATCCGAAGAAGACCATCCATCAGATTCACTGAAGACTGCAGCGTCCTCAGAGGCTCGAGCAACTCGCTCGTTTACGGCAGAACGATGCTGTCTGAGGGGAGCAGGAGGCCTTTGCGCGACGGGATGCGATATCTCGGTCTCAAACTTACGAGCAGCTAAGACTGGTCGCTGAAACTTGATATTCTCGTCGAGTATGGCGTCCGAGTGCCTCTCCTTTGAGTATTTCTGGTGGTGCGGTACCTCGTAGAGTGTGGAATCCGAGTCAAGCTGCGAATGGGCGCCAGCGGAATCATGTCTCTCGGGGCAAGTAAAGGAAGTGGGAGGCGGTTTGACGGGAGGGCTGTCTTGGTAGTCAATCGCGGCGGTTGCCAACGGAGCAAGAGTGTTGGCCATCAGAGTCGGCAGGGTTCATGATGCTCGCACATAATGCAGGGCAGAGCGAGAGGCGAACTGCGTGGAGGTAGACTGCGCACTCAGTCCTAGTGGGGGCCTTGCGGCTAGAGATGAGATAGTATTAGGACGACGTGTCGGAACAATCGGTAAAGGAAAGATATAACAATATACTGCTGTGAGGTTTTCCACAGGGGTTTCCTCGTAGTGTGAGACAGGATTGTACCTGGACAAGCATGTATAGTAAGTACTTTTGGAGGGAATATTTTTGTATGAGGAGAAATCGACAATTGCAGTTGCGTCACTGACCGCGGCGTCATTATTTTCCGGAGCGCCGAATGGGACAATACTCTACGAGTACTCGTACTCGTACACCTACCTGCAAGTATGTGCTGTAGCTACGGACGTAAATGAGACGGAGGGCTGACTGCTACTCCCGGACCACAAGTGTACTCTTGCCAGAGGTATGTATTTGTCTCATTGCTCATCGCCACCGTTGTCATGTTGCAGACTGACTCTGGACCAACAACACTCTGTAGCCACATCATGCATGTCCTCAACCTTACAGAGGACCATCTCTTAGGCGTTGCCTTGCCTTCTCCTTTGCATCAGTCTGATTAATCACCCTGTCATCTCTGCCGCGTGCTTCCATAGCCTTCCTATGTGCCCTCCTCTTACCTCAGCGATCTAGCAAAAGGTGCGGGAGTACAAGAAATGCGGTAATTGATTCGCCAGCCCATCCGAACATGGCGGGAGCCATTCACCTGCTGGTCTCAAGGCTTTAAGCTGTCCATTGCTGGCGTTTTCCGCGGGGATCTTGAAGATCTTCCAGGTACCCAAGCGCCGAGAAAATGCTAGCTTTCGCGCCTGGAGCTTCCGACTATTAGCCTGTTGCGCCAAAAGACCACTGGCCAGTCAAGACAGTACGGAAATATGTACTACAGATTCCATTGGCAATTCCAAGCCTATAGGCATGTCACAGTACCTGGGGCCAGTGGGCTGATGAGCAAACACCACGAAGTACCCTGAGAAAGGCTGCGTAACCTGTCCAATTTGATACAGGGCCTGGCCAATGCCTTGGAAACCTCAAGACGGACCTAATTTGGCTGCTATCGAGTCCGAATTTCTGCTCATCATGGAGGCCTAGACTCGATCTGCAGATTGGGGTTCAAAACTTTGGAACAGTCTTCGGAAATCCCCAGGCACGAGACATTGGCGTTGTGTTTTCGATCCGGGGCTTGTCTGCGCTCTACGATCATCACCCATTCAGGAGCACGAGTTTCTGTTTTACCAGCCCTCATACGCTCTCGTATCAGAGACTCCTTGCCGCTCCACGCCGGCTACTCGTTTGCCGGGCGAGCTGCACCACATTGAGTACATATCGACAGCAGAACCAAAAACACAAGTGCGGATTTTGCTCAACTAGTCCAGCTGTAGCTCAGCCGCATCAGCAGCCAATACCACTTCGTTACCGTCAATGGTCCATCAACGAGGGTTCGCCTGAAGACGGCCATGTCTGTATGAATGTGTTCAAACGTATGTGTTTTTGTGCGTTCTAAACGTCCTCTCAAATGTGCACCACAGCTGTCCCCGCTACCCGGTCAGCAGCGACCGATACCCTGACGCGCAGCAAAAGCCTCGTGAAAAGACTGACCAAGACAGGAAGATCCCGGCAGACCCCAGCGATTTCGACCATTCTAAATTGGGGAGCAAGCATTGCATGCACCTTGCTCGTCAAGTCCAAGAAAGTGCCACACACACAACTGCAAGTGGTGGTTAAGCGGACCACAGCCATGATGTCCTGGCTTCCTCACCTCTTGCAGTCACCCTGTCACCATCGCTTCTGCAGGCCCTCCTCAGCTGCATCTGCATGTCATTCCTCGCACCTCAGGCGTCTCCGGTCTCCTCCCTCGACCTTACATCCACCCATGCTAGCACGCACTTTCCCCATCCTGATTTGTTACGTGGCGAGACCGGCGTTCTTTTCTTCCTTTTACGATGTTCGGTTGGTATACAAGGTGGCCGGTTATGCAACAAACCAAACCTTCCTTCTCTTTCCTCATTCTTTCCTCCCCCTCCCCCGGCTGCACCAGGAGACATCTATTGAACTCCCAAGTAGCTCAAGCCAAGCGATGGCGATCATTTCTCAACCTTCACATATTTCTGACAGTCGGCTCCGGCCATGTGGCACATTTCATTTATCTTGACATAACGCTAGGCAACGGTAGGTGTTGATGAAGGCTCGACGAGTTGTTTCGGCTGCTGTCGGTACAAGCTGCGGTGACCTGGGTACTATCGAGAGGGGCCCTCTTGAGGGTCATCGTCCTCAGCACCTGCTCGGGCACCCCTCCCTCTTGTTCTTCCTGTTTGCTGCCAAGTTCTACGGCATTGATGCAGTCTCTGCTCACAGCCGGATTGGACCAGGGTTCCATCAAATCCCGGCGGAAACAGTCTTCTGTCCGTGCACATGGTTTTCAACATCCGGACGACTTGCTGCTTCTCGACCTCGGGGATGGCTGACCACACGGTCTCTTGGTTAGCCCAGCTGGAATGCGGATGACGTGCGCAGTACTCTCGATGCACGTTGAGAGCATAACTACAACACGGTTAGAGAGATGAGGCTGGGAGTCCACGAGCAGAGTCGGGACGAACGTCTTGAAATTGTCGAATTGTTGTTTACTCAAGCCCAGCTTCTGTCGCACCTCCTCGGGAGGGTCTCGAAGTTTAATGGTAACAGGTGCCATATGGAGTCGGTCTCAGGTCGGCTGTTGACCTACTAATGCGATGGAAATGACAAAGTGGAATAAATGGAGGACGAGGGTACCTCAGGCAGATGATATCGACCCAACAGCAGGTGTGCTGTGTGTACCTCTGCGCAGCCTGATTCGCACCCTGCAAATGGGAGGGGCCTTTCAAAAGCTTCTCGATTTTACAACCTTGCGGCAGCGGCCACCATCCACACAGCTCACGTCAGGCATGAGAGTCTATCTTTTTTTAAAGCCGGTGTGTGCCATCTGCGTCGTCTACCCCCACCGCCAGCTGCCAAGCAGCAAGGACCAGTGTGTGGAATCAGAAAACAGAGTGCTTAAGCGATTCCCTGGTTCGCCGTTAATCTTCCCTGGGGGTGGGATTCCATGTAAATGTGCCTGTCGGTCTGGACGAGGCGCCAGACGACCGGGGTTTTCGATGCCTGAGTGAAGCCTATGCTTAGGAAAACGGAATAGGGAAGGCGTCGTTAGGGATCGACCGGAATGTAAGAGCGGAGCATGGGAGGCTTGTATGGAGAGTCTAGGGTTTAGGGAGGAGGCGTGATTGCGAGTACCATGGTGTGAAGGGGACCTGACAGAGGCGTCTACAAGGATCTGACTGTTCCCGTTCCCAGGCAATGCGAAGTCGCTCGACGCTTGTTAACTGGGCTGGTCACCGATGATACTGTTCATCCAGGGTGGTCAGAGCGACTACCGAACGATGCTTCTAGCGGTGACTCCTCCGTAGGCGACAAGGGTCTGGCGAGCGTGTTTAGCTCAACGGCGATGGTTTGGGAGGAAACGAAGGCCAACCGGGGCCGATGCGACTCCCGGAGGCTTCTACGGGCCAGAGGAAGAAGGGGCCGGCGACTCGTTGTCGAGAGAACATGGTAAGTCTCGTGCCCTCTTCCCAATACTCTGTTCTCGTACAGTACGGTAAGTGGGCAACCGGCCAATCAGCACACAAGCGAGCGAGTTTGTCGCCAAAAATCCACCTCGCTTCTCTCAACAGGGAATGACACTTTTCCAACACCCGCTGTGTTTCAGCTTCTCGCGACCCGTTGGCGCTTGATTCGACCCTCGTTACAGAAGCTGAGAAGCCTCCTTTTTCATTCACCAGCCGTCTCATATTCCCACGGCTCGCAACCATCCGCGATGGCACTTACGAACGCTGCCCTTCATGGGCCTATCGCTCATCGACAAGGCACGAGCGACGCGAGGCTACTACACGTACCTCTGTCTCGTCCTCGTCGAGTGTAGAATGGCTTTGAACATCCTCAGCCTTTAATTCTCTTCTCCTCTCCTCTGCTCTTCCTACAGTTTTGCAGCGCAATTTCTGCGTGTGTGTGTTTGCATTTCTTTTTTCATCCTCTCCTTTTCATCTGTATTCCTTCTTATCGATCCTTCCTGGCGAAGAGATTGCTTGCAGGACAAGGTTGATCGTCGTTCAGACCCTGGGAGACAATCACATTTTATCCAGAACTATCGCCACCGCCATCTCGCCTCATTTTCTTTGACAATCAAGATCAACGACACGGTCTCGCCTCACATTTGCATTTGGCGCACGCAGTTCACGAGTGACGATTGACCAATAACGAGGCACATGCTGACGCCCTGGTTACTATCAATCCCCATCTGTATGTGCGTAGGTAGGTGACTGGGCCATTACAACACCGTACAACAAGGACGGTTATCTTTCCGTACCTCACCGCAAGTCTGTCTCTCTCGCGCTCTCAGCCTCATCCAAATACCAGGGAAGCACAGCATTCCGCGCTCTACCATATTTGGTGCCTTCACCGATCCAAACCTCTCGAATCCTACCAGACCGGTGGACCTTGATTTGGAGGGATTGTCAATAACACCGACATTGTCACGCAACAGCCGATCCATCCTATCAACACTCAATCATCCCACGACGCACCTCGCCGAGATGCTCACGAAAGAGCTCATTCCAGGTGCAACCTACCCCACCTCATACGAAATGCCAGAGGCGCGCTCTCGACCCGGACCACGCATGGTCCGCAAATACCTCAGCACCATCCTCCACACGACGAGTCTCGTGGCCAGCCTCCTTGGCATGTCTCTCTTCGCAGCTGCTATCCCACGCTGGAACAGCAACTTCTTCCACAACACGGGCCCGAACCGAGGTGACTGGACCGACGGTATGCCCCTCGGCCCTCTCGTCTTTGCGCTCCTCTACCACGCCGCCACACTAATTTACAATCACGCACGTCGGCAAAGAATCCGACGACAATTTGCCCGCCAGTCCGCAGACGCAGTCACAATGGCAGACGGCGGTAAACCGTCCCTGGTCATCATCCACGTGCTATCGTCCTCGCTGATCCTGGCAGCACTATTTGCCTCCCTCATCCTGGCCGCATACGGCTCGCTGTTCCGGTTCTGGCGCCCCGCAATGCGAACTCAATCTGGCGGCGTGCCTTGCACCATGATCAACGTCTTCGCGCGCGAGTGCCAGCCTGTGCTGTACAGCGTGGGCCGCCTGCAGCTGGCAGGGATCGTGTTTGGGATCGTCGTCTGGGTATGCCACTTTGCCCTGCTGCTCATCGGGCTGCGCAACCTCAGGCGCCAGAGCATGATCAAGCGCCTGCAGTCCGAGAAACTAGCTCAGTTCTCTCTACCACGATCGTCCTCGTCCTCGTCATTCTCGCCGTCAGACAGAACAACGGCAGTCCCCGCTGGACGAACACGCTCCACGACCGCCATGAGTCTAGGCAGATCGCTCTCGATGAAAGCGCAGCAGGGGCTCCAGAGTCACGGCAGCCGTAGGGGTGAGAGGCCAAGGACAAGGACAGGCTCAGCCGGCTCTCCACGTGTCGGATCAGGCGCCGGTGCCCTCGTCGCCAACTCACACGCTTGGCAAGGCCCAGGCCAGGCGCAGGGCTGGTATGAATCCAACTCGACGACTGACATTCAGAGGCCACCCCAGACTCACTACTAGCCTTCCTGCAGCCTGCAGCCTGCAGGCTTCGTCCACGCGACGTCTTATGAGCAATGCGACCAGAACAAACCGAAATTTCAAAATTCCCATCCAGCCGCCGCTTCCGGCCCTCCCCCCCCCCCCAAACAAAATAGGGAAGCACGCTAGTTAGAGCTGCGGCGCCGAATCAAGTATGCTACCTACAAAGGTATTCTACGGAATTATGTACGCCGTGTTGCTGTATGCAAGCATGACACACGCATACCCCCACACAGCCGTCAAAAAGTCAAAATTTGCCTCGATTTGGCCGACCTACCCCGGCGGGTGGACAAACTGCAGCAACCTGCTGTACATAAAGCTAGGAAGTCGTGTCACGCAAGCAAGCAGGGGTCGACTCGCGTCTGCTCACTCAGCATGGGTAAATGGGTAGATGGGGATGCAGGCATGCAGGCAGGCAGGCAGGCAGGCACGCACATACATACTCCAGCTTCCGCCCTATTGAAGATACGAGTTTGTTAGCTCCCAGCCCTTTTGATCACGATATTGCATGACACTCGTCACGTCTATACTTTGTTGGATTGACCGAATAAGAAAGAATACGAAATGAAGAACAACGAAGCCCCTACTACGGCCATTCCTGTTCTTGTTCCTGTTCATGTTCATGTTCATGTTCATGTTCGTTTTGGAGTCATTGATAGTTACATAGTGTTGGGTTACTATGGGTGCTATGGAGAGGAATATCATCATACTTTCTCTCTGCTGGCGTTTTCTCATTGTCGTCGGGGTGGGAGGGCAAAATAAAACACAAGGATACACATGATCCAGTCGACCATCAAGGTCTTCCGATCGTGATTCTGTTCTCAAGCCCTATCAAACCTTCCCCTTTCCTTTGCTTTGGTGGTATTGGTGACCCGAAACTCCTTTCCCAATGCAATCAATGCACTTGTCTCAAACGCCCTATTCCATAGTGTCCCTTGTGAATCCTTTGTGCAATTTATCGAAAAGCAGTGTTTCAACTGCTGAGACGCAACGTCTGTCATCTCAACTTCGTCTCTCCAAGTGAACCGCCACCAGGCAAATCACAACAACAAAGACCCCGTCGTCTTAGTTCCGTTCCAGCCAAATCCTCTCAAGAATGAAGGTTTAATCACTGGTCGGTGTGTGTATTTGTATTTGTCACCCTTTAGGACAAGTGGAAAGCGCCCTGTCCTTCTCGAATAGCAACAAACAGTCTTTCCTTCAGCACAGCTTGACTGCTATAGTCTGGCAATTTCAAATAGTTGACACAAGTCATGACACTGGGCAAATAGTCATCCGAAGTGTAAGGAGCCTCACTTGGCTTGCACACGACGGTGAACATTGGGGTAAGACTCTTGAATCCGCCGATAGGAAGCTTCGGACTGCCCGTCACAAACTGCAGGAAGTCTCTTCGTTGAGCCGGATTGAGCTCCGACATTGTCTGCAAGAGATTCTTGACACTCTTGCTATCCATGTTGAAGCCATGATCAGCTTTGACAGAGTCCGTCAGGGTCTCCATCGACCAGTCTTCCTCAACACGCCCAAATAGCATGACCAACTCATCCGGTGTGAAAGCTTGGAGAGTGGCGAAAGAAAACACTTGCGAAAATCCCGTCTGGAATGCCTCGATCTGTGACCGCACTCCTCGTCCTAGGCTCAGATCCAGCACACGGTCAATGTAGTCTTGCACATTTTCCATGGTAACATTAATATCAGAGCCGTTTTCGCACAGCTCAATGCTCGGGTAGCCGGGAAGAGTGAAGTCAAGCATCAAATCCTCCACCTTGGCCCCTCGAATGGTGAGGTTCTGTATTGCCTCTGCCTTTTCCAGCTCTGTCAAAGATGAATCGAGTTCGATCTTCGTCTTGGCTTTCACATAGTGCTGTAATTGTGACAGAGAGTTTGCGAGATCCTGGTCGACAGTTCGCAACAAGCCAATCGACGGCGGCACGTTGGAAATCCCACCCACTCGAAAGAATGTCGGGCTAAAAGAGATATCGATGATTCTCGAGTCGAGCATCGATCTAGCCACAAACTTTCCAAGAGTTTTGAAAAGCAATAACAGCTTCTTGCCTGCATCTGTGTGAGCATCTGCCTGGCTCATAGGAGCTGGGAAGAGGCCCATTCTTCCAAAAGCAAACTGGTCTGTTTCCGCAGAGTCGTTTTCTCTCCACATCTTCAACTTCTTTTTGGAAAACTCTTTAGAGACAGTCGAATAAAACTCGAGTGTTGGACCGAGACCAGTACCGACCTCCTCGAAATACTCGACTTCCAAGACGCTTGGAGAGGCGCCATACATGTCCATGACCTTCATAGCAGACTCCAAGATACGATGACGCGAGATGCGGACCTTCTGCCGCTGAGGTCGACCAAGAATAGGCCGCTCATCCCGACGCCGGTCTTGACGATCATCGTTCTCGGACTGGTTGTTCTGCCAACGAATCATGGACCGCGAGTATCCAAACGAGGTTGACTGTAGGAATAGATGTCGAGTTTCAAAAGGAAACAAGAATGGGAACGATCTTGCAAGATCTTCACTCCAGTCAGGCAGACAGTTGCTAGCCACAATCAACGGTTCTTCAAGTTGTCTGTTCATCTTCGCAGTGAGCTTAGTGTTGATGAATGATGCAAGTGGCTCTTTGTAGACTTCAGTGCCCGTCTCACCCATGGCTTCTTTGATCTCGTCCAGGTTTGCATTCAGCTCGTGCAGGATTCGGAGCAAAGCAAGGATCGACGAAGTCACAGGGTGACCATCCAAAGACGCCGGCAGACCATCGCGGCCCTGCTTTCCCGTGTCATGCGCCGAAGATAAGGTCGATGTCTCAGGAGGAGGACCACGAACCTTCCGGAATTTCACGGTATGAATTGCAGACCAGACACTGCGAGACGATGGATCCCGTGGCTGGTCACGGTTGTGGTGGACCGCTCGGTAGATCGTAGTGTTATTGGGGATTGCTTTTCCGTCGATGCTAAACTCAATGTGCCAATCTTGCGGGGTAGCAGCCAGCGCTGCTGCGTACGACTGGCGAACGCCCGCAGCTGGCGATGGTCCTGGTGACTGTCCTGAAGACGGAGGTCGCGTTGTTCCCGAAACCGGGGTTCCTGGTTGCGGAGTATAGACTCTGGTCCCGTCTTCTTGACGAGCTGTGACCTTTCCAGTAGATCCGACTTCCATGTTAACAGCTCCAGGTTCAGGCATATCCTCATCAGACATGTCCTCTTCCAACCCATCAACGAAAGCCGCCAAGGCCTTCTCGTCTTCATCTCCGGCAGTCTCCTCATCGTCCAGCACTTTCTCGTCCGCGCATTCAAGTTTGTTTGTCTCCTCTTCAGTACTTGGCTCTGGAGCGTGAGCTTGTTGTTTAGATGAGGAGGCCTGGCTCCGTCGATTTGACCGCTGATTCTTGGGCGGTTCAGCTGTCGTCTTCTCCGTAGGCTTCTCATTGTCTTCAGAGCGATGCTTGGTTCGGGAAGACAGGCGAGATGCAGATCGAGAATCTCGTCCACCCGGAGGTACCGGAGACCCCAGGTCTTGTCCAAAAGGCGACAGCAATCCCGATTCGGCAGCTCCTGACAGATGTGCAAGGCGGGCATTGGCAAGTTGCTGTAGCATGTCTCTACGACGCTGGGCCGAGGCAGGTCGCTCGGAGACATTGAAACGCGGACGTAAATAGTCATCCAAAGCCTTGAACGTAGCGATAGCATGGATAGAGACAATCATTTCGCGATACGTGGTTGGTATGTCGCTATCAGGTTCTGCAGAGAGCCTCAACCGTAGCTGGCGAGAGAGCATGGAGGTTGAACTACTCCGGCTGTTTTCGGAGGCGTTGTTGTTGACTGTCAATACCTCGAAATGCTCGGCACGACTGAGCAAATCTTGAAGCTTCTGGATTAAAACGCTCAAAGCGGTAGGCGTTGATGAAGCGGCAGTCGTCTTGAGCTTTGCGTCATTAATTGACTTCATGAATGCTGAGATGAAGTGTGTTCTGGCCGCGCTGGGGCTTCCTGGTGCGTCTCTCGACAAGGCTTCCACTAGAGCACGGATGACACCGGAGTCTAGCAACTCTGAGCTTGTGATGCTCTCAAGAGCGTCCCCGTCGAAATAACGGGCGAGGCGTGTAAATAACTCGTTACTGGAGTCGGTCTGGGTTTCTTGCTGATAATAAGAACTGATGTCAGTCGCCAGTGTATGTAGATCCTCCCGTATCTTGGATGCTTTTTCCTTCATTTCTTTACCCTTGGCTGTATCGTATTTTTCCAAGAAGTTCTTCGCTGTCATGATAACCAAGTCAGAGAGTCCCGAGGCTGTCAGTGGAGTGGTCAGCTCATTGTCGTCTGAGGAATCTGAGCTCTGAGAATCATCCATGTCGTGATCATGTCTGGCAGCCATCTCATCTTCATCTTGATCTTCATCATTCTCTCCTTCGTCATCTCCACCGTCCTCTTCGTCTTCGTCGACGTCTTCTTCGTCACCCTCGTCCTCGTCCTCGTCGTGATCAGCCTCATCGCCTGTGACATTCTGTGCACTTGAAGCATTCTTCGCTTCTGAGCTGTTTCCAGCCTCGCCACTGGTCCCAATTGTTGAATTTTGCGAGGGCTTGCTATCTTTTTCGAGGTTTCTGCTGGCAAGTTTCTTAATCTCGCTGATAACGCCCTCTCGATGGAATTGATACTGATAGATTCCTTCAAGTTTATCAAAAAGGAGAACTGATGCTTGCAGTGCGAACATAACCAAGCTTGGGTGATCTTCCTGGGACAAGATAGAGGCGAGGAATGATGCATATGGAACTGGTCGAAGTGCATCCTCGATGATAGAAGTTTCGAGGTTGGAGAGAATTTTCAGCTGAGCGACGAGAACCTTTTGTCGAACAGTCAAGTTGACAGTGCTAGAATAGGCATCCGTCAATGTCGGAAGTAGGATCATGGCAAATCTACGGGTTTTGTCCTTGCAGCCTTCGAGCAACTTGATTCGTTGTTCCGTTCGCGAAGATTCTGTTGTCGTGTCACCATCGCCAGAAAAGTCATCGTCCATATCATCATACACATCAAAAGCAGAGTCGTCTTCAAATTTGGGAGCTGGGAGGAGCTCGCAGATGACGTTGAGGGTCTCGAACACCTGTTCTCGAGGTCTATGAATGAGAGCTTGCATTATGACAACACTGTCGATTTTGGAGGCAGCATCAGTAGTTTCGGACGGAGGAGAAACGCCTGTGAGGATTTGATACAATGTGTCGACCACATTCATCTTCAGAAGCTCAGTGGACAAGCGCGGACTTGCCCGAGCAACGATTGCTAGCACCCGAAGGAATTCTGTGTGAATGTTGGCCCCAATCAGATTTGTAGTGCCTGGAAGGAGAAGCCCAAGAATAGCTCGGAGCAGTGGTGGATCGACCAGTTGCTCGAGCTTGTCCGGACTGTGTTTGAAGCTATCGATAACTCTTGTGACACAAAGGCAGCCCTGCTCGACGACCTTTTGGTCGTGGCTGGACAGGACGTTGAGGAGAATTGGCATGACATCTCGGATAACAGGAAAAGAATCATGTGGGATATTTCGACAGCAGTTCGCTGCTGTGGTGACAGCCGTTCGCTGTGTGCCCGTGGCAAAGAAGTCAAGAAATTGTAGGCAGGCAGTTAAGCCGCCTTCGCGGACTATCGACCCGGGAAAGTCGACGGAGATTTTGGACAACGTGCTCAAGGCCTGCTCGGCAACATCGATGTACTGGATATCAAGCAACTTTTGGCACAGGACAGGAACGGCCCCGCCATAGACCACATTGGCCACAGATCCTCTCATCGCTTCCATCAAGTTGGCGATACATCGGCAGGCCAACAGCATCATTTCAGGATTTTCTTCTCCCGTAAGAGGATTTGGCTGCATGAGGGCCACTAATTCCTTGACGTAAGGATCCGGGGAGAATTGGCCAGATAGGTTGTCTTCATTCGACACAAGTAAGAGATTCGACAGTTCTTCCAGAGCCACCATCTGCATGGTCGGATTATCAACTTGTCGAAGGTTGTTCAGTATATCTCTGAGTCTTGATGACATGCCGCTCATCATTCCGCTCAGCGCTCTTAGTGTGCTCGAAAGACCCGAGGGGCCACGACTCGAGCCAAACAAGGCTGCGGAGAAGGGGTCAGGACCATCGTCATCATCCATACCGCTCTGGTCGTCCTCGTCGATGCTATCGTCGTTCGTTCGATTGGGTGGTGACGTTGTGTCTCTTCCAGCCTTCTCGTTCTCTTCCTCATCGTCTTTCATGGCGACATCCTGGTCTCTTCTGGCCAGAGGTTTCTTCTGTCGGCGAGGTGCAGGCACGGACCCAGGAGGTGAAACGTCTTTAGATATTGTTAGCACGGATTCGCCCTGATTGATCGAACGTGGAATACCTGATGGGCTCTTTTTGGTGCCTCGACTGGATGGGCGTCTTGAAGCTGATTTGGAAGAAGTCTGTTTGAGTGATTCGTCGGTATATTTTGAAGATGAACCATTGTTAGACATTTCCGTCTCGTTTGCTGGCCCCTTCCTCCGACTACTTTTCGAGCTGGGTTGAGGAACCGCGCTCTCAGAGTCCGTCAACTTTTGTCTCTTGCCACCTCGTCGGGCAGATGCAGGGCTTATTTCGTCAGATTGATCAACAGGATCGGAAGTTCGACGGCTTGATACTTTTCGTTTCCGAGAGGTGGACGGAGGCGGATTGGTGGACTGATCGATGGAAGGGTCTGGTGCGGCAGTCTCCGCTGCGAGCCTCGCAGAAGAACGTGTGACTCTGCGAGACATGAGTGACGATTCCCATCAAGAGCAAGAGAGATAGATGCCAGATAGCAGAGATGAACAGAGAAGTAGCGAGATAAAAAGGAGAGGACGGGCAGTTTGATGCGAGGTGGGGAGATGAAAGGCTGGCCGAGCAAGCAGTGCAAGACAGGTTGATCTGCAGCCACACAATGACGGTTTCAACGCAGGCAAGTGAATGAAAGGGGAGTGAATCGTGAGCAGTACCTGTTTCTGCGGGGGGAAGGCGTTCGGTGGGAAGTTGCGGGTTGGTGTTCTGAAGCAAGTGATGTGCCTGCGCTGTGTCCGTTGGTAGAGGTGGTAGATCGGGCGGGCAAATTTGCCATGCTTAACCCGCCATCGAAAGGCGGTCGGCGTGTCGATTGAACAAGAAATCGGAGATGCGGTGGTCGAGATGCCAGTCTAGGATGCGAAGGAGTGAATGGCAAGTAGTAGGATTATCAACAGCAGAAATGAGGACGATACGAGTACTGAGGACGAGAATGAATTACAGAGACGACGTCGGCAAACCATCCGTTGGCGCTCAACGAAACGCATCATGACTGGATCGTCCGCGGCAGGCGGAGAAGCATGAGATTCGTACCGAGCACGAGCATTGCTAAGCTATTTTCACTCACATCGCCCTGTCCCTGAGCGTCTACCAAAGTGCTAACGAGGTCAGGTCGGTAATGGCTGCGAGAGGTATCAAAACTATTAGGTGTCTGTGGTATCTAGATGCCCCATAATGTCTCTGCGCTGCTTTGCGCATCAATGTCGCCATCCGATACTTCGTACTACGGACACTTCTCGCGCATTCTCACCAATCCACAGTCTCCGTCAGCTTCAATCCGGCCCATTCCTAGACTCAATGGCGGCTTCGGGTTCAACGCGCAGTCATGCTAAGAGAACAATGCAGTGTGCAGGAGTCTTACCAGCTCCCTTTCAACGTCGGGTCTACATCATCTTGACGAGGCTGTGAGAAGCCACTTGGCCTTGCAGCCATGTTGGGTAATTGCGGGAGGGTGTAGCATGGTACTCGTACTCGTATGTGGCACGATTAATGACGACTCGATAGTCGGGATAGAGAATAGCAATCGTCCATTCCTCGCAACTGGAGGTGGTTGTTGGAAGCACCTCATTCACCTATTATCGTTGGCCAACGACGGTACCTTCATTACCTACACAGGTACCTAAGCACCCAGACACTTGCTGTGGCACCAAGAGATTCTTGGATCAAGTACCGCCATCGATCGAAGTTCACTGTACGGATAGACCACATTGATGAAAGCATGAATATATACGGAGTACCCTAGAAGCCGAACGAAGAAAAACGACTGATCTTGTCATGGACGATAAGGCACACACCCACGCTGCTGTCGTCACGCATCGACATCATAATTAAGCCCTGCATGAGCAATCCAATCTTGCTACCTTTTATTTACCAAGCCTCTCGTTGTATGTCGAAGTCTTGCAAAATCGTCTTGTCCTCAATTCATCGCTGTCTTCACACCCCCACCTCTCTTCCGCTATACAATGTCCCCCTCAACTCGGGGCGGCACTAAGCAACGGGCCCAAGTTTAAGCCGCCTTTATTGCCTGCGAACAACCGCCCATCTCGACCCAACTAGCCACTCAAACCGGCGCCCAGTCTCTACTAGACTCTGTGCTGAAAAACTCAAAAAAACCTGCCCCCCCGAGATCGCTCTCTCCAACACCCACTGGCGATCTCGCCGGGCCTTCTGTCCGCCAGAAGGAAAACCATCGTCTTGATCTATCGTCCCCTCCACCTGCCCGGCAAACCCTACCAGTACCCCCCCAGCTTCTCTACAAAACTCCACGGCTGCGCAGCCATGAGATGCTGACTCGTCCTTCGCCATTTCTCCTTTTGACCCCTACAAGATTGCAGCCTTGACTCAGCGACCGGCTGTATGGTGCCATAGCCGTACTTGGTCCGCCTCAAGTGCCCCGCCGCCTGCCGGGTCATCAGCACTCACAATAACTACACGAGCCTTCTCTGACAAATCCCCGACTCTCCTCCTCCGTCCTCCTCCCATCCCACTGTCTGCCTCTTCATCCCTTCGTCGCCGGCCGAAAAAGAAGATCTGTACGCCGTTCCAAACAAGGTCAACTGCTCTCCAGGCCATAACTGGCGACGGCGACAAAATGGACGAGTACCGCTTTCCAGACTCCCGCCTCAAGAAGAAGATGGATGATTCATCGAAGACACCTCTTCTTCTTGTGGCCTGCGGCTCATTTTCTCCCATCACGTTTTTACACCTTCGCATGTTCGTCATGGCCGCGGACTACGTCAAACATAACACCGAATTTGAAATGATCGGGGGCTATCTGTCGCCCGTGTCTGACGCATATAAGAAGCAGGGCCTTGCGGCTGCCGAGCACCGGTGAGTCTCGTGAACAAAGTGCTCCAGAGAGACGATGACTGACTAAGTATAGGGTCGCTATGTGTCAACTTGCCATCGATAAAGCCTCCACTTGGCTCATGGTTGATACTTGGGAAGCCGAACAGAAAGAATACCAGCCAACTGCTAAAGTTTTGGATCACTTTGACCATGAAATAAACATCGTTCGAAAGGGCATCGACGCAGGAGACGGAACTCGCAAGCCTGTACGGATCGCCCTCCTTGCGGGTGCTGACCTCATACAAACCATGTCCACTCCCGGAGTCTGGAGCGAACAGGACCTGGACCATATCCTGGGACGCTACGGAACCTTCATCATCGAACGATCTGGCACAGATATCGACGAGGCCCTGGCCAGTTTACAGAATTACCGCGATAACATTTATGTCATTCAACAGCTCATCCAAAACGATGTCAGTAGCACAAAGATCAGACTGTTTTTGAAGCGAGGCATGAGTGTACAGTATCTCATCCCCGCTCCGGTCGTGGAATATATTGAACAGAATCATCTCTACACAGATGACCACCGAGGTTCGAGTACATCTCTCTCCCATCCTCAAGACAATGACAAGGGCAAGAGCAAGGAAACCACCGCCTCCGCAAGTTGAGTAGCTCCGCCACGAATGCTAGTGTTGAGAGAGTGCTCAACAATCATCCCGCCACAGCCTCGTTGAGCATGGCTTCCAAAGCTCAGAAATTAAACCAAGTGGACTGGAGGTAAACCTAGAGATGGAGGATCCACGACCAGACACTTGTCAGATAAACACCCCCAGCGTCACGGGGGAGGTCATCGACGTGACTTCTTGTCAGTCGAATGAGATGATAAATGCTCGAAGCTGGGGCGCTTCCAGCAAAGAAGAATATTCTTTATGCCCAAGTGCTATGACTGCGTGGAGCTAGGAGTTCTGGTGATGAATTTAGAAGCAGAGGCGCCGGGTATATCGGAATCATGGTTCCGAAGCGTGGAGGATTTGACACACGCCTAGATACTCTTGTTGAACAACAAATTTACCGCTTGGTCAAGGGCGATGTGTTCTTCAATAAGGTGTACGAGTGTTACGATATGACCTGAAATGGTTCAAGAAAACGTTCGGTTTTGGCGCTTGCTACGGAAGAAGGATGACCAGCAGAATGACCAACCAGTCTTTTCTGAGCTTGAGCGGCGAAACAATGTTTCATGCATGCATATAAACAAAACAATTAAACAAAAAGGTATTCAACACACAGCATTCCTTAGTGTATTTTCCTTCCGATCACCCCATAGACCAGCCCAGATGTCTCACACCGTGCGGTATGCCTCGGTGGTGATGTTGTTCTGTGGTGTTCACGACGCCGTTTCTTGCGTACCTGCGCAGGTAGGTATACTCTGAAAATTGTATCGTAGTAGTAAATCTTGTACCTTTTTCCACGTTTTGCTATTCTTTTCCATCTCACACGACCCGGGTGCTGAATGCTGTTGCAGGACATCGATGTGTCCCATATTCGTGTTGGAACATGATCACAATAACTCGACTCTCGAAGATAGATATCGTGTGTTTCTGTTCTGTGACATCTCTCTCTCCCTTCTCTCTCTGACGCATCACACGGGAAATAAAACTGATGGACGATGCTCGCTCGTGCATGGATCCGACTTCGTTTCTTCCGATTTCACATCCCTCTCTCTCTCTCTCTCTCTCTCTCTCTCTCTCTCTCTCTTCTCCACACACACACACACACACACACACACACACACACACAGAGAGAGAGAGAGAGAAAGAGAGAGAGAGAGTCATGGTCTCACTTCACGTTGCTGGCAGATCACACTTCAGCAACAATGAGACTGGGAAGGCGGAGGCTGCTGTAGCGCACGCCAATGCCGTATAATCTTCCTCCCCGTGCCATATAGACCCATGGCCCTGCCACATACTCCCTTCCTCTCCACTCCATACCTGATCGGGCCATTTATGTACGACTGGATTGATCATGACAGATCACATCCGGAACGGGTACACAACTAGGTAGATCGACCACAAAGAGGAGGGCCCCCCCTCGAGGATGGCCGGCAGGTGAGGACGGGCAACCCGGGTCGAGCTCAACGGGGATAGCTCTCCAGGAGCAACAAGCAGCAACAAAAACAATGAAAATTTTCTTAATTGGCGAACCCGCCTCCGCCGCCTGTGTATGCGGTATCGTTCGCAGGTTGTCGGGCACCGACTCCAGGATGCGTTTTGGCCCACTCGTCAAACTCGGCCCGGTCTTTGCCCGTGTACCGTCTGAGGTCTTCATCCTTGACACCAGGCCCCGACTTGGAGGCCTGGAAGCTGGCGTATTTCTGGCCCAGCCATGAATTTTTGTGTTGTTGTGGATTTGAAGCGTCTACGATACCGTTGTTGTTGTTGCTGCTGCTGACCCCACTGTGACCGATGCCTTCGTCGGCCCCTTGAGAACGCGGATGTGGTGTAGCTGGATCATTTTCATGGGCAAATTCGCGCTTTGCTTGCCGGGAAGTAGGGTCGTAGCCGTCTGGATTACCGGTCTGGTCATGGTTGGGTTGTTGGTGGCCCTGGCTCTGTTTCTGGTCATGGTTTTGGAAATTGTCGTTGTCCCAATCAGTCCCGTCGAATGTTTGGTACGGCTTTAGGGCGTTGTTGTCATTGCCGTTCACGTCGTGGCCGAGCTGTCCCCCGGCGTGATTGTCAATCGGATTTCTCGTCGTATCACCGACACTTTGATGCGGATACGATGCATCCCTACCGAGGCCGTCCCCTGCGCCGCTACCGCCACCAAAAGCTCCAGGACCGGGCGGTCGCGTCGACCCGGTTGTGGCATCGGCCTCGTGGATCGCGTCCTGAGAGTCGTGTTCCAGAACCGGCGGATACTCGCGCGGCGTCTCGTTGGGCGCATACTCTGTCATGCGCCGTTGTTGTTGGGGATCTTGATCATAGTTGATGTCTGAGAAGTTCGTCTGGATCTTCTTGATTGGTCTGTTGTCGACGAGCTGGCTGTTGAGGTGTGGCACGTCGTCGCCTTTGAGGCTGGATTGCCCACACCCCATTTTTACTTTGTTTTCGGATTTGAAACTCGCCTTGGTTTGTACACCCTAAGAGCGTCCGCGGGAAGGCGAGGGAAGACGTTGATTATGCTGGTTCAGGCGAGAAGGTGCAATATGTCGATTGAATGAGGTACAGAGTCAGATAGGTACTCCTGGTAGGTAGTCTCGTTTAACAATTACAGCTCCTCTCTGTACTCGCACTCAGACCGTATGTGTTGATTTGCGACAAATTGCGCGGCCTTAGGCACTGGCTCTTCTACCCGATACGAGGCGAACAATGGACGTCGTCGATGAACCCAAGAAGCTAATTCAAAGTGCAGTCAAGAGCCTCATCTGAATCTAAAAGAAGCTTGCGGAGTATGATGATGTGATGATGAATGCGTGTACGTAGGAGTACGCCCGGCTCGCTCGGCATTTATTATTAGAAGAATCGCTGAACTTTGGAGCTGCGCAGCATAGGGTGATGGATTACCTTAGATTACCGTCCTTTCGTAGTGTTTGTGCGGTCTACGAGTAGTGTGACCAAGCCTCACCAGCCCGGTGGTTTAGGTCAAGGCCCAGGTCACTCGACACCCGGACGGTTCTCCAGAGTCTGTGCTCCTGAGAGTGAGGGGAATCACCACCCAGGTCAGTGTTGCCGTCGGTCAGTGCATCAACCGCCGCTGTATTTCCGCCCCAGGTTTACAGAAGTGTGGAGAGAGCCATTACACTGTTTGCCAGCAGGGGCGGTACACAAACCACCGCTCATCCGTTGACACTAGGTACCTGACTTGGGTACGTAGGGATTACCTCCAGTAGATATTTGGGGAGGAAGCCTCAGTCCCCATTCAAAGAAAGTTGGGGAAAAGGTTCGATGTCTCTTCCAGCAGACACCAAGGTAAAATCCTCCTTACGTCAGGTAGGTAAGGTAGTCAGACTCCTGTACCAAACGCTCGAGCTAGATATACCGCCTCGATATATAACTGGTATCTCTCAAAGTGCTCCAGCCCGTTTCGGTCCTAGTTAATAGCTTGACGAGTACAACTGGTCTCATCTGGGCAGGGAATACAGCATTTCATGAGACCAATACAACGAGCAATACATGCGTTGATCGAATCATGTTATCCCCAAGACGTATCATACCGATCGCGCAGAACCTGACAAAAGTTCACCATGCTACTTCGCAGTTTGCTAGAATATCCACCACTTCAGGGCGACGAACCGAGCTTCGCGATGGAGATCTGAACAGCGTGCGGCCCATGTTTGACCTCAAAGGTCGCAATTACATCGTGACGGGAGGGGGACGCGGGATAGGATATGCGATCACTCGTGCCATCGCAGAGATGGGAGGCAATGTAGCTGTCCTGGATGTTCTGCCGTCTCCTGTCGAAGATTTTGGCACTTTGGAGGGTGACTTTGGCGTCAAATCCAGATACATCCATGCCGATGTCACAAGCGGCGAGAGTTTGACAAAGGCATTCGACCGGACAGTTTCGGAATTTGGAAGTCTCGAAGGCTGGTAAGAAGACACCCCAAATGTCCATGTACATCTTTCTCGCACGTTCTGAAAGCCAACTGAGTTCTGAAAACAGTGTGACGGCCGCTGGCATATGCATTGACAAACCCTTCGGAGAGTGGTCGTGGGACGAGGTCCGCAAAATCATGGACATCAACGTGAGGCTGTACAAGTGTATTGTTCAACTTGATAACTGATACTGTTACAGGTTACTGGTACATTCTTCGCAGCTCAAATGGCTGCTAAACAGATGGAGAAGCAAGGGACCGGTGGAAGCCTGCTACTTATAGCTTCTGTATGCGCGCACTGCGCCATCCCTGGGCAGCTACTGTCCGCATACTACGCCTCCAAAGGTGCGGTGAGGATGCTCAATACGGCCTTGAGCGTCGAGTTGGCTCCACAGGGCATCCGCTGCAATGCAATCTCACCCGGCTTCATCGACACCGATATGAGCAAGACCCTGCGGGAACAACGTCCGCATTTGGTGGACATTATGCACTCGTCACCACCGTTGAAAAGGATCGGCAACCGCAATGACCTTCTCGGGGCCGCCATATATTTGCTGAGTGACGCCTCTTCGTACACCACGGGTGCTGACATCACAGTGACGGGAGGATTGCATGCTGGCAGAATATTCACTTGATATGGAATCACCGTGGATGTCTCAGTGGATGCCATGTACACTTCAGTCCATCATAACCCTTTTATGCCTCGGTGAATGCTGGCGATGCCTCCTGTCAGATTTTCATATCCACCGCCAGATGTGAGGAAACCGGCGTCTTGGATCATGGTCTTGAACTCCTCTTGGGTCGGGAATCGTTCAATACTCTCGACCAGGTATTGATAGCTGTCCCGGTCCCCGGCCACTAATTGTCCAATGAGGGGGATAGCCCCAAAGCTCCATCTCTTGTATACAGCATTGAAAACAGAGCTGTTGACATGGCTGAATTCCAAGCAAGCAAAGACACCTCCGGGCTTGAGTACTCGGAACGCCTCACGGAGTGCAGCGTCCTTGTTTGTAAAGTTGCGGATACCGAACGCCACCGTATAGAGGTCGATACTGTTCGACTGGATTGAAGGCATAGACTCCGCATTTCCTTGCATAAATGACAATCTTCCAGATTTCCCATAAGGTGTTTCGAGAGCTCTCTTTTGGCCTTCCGCAAGCATGTCGGGGTTGATGTCTGCGATCGTCACTTTGGTATTTAAATCGAGGTTGACATTCGTCGCATGGTCGAGCATGCGGAAGGCAATATCCCCTGTTCCGCCTGCGACATCAAGGATATTCCAGCCTTTGTCGTCTGTCCTGCTCCCGGGATTGAGACTGCGGACAAAGTAATCTTTCCACAATCGGTGGATTCCCAGAGACATTAAGTCGTTCATCGTGTCATACGAAGAGGCTACCGAGGAGAAAACGGCTCCAACTACACATTATTAGCAGGTCCCGTAGCTTCTTGACAGGTTGACAATACCTCTGGCCTCCTTTTGAGCCTCAGCAATGGTCTCGAAACCAAAATGCGTAGTTTGTCCATCCTCCCCGGGAAGTTGTTGTGACCGGAGCTGAGCCGTGGAAAAGAGGCGAATAGGAGTGCCAGCGGACACTGAGCTGTGACTCCGGCAAGACGTCAATCGGCGAGTGATTGAGCGCAGCATGTTTGTAAAGTTGTCACCCAGACCCTAGGGGAATTGTGTACTCTCCGACAACCTCGTCCAAACTTTTGGCGCAGATCTCATGCAGTCCAGAAGCAGTTTAGCGTTCGGGGGTTATTTCGTACTCCGTACGGAGAACCGAAGTTGATGTATCGGTTGTAGTGGCCCGTGGATAACCGAGAATCCCTTGCCCATCACCACAGTCCAACTCCGACAACCTCCCACCTCTTGTTATCCTCTTTCGATAGAGAGAAAAGCACATTTTCAACCAGCTGACTGCCAGACATGAAGACTAGAGCCGCATTCAGACCCTTGCTAGGATGGTGTCGGTACAGAGATGGGGTTCTCCTACGAAGACAAGGCTTGCGATGGGCAAGCGATACCTGGGCCCCAGGCCCGGCGCAAAAGGCTGGAGCAGAGTCGTAGGTACATTCCTCACAGATCTGTTACTACTTTTCTAACTCACCTCAACAGAGTCAACTTCCCGGGTGCTCTCAACAGTAGCTTCACGTCGATGATGAAGTTTCATAATCCTGCTGAGGTTACAGCCATGCCAACATATAGAATCATGGATGCTGACGGCAACATCGTTGACAATACGCGAGATCCTCAATCAGCATCAGACGAGGACGTTATCCAATGGTACAAGACCATGCTGACTGTTAGCATCGTGGACCTGATCATGTTTGATGCTCAACGGCAAGGTCGCACCAGCTTCTACATGGTCTCCGCGGGAGAGGAGGGCATAGCTGTTGGCTCAGCATCTGCCTTGACTCCGGAAGACGTTTGTTTTCTGCAGTACCGTGAACAAGGCGTGCTCCTCCATCGAGGGTTCACGTTGAAAGAGTTGATGAGCCAGTTGTTTTCTAATAAAGATGATAACGGCAAAGGTCGAAATATGCCTGTTCACTATGGCTGTAGCAGGATAAATGTGCATACAATCTCAAGCCCATTGGGTACGCAGATACCACAAGCCGCAGGAGCAGCATACGCCTTGAAGATGCAACGGCTGATCAACCCCAATGTTCCACCCAGGGTTGTTGCCTGCTATTTTGGTGAAGGTGCAGCAAGCGAAGGCGATTTCCATGCAGCATTGAACATCGCAGCGACAAAATCATGCCCCATTGTCTTCGTATGCCGGAACAACGGCTTTGCAATCTCGACTGCCAGTATTGAGCAGTACAAGGGTGATGGTATTGCTAGTCGTGGCATGGGATATGGCATCGATACTATACGAGTGGATGGCAATGACATATTTGCGGTGAGGGAAGTCATGAGAGAGGCAAGAAAGCGCGCTCTCGAAGGCAACTGCAAACCTATACTGGTGGAAGCGATGAGCTACCGAGTCAGCCATCACAGCACAAGTGACGACAGTTTCGCGTACAGGGCAAAGAGAGAAGTGGAGGAATGGAAGAGGAGAGACAACCCAATCACCAGGTTGAGGAAATGGATGGAAAAGAAGGGAATCTGGGACGAGGATAAGGAGAAGGAAGCAAGAGCATCGATACGAAAAGAAGTTCTCAGGGAATTCTCTGCCGCTGAAAAAGTCAAGAAGCCCGCGATACGAGAAATGTTCACCGACGTGTATGAGGAGATAACCCCAGAAGCTCGGGAGCAGATGAAGCAATTGAAGGAGATCGTCGAGAAGTACCCGAAAGAGTATGATTTGTCGGTACACGAGGGAGGCGTGAAGACTTTGGAACAATGAAGGATGAACACCATGTATAGAGTTTCAAAGTTCTGCAAAGTACAGCACCATTGGGCCTTGTTGTCCCAACAACAAGACTATGGTTCGAAATGACTTACGCTCTTGTCTGTCCACAATGCGGACTGTAGACTTGTTCTCGGTGCGCCAGAGTCTCAAAATTCTTGAGAAAAGAAATCGGGTTATCCAATCCGGTTCTGTGTGAGATGTTCCAGGGGTATGTCGAGGATGCCGGGCTCCACTGACAAGGGAAGGAGGCGGAGAATCAAATATCCGATTGGCATTGGCCGCCTCAGCCACCGTGGCTTTGCGGGTGCAGAGCGATTACTTCTCCTTCTAGCGCCGCACTAAGGTGTACTAGCGGCAACCAGCCACCATAATACGCAGCATGGGGGTCTCCTCTCGAGGAATCATCATCACAGCTTCCAGCCTTCCTGATTCCCTCCAATGCACGACTCGGATCACAATGGTCACTGTGAACGGCGTCTTCAGTGCCAATGAGGTTTCTTCGCTACTGTGCTCGCTTCGGCCAAGTGCAATCTGTGCTGTCATGCAATTCTCAGGTGCTTGCGTTTGCGCCTTTACCAGCCTCCTCCTACACTATCGGTACCCAAGTATTTCCAGCATTCACTAACCATCTGTGTCCAAACTTTTTCCTCACAATGAACATTCTTCTGCTACTCTACTCAAGTTGAAACCTCTAGTCTGCACATATTGCATCTTTCTGGCTGTTGTTTCCGCCTCAACCCCACGATTGCAATCCTCACTTCATTCAGCCACCCCTTGTTACCCTTGCATTGTTTGGGCGTTTGGAAATCAGTTCTTCCTGTACAATATGCACTCCTCACTTTTGGGCTCAGTACTCACTGCACTGGCCATTTCTTCCTTGCTTCCAACAGCTACTGCACAGACTTACACCTCATGTAACCCGTTAGAACAGAGTAAGTCAACCTTCTGAGCCAACGACTGGATCAAACTGACGAAAACTAGGCGGTTGTCCAGCAGATCCAGCTCTGGGAAAGAGCGTCGATATAGACTTTTCATCGGGTTCTTCAAGCGAGTTTACGGAGTCCGGTGCTCCTACTTACGACTCTAATGGTGCTGCCTTTACGATAGCGAAATCCGGTGACTCACCCTTTATCGCTTCAAAATGGTACATCATGTTCGGGCATGTCGACTTTGTTGTCAAGGCTGCTCCCGGCACTGGCATTGTCAGTGCTGCAATCCTTCAATCTGATGACCTGGATGAGATCGATTGGGAATGGCTAGGCGGTGATAACACCCAGGCCCAGAGCAACTATTTTGGCAAAGGGCAAACGACGACAGGCTACAATCGAGGGGCTTTTCACGCAGCACCAAGCAATCACGACGAATTTCACACCTACAGCATCGATTGGACTGCCAATGAGATTGTCTGGTCTATCGACGGTACCACCGTGCGGGCTATGACTCAAGATCAAGCTGTGGCTGGCCAGTATCCTCAAACGCCCATGTATGTCAAGGTTGGTGCTTGGGCGGGAGGAGACCCATCGAATCCTCAGGGCACAATTGAATGGGCTGGTGGTCTTACAGATTACTCCGCTGGTCCATTCACCATGTACCTCAAATCTGTACATGTCACGGACTATTCGACCGGCTCTGAATATTCATACAGCGGAACCAGTGGGACATGGCAGTCTATTGTGTCCACCGGTGGCAAGATCAACAGCCAAGGTGATGGAACACCAGTGTCCAGTTCAACTCCTTCGGTCACGTCTCAAGTAACAACAGGAAGTGCTCCTCTGGCTTTTGGCAACAGCGATGGCGATTCCACTACTACGACCAGGACCGGCTGGCCCTGGTCAGGAACAGCCACCACAACAGCTGTCACCGTGGTAAGCGAATCAATCTCTGGGCTGACGAGTGAGTTGTTCCTTAGCTCCAGCTCAGTTGTTGTACTATAGCTAACAAGATGATAGACCCCTACCCCTTCGTCGTCCTCGTTGCTGCCCTCACAGTCGGGTTCGGCGTCGGCTTCCTCCATTGAGGCCTCCGGATCATCTCGCTCTAATACAAGTCCGATAGCTACCACATCTCGCAGAACAAGTTCTGAAGTCGTGACAGCTCCAACCACATCTATTTCTGCACCCGGAACAAGCCAGGCGAGCGGCACATCACAATCATCAAATCCATCGAATGGATTTCATTCTTCGAGCACAACGGCTGTCACCAAGGCATCGGGAAACCGATCTTCAGCTGCAACAACGACTTCTGCACAGTCTAGCAGTTCGACTAACCAGACGGGCAGTATGACGTTGCCTACCTCCACCCGCTCTGCTAGCATATCATCACCATTGCCGACACAGACAGGAATGCCGCCAGCCCCAAACAACGCCTTCCAGCACTTTGCTTTTGATTCTTGGATGATTTTGAGCGTAGCTATATTTTGGTTCCTCTTCTAGGTTCGTTGGCCGACCACCAGTGAATATGGTGGCATTTGTCAGCAGGAGTTATAATAGTGGGAATGGTGGTGGCGTCATTTGACTATGAGTACAGAATGATTCTAGAAGGGCATGAGCAACCTGGAGTGCAAGGACGCAAGGCTGAAGTCAGCAATGAATAAATATGGACATATGATACCCAGATAGAACGAACGGGCTCTCATCGAGTCTCACGATACCAAATGATGGATGAATTACTGGTTGATAGAAAACCGCCTTTACGCTGAATCTAATCCCCTTCACTCTCGACTTGGATACCACGAATAATCTCTGAAGTGGTTGATGACATAGAGAATACTAGGACTTGCATCAGCGGGCGGCGGGATATGCCAGAGCGTCGCCACCCTTTGTGCCTGAGAATCTCCGTATTTATGGATACTCCTCCTCGCACCGACAGGGAATGGACGTCGATAAATTTCGAATACTCGTACCCGCCAGTCCACGTCATTTTCTCATTGGAAGACACCACAACTTGCGGCGCCCGATTCTCTTCCGCTTCGTCCGTTAAAACGGTCAGAGGCGGTAAAAACGCCACAAGCGATCTCTAGACGCTTTCATCCCACCTTGGACACTGTCGTTGCGCTCTCAGTCAATTTCCTCCCGCAGTCTTCGTTTCCTTGCATTCCACTGCCTCAAGTCCGCAAAAATCCTTTCGACTATTTCCCACCATGGCGTCTGTAGCGCCTGCGTTCGGCGATGTCTCCCAGACTCACCCCTACACGTGTAACTCGTGCGCAGTTGCCTTCCGTAACAGCGATGCCCAACGAACTCATATGAGGAGCGACTGGCATAGATACAACCTCAAGAGAAGATTAGCAGAACTGCCGGCCGTCTCTTCGGAAGATTACAACGAGAAGGTGCTCGCTGCACAGGCAAGCAATAACGCAGCAGCCGCTCAAGCAGCCTTTGCAAAAGTATGCACACAGTGCCAGAAGACGTACTACAGTGAAAATGCTTTCCAAAATCACCTTGCGAGCAAAGCCCACCGAATGAAGGGCTCAATAGCCAGCGGCAAAATCTCAAGAGAGAGGACCAATGCTTCAGACAGCGCTGTATCGAAAGTGGTATCCTCAGAGGACTCGGAAATCCGAGATCCCGAAGCAGAGGCAGAATTCGAACAGGTGGTGGCGGGTATGAAGGACACATCCATTCAAGATCTACCGGCCATCGCACGAAGGCCGTCTGCTCCCGGTCCTGATGCTGACCCACGAGAGGACCATCCCATGTCACCAGAGAAGCCCGAGGTCTCTTCTATTCCTTTATCTCGGTGCTTATTTTGCAACTATGACTCCCCCAACCTCAAGCTCAGTGTCCTTCATATGACCAAGATCCATAGCTTGTTCATTCCTGAGCAGCATTACTTGGTTGATCCCGAAGGCCTCGTGCGTTACATGCAAGCAAAGGTCTATCAGAACTATGAGTGCCTATACTGCCATCGGCTTAGGGGAAACGCGGATGGTGCTCAGACGCATATGAGAGACAAGGGCCATTGCAAGATCGCCTTCGAGACCGAAGAGGAAATGATCGAAGTAGGTCAATTCTATGATTTCTCAAGCACATACTCGGATGACGGCGTGGATGATTCCGATACGGAGATGGACGCCTCGAAACCTACACAAAATGGCGGAGTCAAGTTGGCAAACGGTGAGAACCACGAGGAAGATGGCTGGGAGACAGACTCATCCTTCTCATCACTTGATACTGATGAGCTTGTCTCTGTACCGAATGATGACCGAACATCATCCTACCAACGCCTCCCTCTGCATCGACATCACTCAAATGCAGACCCGCGGCCTCACAGGAATGTGGATGGCTTCCATTCTCATGCACATCATCATAACAATGCAGTCTTCTACGACGAATACGAAATGCATCTCCCTAGCGGGAGAGTGGCCGGTCACAGAAACCTGCGAAAGTACTATAAACAGAACCTACACTCTTACCCCACCGCCGCCGAACGTATGGAGCGAGCACAACGCTTGATTGAAGAAGGTAGCTCGGATGCAGACATGGAAGATATCGGAGATCTTCCAGCTACGCCACCTCGAAACAGCCTGATACGCAGAGGGGAAGCTGGCATGCTTGGTGCGACGAGTCAACAACGCCGGGATGTTCGATCCCAGGAGATTCGATCAAGACAGAAAGAGCAGCGTTCTCAGAACAGGTACCAGGCTAAGCTGGAGAAGGCCAACAATCATCAGAAACACTTCAGGGTAAGTATTTGCATCATGCAAATTGAAGCAGGGCTATCGCTGACCGTTCCAGGATCCTCTATTGCAGTAATTGACTCAAAGCAGTCCTGGACAGCCTCGCCGTGTCATTCAGGAGGACTCTATCTGCGGCATTCTCTCACTTCTTGGCTTAGCGGGCATGTTTATTGCATAAGAGTATGGCTAGAGAAAACCTTGGTCGTGGCTGGGACTGGACTGGTAGAGGCTGGTACAGGCACTCCATCTATTACGAAACGCGATCAACGAACCTACATTAGACCAGTTCTATTCCGTATAGAGAGTACTTTTAGACCCGTATGACTAGAGCGCATATACCTCTTTGTATACGCCAAAGTGTTAGGCTTCTGGCACTGATGCGATGAATTTCGTTCCTGACGACACGTCTGAGTGCCGTCATGAAGATCCTTGGTTGTTTTGACAGAGAGTAGCTAGGTAGTATTACAAGTTCAAGTGAGTCCAAGTGAGTCCAAGGGTGAGCACTGGGAGCTGGTCAGGGGAGTTGGGAAATTTTTATACGGCGGACCAAATGGTCCCGAACCCCAACCAAAAACCACCGAGCTGCATCTCAAGCTTCATTCTTGCACGGATCATTGATAAAGTAGACTACCATCCTATTTCGCAGGCAACTCAGCTGCCAAAAAGGCCAAAAGTGCATTGAGCGCGAATTGGTCGCTTTTCTAGTCTCTTGTATCTTTCTTTGAAGTCTGGTCGCACTGCAATCCTATTGCGATGGCCAAAAAAGGTACGAAAAAGAGTCTCTTGACTCCGATCATCTTCCTCTCTCGCCATCCGTTTGCTAAACCTCGCTCCCCCCAGTCAAATCTCGTACCGTCGCAGTCCGCCTCATTAGTATGGCCATGACCGGCTTCTATCGAACTATGATCCGACCTCGCACCTCCCGACCTCTGAGCATGCTCAAATACGATCCAGTGGTCAAGCGGCAGGTGTTATTTCTGGAGCAGAAGCGTGGTAAATGATGCACAAACCCATTCTTCGATGGTGATTTACACGACTGGTTGAAGTGATGGTCACCAACATGACGAGCCGAGAGTCCTTGCAACCTTTAGTCCTACGAATTGAACTGCTTGAGGCTTCCAGTCATTCTCAAGATGTTGATAGTGGCTGCTACCCTTCACATTGGAAGAGAGGATGCATACTGCCTTGTGACCGCCATGATTCAAGTCGGACTGAGCCAAGTGGGAACTGCCATCTGCACCCTCACGGTCGCCAAGGTCGAAGGGCGCTTCAGGTGGTATGTGTAGGGGACGTAACCGGGCGAAGTACGTCCATTTTTGGTGTCTACACTGCGGCAATCTGGAGCTGGAAGACGAGCTATGCCCTACGGACTGGTCTTGGACAGGCCGTGAGCATGTCTCACGGCGAAGCGCCGTGCAGATGTGCCAGGACCATTGAGTCAGCCTTTGAGCTCATTTATGCCCTACGGCATCCTTACGGCATTGCATCCAACTATCTTTGGTCGCCTTTTGGTCATCTTATGGTCATCTTATGGTTGTTGTCAGAAGGAAGTTGAAACAGACACTCCCGAAGAGTGCACTTTCTGTCTAGAACGGGCAGCTCGCGGGTTTCGAAGCACTTATTACTCACCTGCGAGGCAGAAACATGGAGAGAGAAGACGTTCTAGACTTGGCTGTTTGCAATGCAAAATGGTCGGCGATCAAAAATTTACTTTTATCAACTTCCTTTCAAGAACTTTCCGACCTGTACGTGCTCGGCATTAAGAGTCTCTTCATCATAGCTTCCCTTAGTCAACTGATCTTTGCGTTCCTCTTTGAATGGCAAGTGGTTTAGGGGTAGGATAGATATTTCGTCCCTAAAATCTACAATATTTACTGTTAGGTAGAAGTTCATCTTACCTATCTAACCTCTGATCGTTAGCGAGAGTCTGCGAGGCTGTACGAGGCTGTACAAGGCTGCGCCCAAGCATTTGACGTCATTTCTTGAGACTGAGCCTGGACACACGGGCTTTTGAGCAGGTAAAGCAGAATCAACAAGCACAACCGATGCTGGAAGTACCAAGACACAACATGTCAATTGAACTTTCTATGGTTCCCATGGCCTAAGGTTCTCCTCAACGCCTCAGTATTCTCAATAATGCTCATCTATACCTTTGTAATATGATTCTCTTTACACTGAGCCGATGTCGTCCTCCCGAGTCATGCCTGCGGGCAGCTTGACAACAACTCAAGATCTCGACGGCCTAGATCCCGAGTCGTACACGGCCCGTCGCCTTAAGCATGCCTCTCCTGAACACCTTCACCTCACCTCTCGGAAGTTCTTCATTGGGCCGATACCCGAAGGCTGGCTCAATAGCAACAGGAAATCATGGTACAAGCGGAGGTTGGAACTAAGCACCTACTCCTCCAAAAGAGCAAGTTTCCATGCATCTGCCGATACAGGGCCTCATAATAGGACTCTGACAGGGCTGGATGGTCCGTCGACCGCGGCAAGGATATCGTTCAGCTTTCCGCAGCCAGAAGACGTCCACGACGAGGCATCGAGTGCAGGTGAGGAAGCTGGGACAGAGATCCCAGAAGAGGAGGAAGTCCTTGAAACAGCAAATCTTGAGCCCGTTGCGACAAATGAAGTTCCAATTGGACCTGACAATGAACCACAGACTCAAAATAATATTGCGTCCTCGAAAGCTATTCCTGTACCTATAGACAGAGGCTTAGACGGAACAAGAGATCAGTCTGGCCACAAGAGTGCCACATCTCCGGGTCCTACATCCTTTTCAACCGCGAAGGAGAACATGTCGGCGATATCTGACAGAGACCCATCCTTGATAGATGAACGCCGATCTAGACACGACACTGACCAGGAGGAGACGGATGGACAAGGGTCTCTGCGGATTTCTAGCGTGGGAACGAGTTCTCGGACGCCTCTGATACAACCGCAAACCGGGATTCCTGGCTCCCAGTCTCTCCGACAACATGAGCCCTCACCTTTGAAAGACGATATCTCATATCAGCTCAAACGCTCCACTACTGGAGTTCGCTTCAAGGTTGCGGAAGGGGTCCAGCAAGGTCGACGTCGGATCGAGAGCAAGGCAGAGAGAGCGATAGATCGTGTTGCCGACCACAGATTGAGACGCAACACGTTGAAGGAAGGGACCATCGTCAAGATGGAGAGAATGTTGGTTAGATGTGACAGCACTATGCAACCGCTCCCGGAAGATTTCGACGAGAACGAGAGTCAGAAAATCGAAATGAGACTCCTTGAGAAGTGGAGAGAGTATATGGTTGTGACGAGGAAAAGCAAGAAACAAGATGCCGATGACTTCAGATTGCAACTCTATAAAACAAGAGTGATTCCTGAGATTGACACTGAATCTACAAAGAAAAAGCCCGCACATGAGATTAGATTGGATCCCAAAACAACAAGGATAAATCTATATTCCTCATTGGACAAGACGGTAGTCATCTGGCATGCATACAAGAAAGGAACACGAATCTTCGTCATGAGGCCCAGCTCAACGGCACATTCAGTGGAGTGGTATACTTTCCTTCGGGATGCTTTGGGTTGGCGGAGACCTAATGTTCTCCACATCAATGTGCCTGACCTAGACGTCACCTTGAAGCTGGAGAGACCGTTTGAAGGCCTTGAGAAAGCTGGTGCCGATGCAACCGATGAAGAGACTGCGCTCTCTCAGACTGTTGAGGCTGAGAAAGCTGTTGCCGGCACAATCATAGCGAAGTGCTTGGATATGCTAAAACGTGATCCCGAATGGTCCAGCGTACTAAAAGTCTGGAGCGAATCAGCTCATATGGGCCTCGCGTGGAAGAGATACGACCGACTAGAATGGGTTTCTGGTGCCAACGAACAAAAAATGTATGGCTCTATGGCGATGCAACGATCGCATGACCTGGAATTGCGACCAAAACAGCACTATCCTACCTGTACTCATGGACGAAAGGGCAAGCTTCACGAAGAGCCCAGCCCGATCGAAGGCTTTCTTGTACGTCTTACGTCTCAGAAAGGCGTCCATCAACGATTCGGCAAAGCATTTTTCAAACGGCTATACTTCTCCACCCACGACCAGTTCTTGGTGTTCAACCGACCTGCAAAAGCCACACCACCACATCCTCCAAGGTTAGCAACAATTGGAGGTCAGAACATCCCTTCGTCACAAGAAATTATCGACAAAACACCGTTGATGTTCGAGGTGGAACCGTACAAGTTGAAAGATGCAGCTGTTTCCTGGCTGGCCTCTAGAGACAGGTTGTCGATTGAGAGCCATGACCGAGATGCTCTGGAGGAGGCCCGGCGCAATGTCGCAAATCTTCTTGAGTCTGACGGGTTCGTCAATTTGTGCTACGTGAAGAAAGTGCGTACCATCAAGTGGGGCGCTTCCCCAGCTGATGATACGCTCGATATTGGTTCCGACTCTGATGTTGATTTTCACCAGGAGGTTTCAGACACCAGGGCTGAAGACGGCACAACTAAGCAGATTGATGACGATCGTGTCTTTGAAATTCTCCTCGACAACGGGCTGGTGATTCGATTACAAGCATACTCGAAACAAACCCGGGATGAATGGATCTCGAGGTTGAAGAAGTTGGTCAAGTACTGGAAGTTACGTGTCGCGGCTGAGATGGACACCTACAAATCAATCCGACGAGCCAATCTAGAAGAGCTTAATATCGACGAAGAACTTGAAGCTATTATCGGACAGTTTGCGAAGAAGTGGGAAGTTAGCCGAAGTCAGACGAGTCCAGAGCTGTACAACATGTGCGGTTTCAGTGTATGCCGGAGTATCACAATGGCCGGCCCACTGTACCTGAAAACGAAGCGTCGAGCGGCTTTCCACAGGAGCCAAGTGATCCTCACCGGTGGCAAGCTTCTGATATACCAGGCTTCGTTGAGAAAACGGACAGGTCAAGAGATTCGCCATATCCATCAAGAGAAGCAACAGGTTGTCGATCTGAGGGACTGTTATGTATACAGTGGCTTGATTGTGGAAGATGATTTATTGTACCAGAACAAGACGTTTGACGCCAACCATCCCGGTATAGCAACTCTCCCTCGGGTCTACCTTGAAGACGGCTGGACCAGCGCCGATGTGGATGTGATGACTTGCTTTGTCGTGTGGCAGAACAGACGCAAAGGCTGGTTCCGAACAGCAGCAGTTGCCCAGGACAACAAGTCGTCCTCGGATGGACAAGGTGACGGTGGAAGGACTCGAGCTACACTACGCCGAGTGGGCCAGCTCGGTGTGCCTGGTCGAGGAATGGTGTTTAAGTGTCGAAGTCGGGCCGAGAGGGACAGATGGGTTCTGAGCGTTTCATGTGAAATTGAACGACTTGTTGAGCAAGAGGTTGAAGAGTTGGGAGATGAAGGGGAGTTTAGGTTTGATAAGTGAGAAAATGAGAACAAAAGGGTTTGGCAGAACAATCGGGAGGGGTCTCACCACCCTGTGTTGTAATACGAAATTCGAAGTGGTAGGTGAGAGAGTACATTTTACAAGGGCTGGGGGATCATGAGTCGGTAATAACGACAAAAAAGACAAACGACGACGGAAAGGAAAGGGGGGAGAAGGAGCAATTAGTAAGGCGAATGAACACATAATGGGATTTGAGATGAAGGGAGAAAGTATCTATTTTATTTATTTGTTGGTATGATTAGGTAGTATCGCCGCGATAGTGACATTGACTCATAATGGTAATGGTGAGGTACCTAATACTGACGTGGGAAATGGGTTGTTTGGTTGTTTGGCTGCTTGTGTTGATTTGATTTTGCCATCTGTCTGAGCCGAGCTCCGTTCGTGATTCGTGATTCATTATCTCTCTTTTTTTTTCCTGTCTGGAATTTTGTACGAATGCAAAACCAAAAGCGAGAGAATAGGTAGGTACCTACTGTGGGTACTCGCACCACTCGACTCTGATCCCACGAACCACGAATGCGTTATCTGACGGACGACGGACCCTGGACTGGAGCCACGGCTAGACCTAACTAGTCGTACTCCACGAAAAGCATTGTAGCCTCACTCATGATCTCGTCCGCCCTGTCCTTCCCGCCACCGACCTTGGTCTCGAGCCAACCTGTTGCCTTGTCGACGACCATTTCCCACACGTCCTTTTCGTCGGGGACCTTGGATCTGAGCCACGCCGTCGCCAGGGCTGTCGCGGCGACAGACGTGTCATCCGCGGACACCTTGACGGTGACGCTCTCGACGTCGTCGGCCGTCACACCCAGCAGGGCCAACAACGGGTCTGAAAGGGTCCACGATCCGTCGAATTCCTGCAGGTTGATAATCTTGTGCATCTTCTGTTCGTCCGATAGCTGCTCTTCCTCTTCTTCTCCTCCTTCTTCTTCCTCATCCTCTTTTTCTTCCTCCATATCGACGTCGGCGACGGACGCGGTCTTCTTCTTAGCCGTCGGCGCGGACTTGCGATACGATTTCGCACCTAACTGTCTGCGTGGAGCCACGCCGCCAGCGAACTTGTATGCCCTCTGGCTGAAGAGTGCAACTCCAGCTCCCCCACTCCCACCGGGTGCCGGTGGTCCGGCAAAACTTGACATGCACATATCGACCGTGTTTGTCGGCGCGGAGGTGCCGTGATTTATCGGAGCTAACTCTCTGTCTCTGAGACCTGACCTGTGCATTGGTTGGAACCTCCTACGTGCCCTGGGGCCGGGTTGCTGGTGCAGCATTTGAACTTGTTGAAACGCTGCTGGAGGTGGAGCCGGGAGGGGCCCGCCTGGCCTCTTTTGCCTCCTGTCGACGGGCTCCGGCGCACCTGCACCTGCAGCGTCAGTATCACGGACACAAAGAGACATGTTTGGGGATGATGAAGGTGAAAAGAAAGAATTCGGGCCAGAAACAATGCCACTGCCGCTGCTGCCCCCGCTCTGGCCAAGGTCTCCGTCCGATTCATCAGGTAGTGGACATGAGGCTGCTGCCATCATTTCATTCGAGTAGTGCTGCATCGTGTTCATCCCGGCGGCCGAGTCGCCGAACAATTCAGTGCCGCGGGAGAATCGACGTGCTTGTAAGTCTGAGGTTGTTAAGTCCAAGTTGTTTAGAGATTGAGCGATTCCAAAGAGGCCAGTGGTGCCAGAGCAGAGCCCACTTTGTGGGGGAGCAGAGTCCGAGAGAGTTGGGGTTCGAGTGTCAGTGCTCCCGAAGAGACCAGAGGTGCTAGAGAATAGCCCGCCACGTTGTGAGTTCCGGGGATTTTGGGAGCCAAAGCCCCCGAGATAAGCACCAGAAGAGAAGGTGGAAGCCAGCGAGTTCGAACCGAAGCCTGAGTATGGAGCAGAAGTCGCCTTCATCGTGGGGGCAGCAAAGGTCGTTGTTGCACGAGCCGCGAATAGCATAGTGGAGGCACTCTTTGGGGTATCAATGGGTCGGGACTTACTCAATAAGGAACGCGACGGAAGGTTACCTTCGTTTGTATTGTCGGCGGTACCATTTGTCTCCACAGCAATAAATGAGCACCATTTTCCAGCGACTTGGAACTGGGTACCAAGTCTGACGGCCTCTCGTTCAACAATGAGATCCCATTTGCCTCTGTGGGCGGATTTGAGAGGTTGGCCGAGACGGTTACGCACTTCTGTGATCCAGCCACGACCCTCTTCGAGTTCTTGAGTTGCTTTCTTCGCAGCAAGTTGGTGGATTGTCTTACCCACCCCGACATCCTGAATAGGGATTTGAAGCTCCAGTGGTCCATGCTCGCAGGTCCCTCGCAGAGTGACTGCTTTGGGGACCTTATGAGGAGCACCAGGGCCGACTAGGAGGTAGACCGTCGTGCGGTTGAAGGGGAACAAGGCTGGTATCTTGTGTGGTGTCTGCAACACTTTGGGGCTCGGAACCTCAGGTAGACTATCATAGCGACCGGTTGGAGGATTGGTGGGTTCTTCCGGCGCGTCTGTGTCGAAAAGAGAGATTGTCTTCTTCTCCGCGGGTTTCTGCAGGTCCGTTACCACTGTTGTAGCCGGTTTGTCGGTAGCCTCGACCATCTCAAAATCATCATCTTGGGAGATCGAGTCTTCGTCGTATGTGACGGCAAGGGTATAGTCTGTGACGTGCGGGGTCAAGGCTCCCTTGAGCATGCGAACAACACGCTTGTCCATCTTCTCGTTGTTGCCCACGAACTGAGCGAAGCCGTTGCCTGCGCGTGCGATGCCTTCGACGAGAGCAGACGATGCACCGTGCCCAATACCCAAGGAGAAGAAACGTGCATTTTTCGTTTCGTTCAGGAAGGCGAACAGCTCGTTCTGATTCCAGATCTCGCCGTCGGTCAGAACCATCACTTCGAGAGGAAGATCTTCATATCGATTCTTGACAGTCTCTTTCAAAGGATTCAACATCTCGGTGCCACCATAATTGGCACTGAAACCGTCGATGTGCTTAAGAGCCTCCTTCAGAGTCGACTGATCGTAGGTCTGACTCTTGTCGAAGAGGAAGGAGTATCGGGAACCAAAAGAGCAGATGTTGAACTTGACCCCGACAGGAAGAGACCGTAAAAATATCTTCAAGGCGGAGACAAGGAGTGGAATCTTGTCAGACATGCTACCACTTCTGTCAACCACAAACACAATTTCAGGCGAGATGTTTGGTAAACTGAATTTGGGCACGAGGGTTGTCATTATTGCGCGTTGGTTGGGAAGCAAGGGATGTGTCTCAAGCAGTGCACGTGGGTTTTCGGTGTCTTTGGCAAGCACGACAATGATGAAGTCCTTGTCTAGCTCAGTTGTACCGAGCGTCAATGTCGCTGATGCGTTGTTGGTTTGGAAAGCATCATCGTCCATGAGACTGGTCCGACCCATGGTCACGGCGATTGGGTGGCTTGGTGATTGCAGACCTCGTACAGTAGAACCGTCTTCAAGGGTAACATTCACCAGAATGGAAATACCGCCTTTGGCATTTGCGGATTGTTCAGTCAGCGCTTCTCCTGATTCAGTCGACACCGATCCATAGCGTGGTGCAATGGTAGTCGGAATGGTGAAACGTGAGCCACCTGTTTCGGCGTCGTACTTGAGTTCTCCGAGGTAGACGATCTCCACGTAGATCTTTTCGTTAGGTGGCACGTTCCCAATTGTGGTGGTGAAGACATCAGATGCCTCCGGCAATTGTTGAAACAACCCTGCCGTCTCGCCACGAGCAACTGCTTCGTCGTACTCTACCTTCGCTTGCTGTTTCTCCTTGACTACTCCGACCAAAGTCTTGGAGCCGACTATGCAGGTAAACTCAACGACACTGACTCCATCGTACAGTGGGAAGGTATATTGTACCTCATCGAGCTTGTCGTTTCGATCATTGACAAATATTTGTTTGAGTGTGGTTCGTGAAGTAATGGCTAGAATATCTGTGGAGGTAGACAACTCAACTTGTGGAAGGTACTGCTTCTGAGGAGGGGAGTCGTAGTACGGTTGGGACGCCGGCAGTGAGTATAGATACCAACAGCCACATCGAGACTGCATGGTGCTGTGTTTGCTGGAGGATATCCGGAAACAGTGATAGAAGAGGAACAGAGAAGTGATGTGGGATGGGAGGAAATGTAGGGGGTTTAAATAGATGGACAAGGATGCAGGCAACCATAAGGCCTAGCTGCCTCATTCCCAAAAGGGTAATCGGCAGGGGTCATCAGCCAATCAGACGGCGAGCCCAAGGAGAAGTTTCAGGAGCATCTGGTTGCCTTGTGCCGGGAATAAAGGATCATAGCAGCAAGAATATTCGGCACCTCACCAACTTGCTCGTCGCTATAAATTGTAGTGCCAAGTCAGGTTGGACTTAGCTCCAAGATCAACTCCAATGGAGGTTGCTGTCGTCAAGATGCAGGTCAAAAACAATACGCGAGGGACAACGGTGGAGTCAGTAAAGGATACAAACCTGGTTCGCTGCGAGAGGTTCGCGCTGTGGTAAGACAAATTCTTTGCAGCTGCCTGGTTTATCTCGTTGTCGGGATCCTGCATCGGACTCGGGACGGACTGGCGGACTTTGCCAATCCCTCTGCAAGCTGTAGCCAGGCGGCAGAGCACGGAGGACAAAGTATCAGGCACTAAGGCCGGCCCCCTGGATCGTTGGAGAGGCACTGTGGGTGTCTGGCGGATTGCCTAATCACTGCAAATGTAACTCCAGGTACATCGTATCAATCCTAGTGGACGCGGTCAGTATCATCGACAGCCTTTGCCGTGGAAACCTCACATTTTTCCCTTCTTGAACCCTACACCCTTGAGTCTTCCAACTTCTTCGAATCCCCATCGTTTGTACCAATCTCGTAGTGCCATGCCCTGGCCAGGAGCTTCTTCATCTATCGCCATGACAGCAAAGACCTTTCTGACGTCAACCTCAACCGGGTGGTCTTCGTGGCCCACTTCCTTCGACACATGCTTGGTCTGCCGAAGTAGTTCGATCAGCCGCTTGATCATCCTGCTCCCTATGCCTTTCTTCTGGTGTGTGGGGTGGCAGTAAAGGCTTATCTCCACAGAATGTCCATAGCCCAGCATGAAGCCACGAAAAGCCGAGGCGTACGAGTATCCAACGACTGTACCGCCCTCGTCAACAGCCACCAAATACGGTAAATGCCGAGCCACTGAATCGTGGTAACGTTCAGCGACATAATCAGGCGGTGGCTTTTGCACGAGAAAAGAGACCACAGTGTTAAGCACGTAGTACTCGTATATCTGACGCACCTGTGGGAGGTCTGATTCCACCGCAGCACGAACAGTCACATTCATGGTTAGAAGAGGTCGTCCAGCGATGGCTGCCCACCACTCGTATATTGTTGTTGTCCATGTCGTGTCAATGGTTTCGACGAGGTCGGCATTTATCCCAGCCGGCGTCCCTCGGCGGACAAACAATATTCCGAACCACCATTCACGTGCACAGTCACGTGAGCACAGCTTATCGTTATCGATTCGTGCCCCGCAAAACCTAGACTTCAACTGTGACTTCAATGTTCTGAGCAGTCACTAACAATCTCTTTTCGCCGTGCCTCAGTCTATTGATCAATTGAATCCTTGAATGTATTGAAATTTACACTATTGAGGCGTGAATTGGTTTTTGCTTATTGTTCGTTGTTGTATAAGTTTAGATTCCCCCTCAAGTTGTCTCTTCCAGGTTTCGACCGCTGCTGTCAACGCCACACGTAAACCCTCTTTGCACACATGCTCACTCGTCTCCAAACTGCTGCAATGGCATCTTCTAAGCTGTTGCCGCTCAAGAGTATCCCTACCCTCTCCGACCTGTATCGCGCAGAACTCCTCGCACCGTCAGCCGAAGAGGATCTGGCATCCCCAAACCAAGAATACAACGACAAAATCAGCCTGATACAGCATGACATCACACTGCTAGAAGTCGATGCCATTGTCAATGCTGCAAATCGCCGACTCCTCGGAGGAGGAGGTGTTGATGGCGCAATCCACCGTGCAGCTGGACCTGGCCTCCTGAAAGAATGCGCAACTCTTGATGGCTGTGCCACCGGGTCTGCCAAAATTACCGATGCCTACAACCTGCCGTGCAAAAAGGTCATCCACGCTGTTGGCCCTATTTTTGACAGCATCACCAAGTCTGAGCCTCTGCTTCGATCCTGCTACCGTACGGCCTTCCGCCTCGCAGCTCAGAATGACTGCAAGTCGATAGCCTTCCCTGCCATCTCCTGTGGAGTCTATGGTTTCCCAAGCAAGCCTGCAGCCCTTGCAGCGATCCGCGAGACCCTTGCTTTCCTCAAGACACCAGCAGCGTCGGGTATCGAGAGAATCATCTTTTGCAACTTCATGGATCGAGACGTGGATGCATACGCCGATTTGCTGCCGTAAGTGGCACATGTGTTTCCATTTCCCAGGAGTTTTGACTAATGGTGATTTGATTTTAGGCTGATTTTTCCCCCAACTCTGGAAGACTTGTCCCCAACAAGTGAGTCAGACCTTTCTGATCTAACAGACTCAGATGATGACGAAGGACAGCCTAGTCCCATGAGGCCTATTCCACCCCGAACGCTGTATGTGAACCCCCGTGTCGATAGAAACAGTGGATCGAGATCAGCCAGCTTCCGGAGTAGTTCGAAGCGATCGTTCGAAGAATTATTCGAAGATGACGATGAAGAGGACGAAAGCCCGGTTACCAAGAAGAGACGAGCCGGAAGTGGCCCGTTTGACTGTGAAGGTGGGGATGAGCAAGACCAATCCCTTCGTGAAGGCGCCGAGTCCGAATCAGAAGATGAGGTTGACACGAAAATTCCTACCACCGTCTGGAAAGGCCGTCTGACTGATCCTGTCGACGACGAATGCCCGCACGAACGCTTCTACGTGGCTGATGGGCTGTCTTCTCATGGTCTCTGGCCACATGGTGCATGGATCTGCGAATGTGGTGAGAAGTTTCTCCAGAGATGTTGCACTGATATGCCAGCGATTGGTCGTGGTGTGTACCATCGGTATCACTACTGAGAAGAGTGCGGATGGAGCGTATTGTCTTTCTGGGGTTGTTTAACTTGTCAATGGACGTTTGGGTTGTACAAATGGCAACGTCTTTGGCAATGGATAGGAATTGGCTGATGTGGTATCGAGCGCGGATCAAAGAGCTGGCTGAGGGATCGCTTACCATCGTACATACGATTGGTTCTCGGAATAAAAGTTCAACTAAGGGTCTTGAGCAGGATTCTCAGACATGGCAGATCACCTGGTAATTGTCAATAATGATTTAGTTGACTCTGACACTCGATATGGTAGTTTTGATGCCTACCTAGGTTTGGTTTTTGGTTCTACATTCGTCGAATGATGCATGAATCAGTCAATTATGAGGCATCCTTAGCCATGCTCATCCTCGTTTACAATAGTGATGGGTTAGCCTTTCCTCCCGAGCTTCCTTTCTCTCCCCAATCGTTCAATCTCCTCGCACACGTTGTCGGTGACTTCGTCGGTACCAGCGGTCCCTCCCAGATCCCTCGTTTTGATGCCTTTGTCCAGGACGTTCTCGACGGCGTCCATCAGCAAGTCGGCGGCGTCGTGCTGCCCCAGCCACCTGACCATCTCGGCGCAGGTCCAGAAGGTGCCGACGGGGTTCGCGACGCCCTTCCCGGCGATGTCCCAGGCCGAGCCGTGGATGGGCTCGAACATGCTCGGGTTCCGCCTGGTGGGGTCCAGGTTGCTCGTCGGGGCGATGCCGATGCTCCCGGCCAGGGCGGCGGCGAGGTCCGACAGGATGTCGGCGTGCAGGTTGGTGGCGACGACGGTGTCGACGGACTCGGGCTGCAGGGCCATGCGGCACGTCATGGCGTCGACGAGCATCCTGTCCGTCTCGACGTCCGGGTAGTCCCGGGCCACGAGGGCCTGCACCTCGTCCCACAGGACCATGCCGTTGCGCTGGGCGTTGGACTTGGTCACGAACGTCAGCTTCCGGCGCGGCCGCGACCGCGCCGTCTCGTACGCGAACCGCAGCAGCCGCTCGGCGCCGTGCCGCGTGAACACCGCCACCTCGGTCGCCACCTCCCACGGCTGCCCGACGTGCGACCGGCCCCCCTGGCCCGCGTACTCGCCCTCGCTGTTCTCGCGGACGATGACCCAGTCGAGTTTCCGGGCCGCGGCGGCGCCGCCCTGGCACGACGACAGCGGCGACGTCACCCCGCGCAGGATCCGCGTCGGCCGCACGTTGGCGTACTGTTGCAGCGGCTGGCAGATGGCGAGCCGCAGGCCCCAGAGCGAGACGTGGTCGGGAACCCGCACGTCGCCGACCGCCCCGAAGAGGATGGCGTCGTGCTTGCGAAGCTCCGAGAGCCCGTCCTCGGGAATGTACTTGCCCGTCTTCAGGTACGTGTCGCTCGACCAGTCAAAGTGTGTGAAGGCGAAGCTGAAGTGCGAGAATGTCGACGCCAGCGTGTTGAGCACCCGGATGCCCGAAGATATGACTTCGGGGCCGATGCCGTCGGCGGGAATCGAGGCGATGGCGTATGTCGTCGTTGTCGTTGACGGTGGAGGGTCGGCGACGACCCCGACGGGTTGTTGTTGTTGGTGGTGGTGGTCGACGGATATCGAGCCCATGGTTGTTGATTGACTTGACTCTGTGACTGGGTGTTTTTTTTTCTCTTATTATTGACTTTTCTGCGACGAGCTAAGCGAATTGTAATTCTTTGATGCTTGCTGTGAAAATTTAAAATTGAATCCAGGATAGTCATATAAATATAACAAATGTACGGCTTCTTAAACTTATAAGATGCTGCGATTCATGCATGTCGATGTCTGAACGCGGGCAAACTTTTAGGCTACCGGCACTTGTCCCGTCGCCCCGGGTCTGTCCGGGGTTGTACTCCGTACGCAGCCTTTCATGGTCTTGCGGAGGAAGCATATTCGACAGGGTAAAGAAAGCTACTGGTAGGGGTGTCTATGGTTAGGTTAGTGCCACTTTTCAGGGTGACGAAGAACAGTTTTGGAACCCTGGGTGCGTGGCAGGGTTTAAAAATTGCGACTTCACACCATGTCAACCAACTATAGGTCCATTCATCCACAGCACAACATTATCCGGGGAGGCTCGGTGCACCTGTGACCCCGAACCTGTTTCTCCTCAGTTGGACGCCCTTGCTCGCTCGAACCAGAGTCCTGAGCGCCAGCCAGCTACATAGCGAAATTTTCATGCTCAGTGTGTTTCGCAATATATACTTGGTCGTCTGTATATGCGTAAAGTTTCATTCTTTAAAAGCTAAACTTTCAGTTTATTGTTCGTCTTTTCGAATTTTATGCTTTTTGTTTTCTACTTTTATTTGTTATGTCTGTGTTTGATTCTCAAAGGTAAAAACAGCCCGTGGGTCGGAAGCATCCCAGGTAAAATTTCATTCGACATATTTGGGGGGGCAAAGAACGAAGTCGGGGCTGAAAAAGCATGACTACCTACTAAATGATGAAGAAGTACTCAATCATAGCCTGACACGATGCGCGGGCTTGGTTGGGCTGATACAAAGGACCAATTGTTACCTGGTCAGAAGAATGATCAGTCAGCAGATGTAGTGGCTGAGTAGTGCATGCAGCTTAGGCTGTGTCTGAAGCCCCCAGCTTATAATTTGAAGTGACGTGTCACATCACAAATCTTGGTTAGTATGGATTTGGTGCCATGGAGCCGCCGCGACTCTTAAAGGGTGCCTGGATCCATCCCCGCCTGGAGATTACGATCTACAACTTCCGAGAAGCTGCTGCTGTGGATGTGCTGCACCACATACTGTACAGGACTCAAACACAAGATCTGCCATAGAAGCCCCAAACCTCCGGAGACCACTCCATCATGGCTGAATACATGAAAGAAGTTGTGCAGCAACCTTCAGACGCCTCCACTCCCCCAACAACGTCGGCTCCTATCGATCCATCCGCTTATCCAACCCATCGACTCAACGGTATAAAAGCTGGAAAGCGTAGCGTCCAGCTACTTGTCAATACAGGGAACCAGCTCTTTGACGCAGAAAACATAGAATGCGACGACTTTGGGTGGCAGAGTTTCGGTAATTGGGAGGGTGAAACTCTATTGAAGGTCGTGGACATTCTTCAACAAAGGCAACCCAGCGCAAGCACTCCCGCGGGCAATGACAACTCCAAATTTGCGAAGCATGGGTCTGGACAGAGACTCGGGCCGGGACGGACGTTGGCGGACATAGGCAAGGAATAACGCTGGGGTTGATGCTGGTGATTGGGATGAATGGCGCACGCAAACCGATTAATTGTGACAGTATGTAGTAGTCGCTCATTTATTTGAAACTTGGCATTACCATGTATACACAAACTGCTGGATCCATTATTCAGTGACGTTGGGTTTGAGTAGTGAAGTATTGTTGGAGAGTTCTGTCTGAGACAGAACCGACGAACTGAATTGCCCGATCTCCTGCAGAGACTCCTTTAATGTCGAAAAGGTCACCAAGGGTGGAAACGAATAGCTGTTGCCCATCGTGGCCCACCCTCATATCCTCCACGACGTGTACACGCTTCTCTGAGGCCCTTCCAGCTGCACCGTTGCAGATCTCCAGTAACCTTTTGGCGCTCTTGAACTCGCCTTCGAGCGTTTGAACGCCTGCTCCCGGATCCTCCACGGCCGTATCATTTTCCAAACTACTGGAATCTCGCTCAGAGTGGAGGTGTTTGATGGTCTCGGAGAGCGCATCGCTACATACTCTCAGCCCCGACAATGTTATGGTCTCCGCCCGCGTGAAGTCTCTGGCCTGAAGAACGGGGCTAGAACGCTCAGTCGCCTTCCCCTGACCGACGATCGGCGGAAAGTGCATTTCATTGATGTGAGACAGTACTTCGTTGCAGAATTGGAGACACATTTCAACGTTCCCTTTCTCGTTCTTGATCCGCTGTATGTCGAGCTGCATAGTTTCGGAGGCTTGTTCGGCGTCACTCGCATGACTTTGAAGTTTTGCGTCAATGTCCTTGAGATGATCCTCCAGATCTTGGGTGGTACTTTGGACCAAATCTTTATACTCATTGAGCACCTTTAAAGTGACAGAAGTAGAATGCCTATGACCACGGTCAGCCTACGAAACGCTTTTAGACCGCGAACTTACAGATTTGCATCGGCAAGGGCGATGCAGATGGTGCTTTTGTACCCTGCGATCATGTTGGTGAAGCCGTTCACGTCGTTCCCCATGTATTTCAGTCTCGCCCAATCTCTAAAACTGGTTCTAGCACCTCCCGAGTGCTTGCTACATTTGATCAGCAGCCCCTCAAAGTCCGAGCATGCTTGACTGCATCGTTCCAGGGGAAGCTTCAATGAAGTGAACGCGCTCGCATTGGAAACAACAAGCGATTGTAGAGATTGGAGAACTTGATTGAGAGCGGCTAATTCATCCAGCAGACAAACAACAGCCCGCCGATGGTTTTGGAAACTCCGAACTGTGTCGTAGAGGGCTTTGCTAGATTGGATTGCAGCCGTGATGACGGCCAGTAAACCAGCACTCACGCTCAGCGGATCAGCCATGCCGTGGATGCGCTGGCACACGGACCTTTGGAACGTGGTTTCTCGCCAGGTGACAGAGTCAACTCGAGATCGCAGGAGGCTGACCGAACCACGACACTCAGGAGAGGTCACGTGCCGCTCCAGACTGAAGCAGCCCAACACGAAATCCTCTAGGAGTCTCGAATATCCAGACAACATGAGAAGAAGCACGGGAATGTGTGTGTGGCAAATCGGAATAAGGATTTGTATTTGGATGACCTCCTACAACCATGTGATCATGCCAATTCACCAACCATCGACCACGCGTGTCTATGGCTCCAGGATGACCTGTGTTCTCTTTTCAACAAAGGCTTGTCGAAAATCGGCATTGAAAATGGTGCAGTTTTTGCGGATATCCGCCGCAGTACGTACTCGTTCTTGCGACAAGATTTCAACTGGTTCCAAGACCCCATGATTGAAAGAAGACGGGAATGATATTAGCTATGAAATATACCTAGGACTATCGAGCACCTAGAGTTAAATCAAGGCAAAGAAGTGAAGTCTAATCCAAGATAAGAAGTCTAATCCGATGGAAGTAGGGTATAAATCTTGCCTTTTCTCAAGAAAATGGCAAACCCAACCCCAAATCCCGCAAGTATCTGCCCCTTGTAAGGAAAGAAAAAGGGGAACCAGATTGCAAAATCCTCCTGAAGGTGAAGTGAATATAAAAGAGGCCGCAAACGACCTCTGGTCTGAGAATAGAAAAATATAACTTCTTCGCCCCGTGATCACCAGCTGTCAAGTACTTTCTCAGCTGCAGGCAATATCGGTCAGATAGACAGTGGTAGAACCCAATGAGCCGCATGAACCATTCATTACCTGGTCGGCGACATATGTTTCGACCTGGCTTACCGACTCCGTGGCGATGATTGGTGTGTTGCCGTTGTTTCCATAGGCCACACATCCTGGGGTAGTGGAGCAGGTTAGCTGTGCAGTGGCGACAACTTGACTCGTGCTGCATCCAAAAAGGCCGCCCGTAGTGCATGTTCCTCCGTTACTGATACCAACATTGGCTAAAGAGAGCCCCGAGCAGAGTACAACGGCTGTGTTGCACTGGGGAGTCGGCAGCGCAGGAGCCGGGCACGCGGTGTTTGCCACAGGCGTGTTAGCGAGACCGACTAGCGCGCATAATGTGTTGAGAGCTGATCCCAAGCCTGAAATTTGAGCCTGAAGCTGAGACGCTGTCAAAGCATAGCCATAGGCTGTGGTGCTGGTAAACGACACCGAAGACACTCCGGCATACGTGTAAAGCTCATTGGCTATGGCCTGCATCTGCGCAGTTGTACAGCTGCCCACTACCAGTGGGCAGGATAGACTCTTGACCACCCACTGGCTCACAGCAGCCTGGCAGAAAGCCATAGTTTGAGTGGGGGTCGCACATGAAGCAGTTGTAGTGGTGGATGATGCCGAAGATGTGGTACTCGTCGTAAACGTTGTTGCCACTGTAGTGGTGATGATTGAAGTTGACGATGGTGCCGAGCCGCTGCTAGTTGAGGCCGTAGAAGGGGCTGAAGAGCTGGACGAAGAACTGGAGCTGGAGGATGATGAGCACCCCACGTCACTTAGGTAAAGAGTAGTCGAACCAACGCCGCTGCAACTATTGCTTAGAGCATAGTTGGCAATGTATTGCTCAAGAGCGCTGACTGATTGTGAGACGACAAGGGGTTGCCCGCCGTTTCTACCATAGGCTTGACATGCTGATCCAAGAGGTGCACAAATGCCCTGAGCAGTAGCCATCACTTGATCGTTGGAACATCCAAAGAGACCGCCGGTGGTACAGCTGCCGGTTTGAGTTACTCCAGCATTGCCTAGTGACATCCCCGCACAGAAAGTGACGGGCGTATTACATTGCGGCGCAGGAAGTGTTGGAGGGCCACATGTGATATCGATGACTTTCGTGGGAGCGATCGCCGAACAGATTGTATTTATAACCCCTGCTAGCCCGTTGACTTGTTGTTGCAATGAAGATGCCGATAGCGCGAACCCGTAAGCGTTGTTGTTGTCGAATGCTACCGATCGTACACCAGGGTATGAGTATAGCGTATTTGCAAATGCTTGCATTTGAGCCGTCGAGCAGCTACCGAGCACTAATGGACATGAGATCTGTTTGACAACCCACTGATTTACGAGTGCTTCACAAAAAGCAACTGTAGGAGGGGTGGCACACGATGCCGATGAGGTCGTGGAAGAAGCCGATGTTGTAGTAGTCGTGGTAAGTGATGTTGACCCTGTAGCAGAAATGGTAGTGGTTGGGGAGCTCGATGCTGATGAGATTGTTGAGGTTCCGGAACTGGCCGTAGAGACTCCGCTAGTCGAAGAAGCGCTGCTCGAAAGGCTGGTGGTGGATGATGCACCACTAGTCGACGTAGAGCCTCCAGTTGAAGAAAGACCCCCGCTTGTCGATAGCCCAGTTGAAGAGCCACTAGAAGATGACGCGCCAGACGATGAAGATGCTCCTGTGGAGGACGCTCCTGTGGAGCCAGTCGAGGACGCTCCAGTCGATGATGCGCCAGTGGAAGAGCCAGTCGAGGACGCTCCAGTCGAGGACGCTCCAGTCGAGGACGCTCCAGTCGAGGACGCCCCAGTCGAGGAACCAGACGAGGCGCCTGTGGAAGATGCTCCTGTGGAGGACGCACCAGTGGAAGAGCCAGACGAGGCGCCAGTGGAAGACGCTCCAGTCGATGATGCGCCTGTGGAAGATGCTCCTGTGGAAGAGGATTCAGTAGAAACACCGGTGGAGGAGCCGGACGATGAGCTTGTAGAAGAAGCGCCCGTAGAAGAGGATCCGGAGGAAGAGCCAGACGAGACACCAGTGGAAGATACTCCTGTGGAAGAGGCTACAGTGGAGGATATTCCTGTGGATGACGTCTCCGTAGATGATGCACCGGATGATGCGCTCGTAGACTCACCGGTTGAGGAGGATGCTCCAGTTGACGAAGACAACCCTGCGGAGGAACTGCTCGTCGAAGATGTCGTGACTCCGCCACTGCTAGTCGTTCCTTGGTTACCTCCAGTCGAGGTACTCGAACCAGAAGTAACCGTTGAAGTGGTCAACGAAGTAGAGCTACTAGAGCTAGAACTTCCACAAGATGCGTCACTCAATACCAGTGTGACAGATCCCAGGGAACCACAACTGTTGCTAGCCGCGTAGGTGGCGACTTGCTGCTCAATTCCTGTTACTGTAAAAGTCGTAACAATTATGGGCTGTCCTCCATTCCTTCCGTAAGCTGTACAACCTGCGGTCGTGGAGCAAGACAGGGCGGCGGAAGCCATAACCTGATCATTGGAGCAAGGGATGATGCTGCCCGTGGTGCAAGCTGCAGCGTTTTGGACGAACAATGTGTTCAAAGACATACCAGCACACAACGTGACCTGAGTATTGCATTGGGGCGAAGGAAGGATGGGAGGAGGACAAGTTGTATCTTGAACCTGGGAGGAAGTGATAGGAAGTGAGGCACAAATCTGGCCCAGTGGTCCCAATGATCCTATCTGCGATTGTAGTCCAGAAGCAGTTAACGCGAACCCATAGGCGTTGTTGGAGTCGAACGTGACAGATCGAACGTTAGGGTCAGAGTACATTGTGTTCGAAAAGGCCTGCATCTGAGAAGTTGTACAGCCTAGAATGTCGGGACAGGATATAGTGCTAACAATCCACTTGCTTATAGCTGCAGAACAAAATTGTACAGTTGGTGGAGTTGCACATGAAGCCGATGAGGAGGTGGATGATGCAGAGGTCGTCGTGGTTGATGTTGTGGTGATAGTTGTCAGGCTTGATGAACTGCCAGTCGATGAAACACCGGTTGAAGAGGTCGAACCTTCAGTAGTGGAAGATACAGAACTACCGGATGTTGATGATATCGATCCTCCAGAGGTGGAAGAACCGGCGCCACCAGACGTGGAAGATCCAGACCCGCTTGTGGTGGAAGATACTGCTCCTGAGGACGTTGTTGACCCAGGTCCTCCGGATCCGCTTGAAGTAGACGAGCCAGAACCTGCTGTGGAGGATCCTGATCCACCCGTGGTGGATGACCCAGGGCCTCCTGTGGTGGAAGATCCTGAACCACCTGAAGTAGACGAGCCAGAGCCTCCTGTGGTAGACGATCCAGAACCACCCGTGGTAGATGATTCTGAACCACCTGTGGTAGATGACCCTGAACCATCTGTGGTGGATGACCCTGAGCCACTTGAGGCTCCCGTGGTTGACGCCGTGGTAGACGATCCTGATCCCGCTGTGGTGGAGGACTCTGAACCACCTGAAGTAGACGAGCCAGAGCCTCCTGAGCCTCCTGTGGTAGATGACCCTGAACCTCCTGTGGAGGAAGATCCTGAACCATCTGTGGTGGATGAACCGAAGCCTCCTGTAGTGGAGGACCCAGAGCCACCTGAGCCTCC